ACCATAATTAGGCCTCTATGCTCAGATCCAAATTTTGTCTTGTTAAATTATTCATCCATGCTCAACATTGCTTATCCTGGCTAGCTTTTGTGGATGTGGAGTTGACCTTCTTGTTTATGTACCAATATCAATTGATGTCAAGGGTAAACACCTCGACGTTTGACCATTCTGTTGTGTATCTGTATAAGTACATCACAGATTTCCAGCTGGACTATGGTATGATGAGATAGAGATGCATCCTCAGAGAAAAGCCGGGGGAGCTTGGCACTTAAGAAGTACTATCTTCCAGATGGTTCCAGATTATTTCAATGCCAAGAAAAGAATTTCTGTACTGTTCAATTTTTCAGATGGGAGGATTATGTTGGATGTTTTGCAGTTTTCTAATGTTTCTACTTTTATTCTATATTTTTGTTTTTAGACGTAATTGAATAACCAGGTAGTATAGCTTATATGCTCCCCTCTACAACTTAATAGAAGAATATAGGGATATTAATGCTAGTTTGGAGTGATGGAAGTTTGGAAGTTTTAGTTTTGGTGGAGAATTGTTTGGTGAGGATTTGTGCCTAAGCTTTTCTGCTGTTGAGAAATTGGCCATTTTCTTTCAGTGGAGCTACTCTAATGTTGTCGTGTTTCCTGGGTTTTATATGCTTTCAACAAGGCTTTGTATTATTTCATTTTATCCCCAGAATATGTTACAAAATTATCAGTCAGTTTATAAAAATAACTGGTAAACTGTGTTTTCCCATTTTGAAAATTTTCCACACTCTCTTCATCCTTTTTTCCCCCTAAAAATGTCAATTTCAGTCGTATTTCTTCTTGCTTTGAGATACGATAGAATATTTGTATTATATCACGGCATCGATTCGTAGGAATTCTTCTCATTTATTTTAAATGGTGTAATTGATAAGCAACATACAATTAAAAGAGGTATTATTGGCAAATCTAAAAATGCTCCAATCACATACAAATTATTTACCATTCACTTGTAACTGCAGTCCAGTAATGTATCAAAATGAACATGCGTTTCATTGTGATTAGCTTCACGGAGTCGCGACAGGGTCGAATCCTATCAAGTGGAACTGTCAACTCACTGTCTTTAAATATTTATTCTATCCTTATCTAGGCATAACGCTGAAAACATTACCATTTTGCAGTACTGTGGTGCCAGTTCGGAGAAAAAAGAAGCTGAGTACTAAGATGTATTAGGTAGACTCGTGTTCATGATGTAAACATTGTCATTTTGCTAATCATTAAATTAAAAAAAAAGTTTTTGACATAGATATATAACAACTTCAGTACTATATAGAGCATATAAAATTACCAGCGCATTCAAGTAACAATTTGTTGATGTACGTACCTCAAATGTCAAAATAACCGAAGAAAACATCAAACTAAAGTTTCATGTGACAATTTTCTGGTCATTTATCCACCATTTTGAATCCAAGGTGATAATGTCAACTAAAAAATTACTCCGCAGTCTATCGATCGATTTTTCACGTATTCAAATTAAAATATATAGATTACCGGACAAAAAAAGAATAAAAATGATCCGGTCATAATGAAACAAGTTAAAGTCTAACGGTTCATTCAAACGCTATTATAGAGGAAATGGAAATTAGAACGGACTATTTTTCTTCAAAATTCAAGGGACATAAATCCATTGAATACTTTTGAATTACCGTATTTAATGTAAATACCAAACACTATATTAAATCGCCAAAATTAATTTTTATATTTTCACAATAATTTTCGTGAATAGCAGTACTATTCTTAATTAACAGATTTGTCAACCATTGATTAGCTCTTGCAAAACAATTTGGAAATAAGTTATTTCAACTTACTTATATTAATCACTATATGGGTGAAATACTGATTGGGGTATGTGCCATTCATGAAATTCATTCAACCTCCTACAGAAAAAAATAGAGTGTTTACTTTTTTTCAGTCACTTTGTTAATTAATTTATTTCCTTTGTTAACATGAAACAAGAAAACCAATAGCACTTATAATCACATAATTTTATATAAAATATTGGACACAAAGTATGTATAAGTGTAGTATTTCACTGGGGATTGAGATCATTTTCTTTTAATGAGAATATTGTTTGTTGATATTGTAAATATGCATTCCTAATCACATCCAGATATTGCAGTGTTGTCAACATTTTCAGATGATAAATTCCATCTATAATGTGTCAATGCCAAACGTTTTACACAACTAGAGAATGTTTAATTGTCAAATGTCATTTCAAGTTGGCAGAACAATTTTTTTTCATGTCACATCAATGTTAAGATTTAAAAATAACCTCTGTGAAATGCCCTGCTGGTAGGGAAACTGTGTCTTTTGCTTCCACTGCATGATTGTATGAGGCAATCAAATTTGGGATCTGTATTTTTTCTCTATTTTTTAAAGATCTTCCTTGACACTGCCCCACTTTTGACCTTAAATTGAGTATTCGTGCCAGTGAGGAAGACTTTGGGTTGTCTCCCGGCCAAAAACATGCACTCGTGATAAGTTTTCAGCCAAACCTTCATGAAAAATTGAAGAATTCATAAAAGATATGGACATTTATGCTTGCACCAATTTCTTGGTATAAAAACAAAGAAATCTACTGATACTAAGACAAAATTGACACATCTGACAAGTATTGCACCACCAGCTTTGATAAAATTTTAAAGAAAATCTGAAAGAAATATAACCACAAATTTAACATTGTGCCATATACAATAACATTGAAACAGCAATATCCCAATAGCTAGACAATTATGCAAGATAGTTATTGTAAGGTGTGTTACTCTAATGACTGTAATATGGTACATATTGTACACTGCATCATGCATAATCACACATGATAGTTTTCTTCACCAATTGACCGTAACAAATATACCATGCAGACATGTGTGATTATGATATTGGACTTGGCTGATTTTAAATGCAAGGAGCAGACACAACTTTCTGTAAGAAGTTCAACATAAAGGTTACAACGATGTGCTCTACGGTTGAGACCTTGACCTTTTGAAGGTCAAAACATATTTTATACAACTCATCCTCTCATAGTGGTAAACGATCATGCAAAGTTTCATCCTTCTTCTATGACTTGTTACAAAGTAATCAAGTGGACACAACTCTCTGTAATTCAATATAGGGGCTTCATGAGAAACAATACAGAGTTTGACCTTAGGAAGACAAAATTTGACACATCATCTCATACATACATACAGAGTTCTGTAGTTTAATATGCATGTTCGATGGAAAACTCTAAAAGTTCAGAACTCAACCTTTTGAGTATAATAAGAATTTGGTATGTGGCACATCTTCCAGTAATGGTTAACAAGCATACAATGTTTCATCACCATACTATGACTGGTTACAAATATATGAAGTGGACAAAAATGTGTTTTGTACGGCGAATGCACACATAGTGTGATCACTTTGGAGAATCTGTCACTTAAATAAAATTATGGTTTTGTTCTGTTTTCAAAGACATCCTTTTCTGTTTTGTGATACAGCCCAATGTCATATTTGATATTTATAGATATATATAAGGAACAGTACACTTTTTACTAGATGTCTATGGCTACAAGTATAATATTAATATTATGCCTGATATAAAGGTGCTTGGGGAATACACAGATCTTTACTCCTTACCAAATCATCACACTTCATATGCACAAGGTTCACCTTCTTTCATGAGTTCATGCAAACAAAAAAAACATTCAATCCTATAAAGTACTCATCAGAGTTCTAAATCAAATTCATCAAGGCACAAATTTTTCAAAGAAACATGTTCACAATGACAAAAATGGATGTCACACTTGACAATACTATGTTATCATTACTCAATTTTACTTCATCAAAGTAATATGTTAATATGTGTGCCAAATATATGATTTTAAATATATGATAGATCAGTTATCTTGATTGATATCAAATTTCAAAACAACTCATTTGTTCTGTGAGGACACTTCATTTTCAGAAATACTATCAGACTCCAAACCAATGAACTCCATTCTTGTGAGGATCTGATTATACTAGAACATAATATTAGATTTCCTGTTCTGGTGTCATTTCCTAGATGTACATGACATTTAAATACTGATAATTAATAGGAGTAATACAGTTTTGTTAAAGGAGCATGGCACCAGATTAAAAGATGACGTCTTATTCAGCAGTGTTTGACACAACACTGTAGCATATTGTAGAACATCCTCAATACTCCACGGGTTACAATCACTTTCACTCTCTGCAACATGTCATGGCAAATTTGAAGGCACAAGCGAAGTAATTTGACATTTTTAGAGTGGGTCCCAGGGGGAAAAACTGACCAATCGTAGACTGATATGCTCCTTTGAAGATTACTGAGGAGTAACACCTAACTTCAAAGCCATTACAACAAACCTTTACATGACCTCGGGATTCGTTTAGTGTACATCAAAGGATCAAACTAGTCTTTTCATCTTGTTCACAAGCTGTCCCAAATAGAACCTTCAGTTTTGCCATGATATATTCCAGGGGTGCAGAGAGCAAAAATGATTGCATCCCCTGGAGTATGGAGGATGATAGTATAAGAAAGGAATTGAGATTGGGATCATAATAACTACTCAAGGCTGCAAACAATGGTCTAGTACAGAAATAATATAAACTCTCCAAATGATTGACTATTGATATTTGTATCAATGATAGTGTTAGCACTTCTTAATTCTAAATGTAGTAATACAGGTGCTAGTTAAATCTGGATTTATTCCATGGGCACTGCTTAATTTTAAATGTAGTAATACAGGTGCCAATTAAATCTGGTTTGATTCCAGTAGCATTGCTGTAACTGTCATGATAATTGATTTTTTTCAGAATGCACAGTGATCAATCACAGTTCTTCCTCCACTTCTCACTCGGGTTACGATCAGCAGTAAAGGGAGAAAAATCACTGGTGTCCATTAGACACCACATCACCAGAATACAGTAATCCTGTATTCAGTTTATCACATGAAGGTATTGTTACATCATTCCTTTGTCAAATCTTCTCTTTCCTGGAATTGTCTATCTACTCCTTGACTGAGGGCTACCAAGAAGTCTTCTAATGTTACAGATGTACCCTGTGAAATGACAAGGCATTAGTTAGTTAGAATGTCTTTGGATTGTTAAAATTGTGATCACAGCAGTTGGTCTATTACAAACCAGGACTTAAATCAAGCAGGCGTGCTTACTCAGGGTCACATGACCTTTGAAACTACATGACCTTTGAATCTCCAGAAAGGTTGTCTGCTGCCCAACATTGGATACTCTAGCAATACCATAGGTTCTGGTACTAAAGCAAAACTTAGGTAAACACAATCTGATATCTGGGAGGTGATGAACATGTCAGTTTGATTTCAAACCAAAATAATGGAAGTACAGCCCTATTCAACATTGCACCTTTCCTACTGGGTCCGTCAAGATTTCAGTAAATCACCATCCTTTATGTATAATTAAGTTTGGTCTCATTTCAAATATTTCGATTATTTCTTTAAAATGTAGAACTCAAATTTCAATTTATTAAATGTTTGTTTGATGTAATAACAAAAGTATTTATGTGTTTCCAGATAGGTCGGTACAATATCATACCTGCCTTTTTCCAATGTAGACCCAAGTGTATCTGTGTACCACTAGCTGGATCTACTGTCTTGTAGATATATCACCTACCAGCTAGATCTACTGTCTTGTAGATGTATCATCTACTAATTGGATTTACTGTCTTGTAGATGTATCACCTACCAGCTGGATCTACTGTCTTGTAGATGTATCACCTACTAAATGGATCTACTGTCTTGTAGATGTATCACCTACCAGCTGGATCTACTGTCTTGTAGAGGTATCACCTATCAGCTGTATCTATTGTTTTGTAGATGTATCATCTTCTAGCTATATCTACTGTCTTGTAGATATATCACCTACCAGCTGGATCTACTGCCTTGTCAATGTATCACCTACCAGCTAGATCTATTGTCTTGTAGATGTATCATCTACTAAATGGATTTACTGTCTTGTAGATGTATCATCTACTAAATGGATTTACTGTCTTGTAGATGTATCACCTACCAGCTGGATCTACTGTCTTGTAGATGTATAACCTACCAGCTAGATCTACTGTCTTGTAGATGTATCACCTACCAGCTAGATCTACTGTCATGTAGATGTATCATCTACCAGCTAGATCTACTGTCTTGTAGATGTATCACCTACCAGCTAGATCTACTGTCTTGTAGATGTATCATCTACCAGCTAGATCTACTGTCTTGTAGATGTATAACCTACCAGCTAGATCTACTGTCTTGTACATGTATTACCTACTAATTAGATCTACTGTATTTTAGAAGTATTAACTTACCTGAACAAACATGGCATGAGCAATGAAAGGCAATTTCCTCAATGTCCGTCCACTGAGTCCATGACTCTTACTGTAATACACAAACAATATTTATAAATAAAGCATAGAACTATAATGATCATCTTACATGTTGGTAGTATTGTAAAACAGCACAACCAAACGTCTTCATGAAGATCACATTACTTCATATTTCAGCTATGGAACTGGTTTGAACTTTAAAATGCTTCAAATTTAGTATAACAAGGTTGATAACTCTAGAAATGAAAGCTACAGTGAGAGTTTATAAAATCCTTGTTCAGCACAGATATTTAATTTCCTTTTTGTATTAAACATAAACAAAGTTTACAAAGAAAGCTATCGTAAAAGTTTACAATATTTCCTACTGATATTGAATCAGCATCTAAAATATTTAGGATCAGTAAAGGCAAAATCTATCCATAAGCATGAATAACTAATATGGACACAGTGTAATGTTTCAACTTCTTAGCGATATCACAAATCATTGAACTGTAAAGACAGTCTGGTCAATGTTTAACTCACGTTGCAATATCACGAAGCACCAAACTATTTTTTGTGGCATCATTTTCCATGAATCTCATTGCCTCCAGACCCCTTAGATCTAGTAACTGTTGCGCAGGACTAATGATGTCAACCTGTCAAGTATCAAGACAAAATAATGGTTTTCTTTAAAATCGAAAAAGTATGTTAAAATTTTTCTTGAATCTTCTTAAAAGTTTAAATATATACATGTATAAAGATGACATATATGTCTCTTTATAATACTCAAGATTGTATTCCAATTGTATAAAAGACACACGAGAGAATAGCACCTTTCAATACGATATAGATATAACAGAGCCAAGTAACAAAACAAACTGCATCATACAGCTGTTTTGTCCTTTTAGGATACATCAACAATGCAAAGGGCCTAAACCATGAAGCCTGACAGGCAAATAAGAAAAATCAAAATTTGTTAAAAGAAGTATACAAATCTAGATGGAAAAGTGCACTGGTATCATAGTTCAACCAAATGAATTATTTTCCAATCTCAGATGATTTCAAATCTCAATAAGTACGTGAATATTTTCAGAACAGTGCCACTATTCAAATAAATGAAAATATAGCATGCAGGTTATGGCAAACCTTGGATGCGATTCCAGTTATTCACCTTCATATCATATGATATACCATATTTTTCCTGCAGTAAGCAAAAAATTATTCTGTCACAAATGGATTTAGCGGAAACAAAGGATGAAATGTGATGACAATTTTTTAATTAATGACGGTATCATATGTTTTCAATAAGATACATAATGTCAGGAGGGGACCACTTTCTTACCCTCATCAGCTCACTAATACAAGAGTGGAATATTTTGAAAATGGCCGCAGGAGACGGAGGTCCTATATACTGTTTGATGTCAGCCCTGTCTACAAACGCTAGGTCGATGGCTCCCGTCACATTTGATGTTGTCAGGATCATCACGTTAGGCTGTCTGAAATTATTCACCACACTGACATCTGACACCAACATTTATTTTGTGATATATCGATACTGTATGTTCCATTTTACTATTTCTCTTGTCCAGTTATTTAGATCTAGGCCATGAATACACATGGATTATATAAATCTATGAAAAATGATTAATCCCTTTTTCCCCATATTACTTCCTAGGCCAGGAGACCTATATTCAGCTGTTTTGGGGAAGTGTGAAGTTAATTCATTATTAATGGAGTCCACTGAACCTCGCCTTTATAAGTTATGTGGGACCAATATTAAGTATCAAAATGATAGTGGGGGCTATACTTCTGAATTGAGAAACAATCAGATGTCAGCACTCCACATTATGTCATACAAATAGGTACATGGACACTAATTACACGTTTTAATAAAACAGTATTATATGATAAATTCTGACAGAGACTCACTCTGTGTATACAATATTCTGCAATCACAAAAATCTATATCCGGGGCAGTAGTAACAAATATTCTAGGGTTTAATGGGAACATTGATTTTATTTCTTTATATGTAATCACCGATGCCAAGCTCCACCTACCTCTTGATCTGATCAAGCTGTGTAAGAAGGGCATTCACCACCCTTATGGCATCCGATGGTTCACTACCAGACATAGCACTCTTTCTGGCTGAGGTCAAACTTTCAACCTTGGCAAGATAAAAAGTCAACTCAAGCTTGTGTACATATATGCTGGTAACTCCTGCAGAATGTTTAATAATTATCAAATGAAATATTCTTTTACTTTATTAATTCAAACACATCCTGGAAAATTTTCTGTGAACAGTACTTGTAGACCAGCCAATGAATACAATAGTCAAACTTCAAAAGACAATTCTTCAACAAAACATCTATCACCTTCCTTACCTCATCAATCAGTACAAACACAATAGCTTCTTTGTCATCGATAAGCTCCTGTATCTTCTGGAACATCTTCATCACAAGCTTACCACTCTAAGGAACATTCACAAAATATATACTGACAATTTTTATAAGTAAATAAAGATCCATCAATGCTCATAAGTTATATAGTTACACATTACCCACATTGAGTCAGTAACGAAAGAGAAATTATTACCTAACCAACTATAGACCTAGGCCTTTTATATGTGAATACAAATGAGGACTTTTGAGGACTGTGTGCATTAACATGTGAACTTGTTATGTGACTTTGACATATGACCCTGAGTTTGAGAACCACTTGATGATACTTTTCATAATGACATATGACCTTGATATGTGACCTAGTGTTTGAGAAGTACTTGACAATATTGTTTATATTGCCATTGGACAGCTGCTAGATATAAAGATTTTATTGATGTATGGTCTTATCTGTGAACTAATTGAAGAGATTGTCGTAATATAAGACAGTGTCTATCCTTTGGAGAAGTGACAAGCTATTTATCTAGTTGACATAAGACCTTACTTTTGAGAACCATATATTGTCAATGTCATGTGAGCTTACCTCTGAGAACCACTTGGAGAAGAGACTGTGGCTGTTAATCTCGATTAGCTGACCATAACTGTAGCGATCAGAGAGTCGCAACACCAGTTTCTGTGCCAAGGCCTTGCATAAAGATGTCTTTCCAGTGCCAGGGGGACCTGTCAACAAAGTATTAATACAAACAACTGTGGTTTAATATCTGCTTTTAAACTTTTATGAATGCATAACATATGTACATGTAAACGCAGGAACAATATGCTAATTCAAAGCTAGTTAAAAAAAAAACCAAAAGATTTCCTGAAAAAATTGACAACAAAAAGATTTGAAAATGGACTTAATCACAGGCCTCAATGTAAGAGGACTATTAAATTTTCAAACAAGGTATGGTTATCATGCCAGAGAGAGTTGTAAAATATTCAAACATGAAGTGTGAGGAAATTTCAGATTGAAAAAATATTATAGGTGTCTGTTTGCATCAAACACAAGGCCAGTCTGTTGAAGTTTTCATTGTAATAATTGTACTATACAATGATATAATGGTCGGTTTAAGTGGAAAATAAATTTTAAAATGAATGCCATAACAGCTACTTCAGGTGGACCTATGAATAACATGTTAATGAAGACCTTAAAGTATTTACAATCCAACTGACAGCTATGTAAAACCTAACCAGACATGTCTGTAGGACAAGAAAACCTCTATACCCATGGATATCAGTTAAGACAGGTCGGGTGTAATTATCTAGTATTGGATCTAAGAAAGAGATGGAAATTAAAATAAAAACCCTGAGGATCATTTCCCAGTACATTTTCTTACACACAAAATTTGATCGAATACAATGTCAGGAAAAGAATTTTACAATGGTGGTCATTATAGGAATGTCTTCTCCATGGAAGATATCTCCAATTAAAAAAGCTAGAATTAACAAGTTTATATGAACTTTGGGAAGTAACTCTATGAGAAGTTGAGAGGTCGTATTTCTTAATTCTAGTGCAGCGCAAATTAAGGTTGAAGAATTATATTGCATAATAATGGTGAACAAAAGGCAATAACTCGATGGTGGAGCAAGTAAGAGATTAAAAGCACCACAATACTTGTCCCCCAATTAATGTGCAGGAAAGACATTTGCTTTCACTCTGGTGATATGGATACCAATCAGCTGATTATTGTTACATCTCACCATGAAGAAGTACGACTTTATTTCAGGTTATGAAGTTAATATGATATAGGTAAGCTAATTATTGACAAATCTTACCGTGAAGAAGTACGACTTTATTTCAGGTTATGAAGTTAATATGATATAGGTAAGCTAATTATTGACAAATCTTACCGTGAAGAAGTACAACCTTATTCCAGGTTATGATGTTGCTATCCACTTGTCTGTCAGAAAACAACAAGGTTGTTGTTGCATAGTTCAACAGCTGCAAAAATATTTGATACTTTAAAATTTTTGTTGATCCTTCGAAGAGTATGATTGCTAAGATAACAGATACACATTTCTAAAATTTCAAAATTCTATTCTTTCCTTTGAAAGCATATCTGAACATAAGTCTACTTTTTTTTTTATTTGTAGTAAACTTATTTCAGCTGTATTTTTTAGAAATATCTTGGTATTAAGAATGATATTAGACTCCTTTTAATTTTTTTCATACATTATTGAAAAATACATGTAACAAGCACATTAATAATGGTAATCTGTTTTAGTATTACATCAGTTGTAAACTTCATTTATTTATTCCCTTTTACAACAATTACAAAACAAGCTAATGACTTATACTAATCACTATTGTTGGCTTTGATTGAAGTGCATCTGGGGTCTTACTTTGGAAGGAAACCAGAGTACCCGTGGAAAACCTATGTGGTCAGACAGGTGAGCCGATACCTTTTCATGTTTAATTATAGAATCAATCTCTGGTCACCTGAGTGAAAGGCACCTGCATAACCACTGTGCCATCCAAGCACTTAACTACATTAATCATACTCACTCGACTCTTGACATTTTCATCAAACACAAGACTATCCCACATGCCATGGAGATCACGGGCAGGAAGAAGCCAGTGTGAGGCTGCTGCAAGGTCTTCCTCATCAAGTTCCTCCATTCCTGGGCCATCCTCCTGTAGCTGGAATACGTGGAGCTTCAACTGTCTCCCACATAGATCTATTGTCTGGGAATATCAATTGAATATGAATAGGTCTGTTGCCAATAACTCACTGAAAAGTCTATCATCTATAGGGACACATTTTTCTGACTTTTTTCAGCAGGTTAAGACATGTATATGTTACCTGTCTGTTGGAGCCACTGAGGTCGGAATAACAGTAAGTTAAGACATGTTACCTGTCTGTTGGAGCCACTGAGGTCAGAATAACAGTAAGTAAAGACATGTATATGTTACCTGTCTGTTTGAGCCACTGAGGTCGGAATAACAGTAAGTTAAGACATGTATATATTACCTGTTTGTTTGAGCCACTGAGGTCAGAATCACAGAGCGCTACTGAGTTAACATGTTCTTGTAAGAACGGATCATCAAATTCAGTTAGGACAAAATCACCATAGGCAACTCTCTGTCTGTGTAGAAGGCCAAGCACATGTTCTTTCACAATACTTCCTTGAGCTGTGCTAAATGATTAAACGGAAACGAAATACAAAAATTAGAATCTGAAGTTTCATATGGAATAAAATAAATGAGACAAAAGTTGGTACAAATACATATATAGTAAATATCAGTATATTTCAACTCCATAGAGTTCTAAACAATGAGAGATTAACCATTAAAACATGTATATTATAGACACTCCTCTGTGTAACCTAAAACGTTATTCAATGCAAGCACTATAGTTTATAGCAAGGTATGTATTTCTGTTTTATTTGCCCAAAAGTACAGAACTTAATTCATTTGCAGCTGCAACCATCATTTTATTTATATCAGCAGTGGTATTAATACAGTCTGTATTTGACCTAAAGCAAGAAAGACAATCCCAAGCAATCCCATTCACTAATGAAGCATTAATTTAGTGCGAGTCCTTTTGTCTTGCATGAATTTATTGTTTTTCTCCTGAAACCAATTTTCTATTGTATGACTTTAACATTTAGATCCGAAAAGCAAAGCCAATCAACTGCAATCACTTTCAGAAAAATAAAGCAGCAATGTTAGAATTTTTGGGTTTCCAGTTGGAGCTGAATTATTACAAAGAATCTTTCGTTAGGACTACAGAACCAATGAAGACAACAGAAGACTGTTGAACTTTACAAACACTGGTAGAGGGATCCTGACAACTTAATTTGTCTATTCAAGTATTATACTATATTCTTACCTTGAAGGACTTTGACAAATTTCAATATGGTAGACTGGACTGATGACCGGAGAACCAGAATGTCCATGATCACCTAGCTCCGATACCTGATCCACAGTGATAGCTGACATAATGTGCGAGCTTCTGCTGGACAGAAAATATTGGTATATTGTAAATATTGACAGATTTTGACGAATATTCAACTTGTTTGAAATCTCACCAATATCATGCCATGTGCCAATTTTGGTTTAAATCTGACAATTAAATAAAAAATAAAAATTGAATTTATTTCACAGAAACAAAATCATTTATTTAGAGGATTCTTAGTTCTGTAACTCTAGCAAATGTTTATAGATTTTAACCAATATCACACTATTCCGAGATTTTATTGATCTAGAGCAATATACTAAATTTTACTCAAATCTTACAGAAAAAGTTTATACTATTTGGAGTTTGGTAAGTTAATATGTTTTATTGTTATGTCCAAATATTACTTTTTCATCCAATGTCGATGTTAGGTGTTCCATTTCCGATTTATATTTGTCTTTGTATGTACATGGGAAAGGAATTAATATAAGTTAAAGATCTATTTGGAGTTTGGAGTTAAAGATCCTTAATTCAGAGACGTATATATGTGATATATACGTCTCTGCTTAATTGTAAATGGAATGGTGAATAATTGTAATTCAACATTCAATAGTTTATTAGTCTACAAAAGAATTGTGTATTTCATACATTCAGAGATATATTTATTCACTGAAAGAATGATGCACAACATTTTATATGATAATTGAGATAATTAGATAGCAATCTAAGCTTCATACCAGCTACATATCATTATATGAAATTCATAATCCAGATACAGCTAATACATCATATCGTGAGCTTTAAAGAAAATTATACATTTTAGGAGAAATTCCAAATAAAAACCAGATAGAGTCATGCTTAATGGCTTATCAACATAGTATTACCTGATTAAATGCGGTTCTAAAGGTGTTTCTGATCAGGCCTAAGTAAATCAGAAAGCACGTTGAAACAAACTGTTGATTCCTGGAAATCGTTACATGACTAAAAGCGATATATCCAATATAGAAAATTGTGTATGACATATGAATGACAACATTGGTATAAGAATAAAGACTTATGTAGTTAAAGTTATATAGCAACCAGTTCATTCAAGCTCACAAACATCAGGCTAATATTGCTCTTCAAATCTGGCGGTAGTCAGCTGCAAAGCGTTCTCGTGACAGGTCTTAGTCGTGAAAATGTTTTGAATTGAAGGCGTAGAGGTACTTTTTTTTACCGTATTTCTTGTAAAAAAAAGTGTCCATATTCTTTTCGCTGTTATCACAACTCAAGTTAGAATTGGGGCCATATGGAGCTTATCTGCATAAAATATTAACCCGAATTAAAAAGGAAATATGAAAATACCAATCTGAAATAAATTGTCAACTTCGAATTCGCATTTTCACAACAGGTATCAAGGATACTGCAGAGAAAGTGCCTTAAAACTGTGAGTTTCGGGTTTTGCGGGGAATTCAGCAATTATTTAATAGAGAAAACAACGGATGCTGGCTGAGGACTACTGTATTCGCATCAATTTATGATGTACAATAATGATTGGTTTTTCTTGTGTACGTTGCATTCACTTAGCGTTTAACCAATTATCAAAACGATTAACTGTCAGATTTAGGATATGTTTTTCTCTCTCGTTTCACAGTGTTGTTCAGTAATATTTCAAATTGTACAACAACAGGTGTGTATCTCTTACATACGACACGGTAACTCAAAATTATTTTTTTTCTGATAACTACATGGCATCATTTTAAAAATATTTGTTGCGAATGTCCCCTTGTCTTACTGTTCGTGTTGATCTAGATTAAATTATTAACACGACTCGAATGCAATTGAAGATTTTATTGTAGACATTCATCATTTCGTCTTTCTTTCTGCCAAAAATGATGGGTTTAGTTTCTGTGCGCATCCCATGTAAGTTAGATTTTCACATCCTGGTATGAACTGGCATACTCCGAGTGTGACCTTACAATTGCCTTAAATATCAATTTAGATAATCCATATAGGTAAACGATCTTCTAATTAATCCCAAAGTGATCTCCGTCTGGCTTACACCAAGTTAGAGATGTGATCTACGAATCAAAATCTGTATCAACAGTCACTCCAATGTCTTCCTCGGATGTTATATTATCGAGCTCTACTTGTTCGGCTGGTGGCCCCGACATGTAATATTTTCTTTCTTCTGTAGATCTGACCGATAACACTGTACATTCGTTTAGATGAATTTTAAGTAGCCATTTCGCTGACCACAAACGGTTGGGGTTTATTAAAATCGTTTTGCAGAATGCTTATATCATTGTTATTTTTAAGACCGTTAGCAGGTGTAATTGCGTAGATCGACCTGATCAAAAACCAAACTGACTATTACAATGTGAATAATTTTCATTCCTTTTACTTTTTTTTTCACCTGGATTTTCCCAATTACGTTTGTTAAACACATGTCATGTAATGCTTTATTCTCAATGAATTGATCACATCAGACGAAAAATACCGGCGTTGTAGTATAATCATGTTCACAAGCACCCGTGAACCTCATTGCATTACGACGCAAAAACGTTCTCCCTCCCCAATTTTTTATGAGAACCAAGCAAAGTACTATTAATACTAAAACCTATTCATTGTCTCTAATAAACAGAATGTGATATCAGTTTAAACCATCGTCTTATAATCTCCCAGAGTCTTTAGTATGGCGAACGAATATTTTAGAATGCTATAATATCTGTCTATTTATCGAATTTGAATTGAATGGGATGCTTCAGGTTTATAACTGACGAGGAAAATGAAATTGTGCATATTGTATTAGTACTGGTGTTCAGAGAGTCGATGCACGAGTATTTGTTCAGGTAGTAAAACAATTGTGTCACAGAACAATATATGCCGTCACCCCATGCCAACATGAAACACATCATTGTATCAAAATAATGATAATAAAAATTTAGAATCTAAGTCTACTATTTCAAAGTGAAATCTGCCGCAATGTTCGATAAAGGTGGCATTAAAATGCTCCTCAGTTACCGAGAAACCCAGATCTCTGATCAAGATAGATGAAAGAACTATGAATAAATAAATAAATAAATAAATAAATAAATAAAATGAAATTTAAGAAAAAGATAAATATAAAGACTGCATTTATTTTACAACAATTGCGGAAAAAAGTTGACCAGTTATTTGAAGGGGCGGGGTGTCTTACTATGGGATGTGGGAGGAAAGAGGAAACTGAAGTACTCTGGGGGAGAGGGGACCCAGGAGGTCGTTGACTCTAGACATTTTCACGTCAGTTCCTTGATCGAACCTTGGACGGCTAGGCCTAGACGAAAGGCGAGTACGTTACCATTGCAACACTCCGGACCAACATTAATTAGGATCAATGAAAGAAACGAAGGTCGATAACTCTACAAAATAAAATAGAGTTACAAAAGCAAGCAAACAAATAAAAAGGCAAATTAAGTTTATATCATGACATTTAAAACAGCAGTTACTGATTTATATCACATTCCTTGTTTATTCACCTTACACGGAGTTTTTATGCATGAAATATCCGGAAACAGAATGTCGTGCGATTCTGTTGTTATAATTTCATCATTGTTTCCGGTTATGGCTACTATTACGAAAACATACCGGGGCACATGGTCATTTTTATCATATATTAGGCGAAATGAAAAGAGAAATGCAGTTCTAACACGTGCACGGAACACTGAACCTTCTCAACAGTTAAGATTTTGCAGTTCAAGGGGAACAATTAACACCAGTAATCGGCAGTATTGCCTTGATTTGATACAGTGAGTTTGACATTGCTTCACCCTGTCATAGATCTAGTGTGAGGTTGGATAATTCGTACGGTTCTCTTTTCCTTGATAAAAGTTTGCTATAGCAACACTCTAAGGTGATGTTAACAAGTACAGTGTCAATGTTTGATTTGATCCAACCGAGACCTTCATTTTGCATATTGCAATTAGGATTTTGATGATAGGTGTTAAAACTGATGATCGTGATGTGGTTTTGAAAATGTTGAAGGTTTCAAGGAGGCCAATTACAATGTACTTGTGAGTTAATGCGTCTACTTAGGTGAAATGCAGGGAGTGGGTAGGGTGTTCCCAGACAGATGAGCAATATTGATACTGAAATCATTTGGCCATGTCATTTTCACATTGGAGACTTAGGTTTAATTCCATTATGGACAGCTGACAGAGATGTGTGTTTTCCCCGTTCTTTTATATAGACTTAACCTATTATTTGCAAAAAGCCAAAGAGTACTGAATTTCCTGTAACCTGATGACAGGTCATTGATATAGATAAAGTATAGAATTGGTCTGAGAACTGTGGTGGGAAACACTTTGACTTATATATGGATAAAAAGTTCTTTTTTTAAATGACTGCTATTTCATTATTTTCAGAAAGTTTGACCATGAAAACTTTCTATGCACTCTTCTTTACTCAAAATCTGCACGAGAAGCTGCTATTGCCATCAGAGCCTTCAATGTAGAGATTGCACAGGTGAGTTAAAACATAACATATTCAAATCCCTTGGTAGTTATTCCAATATGAAGAAATACAAAGTACATTCATTAAGAATTTTTCAGTATAAAAAGACATATCTATGATGCTATATGGCATTTCACATTTTATGATATGTAGCTTTATTCAACAAAAGCAGATATATTGTTGTTAAAAGGTTACAAAACAATAATAATAATATTTTTGTAGTCTTCAATTGTAATAATGTTTTGGAAGTCTTTAATTATAATAATAGTTTGGTAGTCTTCAGTTACAATAATATTTTGGTAGTCCTCAGTCATAATGTCTTGAGATATTTCTGTAGTGAAGTCCATGAATACATAATTGAAGGAAAATTATCAGATCAGATAGTATAGTATAATTATACATGTGTTTGATGAAGTTAATTTAATTAACATTACTAGTCACAAAAACATAAAAATCCTAAATTACCATTCTTGTAAATTAAATAACAAGGTTTTTTATGATTTAGAATTTTACTTGTTCTGGTAGGTTCAGGATGTTGTCTCAGACAAACAGCGGGGAGCTATGCGAATGGTGTTTTGGAGGGATACCATCGAAAAGATATACCAGGTAAAAAACATACCAGTTAACCTTCATCACTACAATAGATTATAAAATATCATTACAGGCATATGTGTTACACCTACTGCGATGACCTAGTTATACTTCATCACAGGAGGTAAACAGATCATTTAACCTACATACAGGACAGAAGTTTATCAGATGTATGTACTATACCTAGAATGCTGTTTTCTTTGATGTTCATCAATTGAGATAAACTATTCAGTGACCATTACATTATATATAGACTGATAACCAATTTTGTATACATGTTATGTTGTTTTGTTTTGTGCTGTGTTGTGTACCTCGTAATACAATATACTGGTGATCAGACATATCTATATTAACTGTATATCAGACATATACTGGTGATCAGACATATCTGTAATAATACTATATCAGGCGTATACTGGTGATCAGACATATCTGTAATAATACTATATCAGGCGTATACTGGTGATCAGACATATCTGTATTAACTGTATATCAGACATATACTTGTAACCAGACATATCTGTAGTTATAATTACAGATCCTACAGGGTAATATTTCACTCCATTAATACCAAGTTTTTCCATTTCAGGGCTCCCCTCCCCAACAACCTATAGCACTGCAGCTAGCCAAGGTATAGTTATGTACAAGACAATTAAATTCAACCCATGTCCATCAATATGTTAATAATAATCACTGTTTTTAGGAAACTCTTCTTTTCTGTTATGGCAAAATATCTCAAGTTCTGTAATGCCAGTTGCATTCAAACTTTAACAGATTCTACTCCAAAGGAAGTTTTTGTGTGGGTGTGATTTTTAAAGGTAAAAGTCACTATTAGTATAGAAAATTTGTTTTTGCAAAATATCTCATTTGTTTGGATGATTACAATCAGCCTGTCTCCCATGGTTTTTCATAGGCAGTGTTAACCCTTTTTTCACATTTAAAGGTTAAGTTCATCATTACTATAAATAGAAATGCAAATTTACATTTAAAGGTCACCAGGTCAAAGATGAAGGTCAAATTTGAAATGCTTATATCTCATGTGCATATAAAGCAATTATCAAAAATTCAACATCATTGTAACACTTGACATCATTCGTTGATATTTATGTAATTAAGGTAGGTAAATGTACTTCATATCTGATTGGCCATAGTGTAACCATTCTTTATTCTTTAACCAGACTTTAGTTTCTTTATGAATTGAACATTGAAAGTTAGGAAGATAAATTCCTTGAATTTGATTGTTTTTTCTGTTTTAGGTCATATCTGAGAACAAGCTGACAAAAAAGTGGTTCATGAGGTGTATAGATGCCAGGGTAAGTCCTTTAAGGTAAATCACCATTACAGAGATGAGGTGTGTAGACACTGTCTCCTTTACTTTGAGGTGAGGGTAAATCACCATTACAGAGATGAGGTGTGTAGACACTGTCTCCTTTACTTTGAGGTGAGGGTAAATCACCATTACAGAGATGAGGTGTGTAGACACTGTACAGAGATGAGGTGTGTAGACACTGTCTCCTTTACTTTGAGGTGAGGGTAAATCACCATTACAGAGATGAGGTGTGTAGACACTGTCTCCTTTACTTTGAGGTGAGGGTAAATCACCATTACAGAGATGAGGTGTGTAGACACTGTCTCCTTTACTTTGAGGTGAGGGTAAATCACCATTACAGAGATGAGGTGTGTAGACACTGTCTCCTTTACTTTGAGGTGAGGGTAAATCACCATTACAGAGATGAGGTGTGTAGACACTGTCTCCTTTACTTTGAGGTGAGGGTAAATCACCATTACAGAGATGAGGTGTGTAGACACTGTCTCCTTTACTTTGAGGTGAGGGTAAATCACCATTACAGAGATGAGGTGTGTAGACACTGTCTCCTTTACTTTGAGGTGAGGGTAAATCACCATTACAGAGATGAGGTGTGTAGACATGTCTCCTTTACTGAGGTGTGAGGTGAGGGTAAATCACCATTACAGAGATGAGGTGTGTAGACACTGTCTCCTTTACTTTGAGGTGAGGGTAAATCACCATTACAGAGATGAGGTGTGTAGACACTGTCTCCTTTACTTTGAGGTGAGGGTAAATCACCATTACAGAGATGAGGTGTGTAGACACTGTCTCCTTTACTTTGAGGTGAGGGTAAATCACCATTACAGAGATGAGGTGTGTAGACACTGCCTCCTTTACTTTGAGGTGAGGGTAAATCACCATTACAGAGATGAGGTGTGTAGACACTGTCTCCTTTACTTTGAGGTTAGGGTAAATCACCATTACAGAGATGAGGTGTGTAGACACTGGGATATGTCTCCTTTACTTTTAGGTTAGAGTAAATCACCATTACAGAGATGAGGTGTGTAGACGCTGGGGTATGTCTCCTTTACTTTTAGGTAAGGGGAAATCACCATTACAGAGATGAGGTGTGTAGACGCTGGGGTATGTCTCCTTTACTATGAGGTGAGGGTAAATCACCAATACAGAGATGGATTAATATAAAAGCACTGAACTGTCTCGTTTTGGCATTCATGGTCAATATAACTGCCAGAGATTTTTTTGGCAAACATTAAAGCGGAAATTACCTTAGATTTCAACATCGGGAAATGGAGAATTCGGCTTATGAATAATGAAATATATCCATAATAAAGAGATACACAGGGCTATAACGTAAAATATGAATAAATTATTCAACAAAATAACCCCTCAAGTGGAACAGCATTTTTAATAGGAAATTGTCATCATTTCTATCCCAACATCATGTGTTTAATGACATTTATTGTTTCTGAAATCACACATATTTTGGTACTTTATGTACTTTTCAGCACTATTGCTGTACACCTGTAAGTACCTATTCATAATTACATCAATATTGTAATATGTGTCCATGCTCCACTCAATATCTTTATACTTGTAGGCGGACTGTCTGGAGAATGATTCCTTCAGATCTATAAATGACCTTGAGGATTATTGTGAAAACTCAGTGTCATCAGTCATGTACCTGATCCTAGAAAGTTTGGGTAGGTTGTGTTATGATGTCTTTATAGTCAGATGGCCATAAAAACCCATGTCAATCACACTTAAAACTGAATTTGTGCTGCTCCAACACATCTAGTGTAGATGGATGCTAATCCTTAACTGGGGCTATAGAAGGGTATTTTTTCAGCAAGATAATAGATTGTTAACTAAGCTAGAAATTGAATTAAATTCTATGTACTTTAAAAGATAGTAAAACTTGTCAACATTTTGGTGTGTTTTTGGTGCTGTAAGTAAAGATATATTCAAACTGTGAAGAGTAACAGAGTTATCTTTACTCTGATCTGGAATATTTTGTTGTCTAGGTATAAAGGATCTCCATGCTGACCATGCTGCCAGCCACATAGGACGTGCCCATGGCTTAGTGACCTTCCTCAGAGCTATTCCATTTAACACCAGTCGAGGCCGAATCAATCTACCAACAGAGTTACTCATAAAGGTGTATATTTCTGTCATGTTTTAAAGAACCCAAGGTTATTTTTTCATAACCAACACAAATTTTGTCTCTCTTATGAAATATATATAGAATACATGGTCAATGTCTTAAAATAAAAGCTGTATTTTGGTGAGGGTGAAGAAAGCTAAAAATGGTGAGTCTTTGGCAAGATGCCTTTGTGTTTCTGCCACAAACCAAAATGCAGCTTATATTTTAAAATACTGACCATGTATTCTATTTATGCTGCAACACGGATTGAAAATCAACTTCAACTGTTTAGTATACCAATCTTTGCTTGCCTGATGTTGACATTATGCTGAATTTTGCCTAATGATTTACACAGAACTAATTTCTCCATGCAGAAATATAGTTCCAAACTTTAAAGTGTATACCGGGGTAACAGCAATTTTATGAATTAAGAAATAAACTTGTTCATTGCAATATGTAAACTCAATCATTGCTAAAATACAACTGTTTTTGCTGTCACTGACAAATACAGCAAAAATATATGAAGCAGGTGTATTCCGGCAATGGCTGTGCCAGTCGCAGGATACAAAGGTTTACAGATTTCTGTCACAATTTGATGAGATATACTGAATTTTCCACAAACAGCATGTATTTTCTCAACTTTGAACCAGGCAAAATATTACGCATTCATGGTCCTCGTTACAGGGAAATATGAAGTTACATTTTCTGAATGTGTCATAACTCCAGAAGATAAAGAAATCTTCATATCTCAGTAAAATTAGAGCCATAAATTGTATGTTATACCAAAAACATCATAAACACATTTTGAGTTTATAAACCAGGATAAATGATCTACAAAGTAAATAACATCAGTATACTCTATGAAACTGTTTACAGAAACAGATTGTTATCTTTGTATTTTATCCTTTGTTTTGTCAGATTATCTTACTTATGGTACTTGATTTTGATTTCTTTGACATCGTAAGATAAACATTCAATGTTATTTTTACTTTCACAGTACAATGTGTCACAAGAAGATGTATATCGAGGGAAGAAGCCTGACCTTGTCAATGACATTGTGTATGATATTGCAAGTGTGGCTAATCAACATCTCCGTACTGTAAGTTAATCTTGTGTTATATAGTCTATAGTATTTGTTGACATGGTGTACTCAATGACACGCAAATGGCACCACCTACTGCTTCTGCTATGATATGACTTTTCTGTTGAATTCACTATTGTTTTTATAATATATTGAAACTCAGTGGTTATCAAATGTAGACATAAGAGCTGTTATTTATCTTCCATACCTGCATCAAAATGTTTTGACTTTGAGGTAACTACATATTGTAAGCAATCAATATTTATGTAGTTACCCCAATGTTATTTCTTCTGATGCAGGTGGAGAGAAAAAAACATAATCCTTAAGAATCTTACTGACAAAAAAATTGTTATCTCATTTCCTGTGCTGTCAGTAATATGGCTATTCAGCTAATCAGCATCTCTGTATTTCAATTAAAATAGACCTACCATTGATGATTACGTCATTGTATTTTTCCATTTCATTTGTGAATAACAAGTTTTGAGATAGAAATAATTAAGAATGTATTATACACAAATTATATATATCATATAGAGTCTATTGTAATAACATCATTACACCTGAATTTCTATAAATTGCTGTTTATTCTGGAAGAAGTCATAAAAGATTGATTATTTCCAGGCTCGGTCGCTGAAGAAAGATGTGCCCAAGTCTGCTGTACCTACATTTCTGAACACTGTATGTATACTTTATTCCTGGTGCTGATACATAGGATAATAAAGGTTAGAGGAAATAAAAGAAAAATAAGTAAATGCTAGACTAGAATGCATCTGCTACCACATAAATGTGCATCATTGTTTAACAAACTTCTATTGTTATGGTGACCTTGACCTTTGGACTCTGAATCACAAACTTGTCTGAAGTGTCTAAAACATGACCTTGAAGTTGCTGAAGTGATGACATTGATTTGGGACGAAGCAGACACTGGTAACAAATTGTATCATCAAAGGATCAAAAGACCTATGTTACTCCCAATCCAACACTACAGAATGATTTCAGAGTGCTGTTTAAGATTTAGAAAAACTGATGTATTTTAACTATTTTTATCACTTCATTGATTGTATTCTAAAAATGAAGATCACTCCACTGAATTAATGAATAGAATATTTAATGTTTTTTCCTTGCTGTTTTGTAGGTGATATGTGAAAAGTACCTGACAAATATTCAACAAGCTGGATTTAATGTGTTTGACACTAAATTACAGAGGAGAAATGGACTTCTTCCATTACAACTACTTATGCAGAGTATGAAAAAAACATACTAATGCGAGAAAAAGTGTGGTAGCTGTCACTTCTGATAAAAAATAATTTTTGTTTATGTAAAATGAAAGAATAAATTCTCGTTGTGGCATTCTGTATTTATTTATCTTTCAGCTCTCTGCCTTCCCCTCTTCACATTTGTAGGTCACCTGGTCTAAACTTTCAAGTGTTACCAATGCATGCTACCTTTATAAATCAGTCTTTAACTTTTCAATTCTGACTCAAATGAAACAGTTTTAAACAAAACTTTATTATAATGTTCAGTCCTATTAGATATGATCCCAAAAAGTTAAAATATTTTTTTGAGTGATAGAAATAGGGAGTCCAAGATGGATAGGCTTACCTCTGTGTGACAATTTATACTAATTTATCTAGTTGCCTTCAACTGGTGCGAAAGACCTTTTTTGTTTCTGATCAAGCAGTGAACATGCTTCACCTTGGCTTTTAGAAGTCACAACACAAAACAACAAAATCCTGTGTATATGATTTATTTATATCCATGATTTATTTTTTATGATTGCTTTCTTGTATTTTAACAAGATACATAAATTGAGTGTACAATGTCAGCACAAATAAATTTGTAGAAATATTATGACATGTCCATCATTTACAGAAACAGTAAGATGATTGCTATCATCAATAAATATCACAGACTTTAAATCATTAATATGTTAGTGCTCATTAATCCAGCTTCTTTGCTTGTCTTGTAAATGTATAGCAGTCACCATGCAGTCTTTGTAAAGGAGACAGATGATGATGATTAGATGGACATTTTTATTGCAGAATTCTCTATCACCACACAATCTGACTTCTATCTACATGGTGTCAGTAAAACTATTATATAAACTTTCCTCTAATTTTCTGTAATAATGTACTTTCTGTTACTGTAGAACATTTAAAATCGTTTGTAATATTTAGCCCTCAACCACACAAGTACTGCATTTCTTGAGGATTTTGACACAAATGGACATCACAGATTTTCTATACCTATGAGAATATAGCATTTACTTTTAGGAGATTAATGTGATAAATATGTACTGAGTTAACACATCAATTTCAGAAAAGGTCACATGACGGGTCCAATATTTTTAAAGTTAACACACCCAGTACAGTTAAGGTCACATGACAAGAGAGAAAAGTCACATGATGGGTACCAACAGAGTACATGTATACACATTCAGTTCAGGAAAGGTCACATGACAGATACGCAGAGTATATGTATACACAATCATCAGTTCAATGATTCGATACATAAGTATACTTTTATTCACACCGAGGTATAGGTAAAAAAAATAGGTATTATCTTTAGTACAATATATTCATGTCACAATGTAAGTTCAAGGTCACTTTGTGAGGTTACAGTCACTTTGACCATTTGCCATAGCCAGGTCGTATACCACGATAATTGATCACCTCCACAACAACTCCATGTTTGAATTCATTCCACTCTCGCTTCAATTCTTGATGCATATATTCATCTTGGATGTTATCCTGAAAAAAATAATGAGTTTTTATACAGGACTTGGGATTCTATAGACAAACAAACAGTAATAATATAATATATAACAAACATACACCAGGTACAGTCAGACGTAAACTTTACACGTCACTTTAAATTAACTGATAAAATGTTGTACAAGTAAATAAAGTACTTCATAATGCTGGAAATCTTATTGTAATTAATCCTCGTTAATTTTATAGATGACAAAATGTATCAATTATTACATCAAAATAAGGCATAAATGTTGCCAATTCTGTCTATTTTATGTGAATTCCTTGCCATGCAGTAACAATAATACAGGAGTGAATCTTACCTTTGATAGTTCACCAAATGTCCTCACATTCGATTGCTTAAATAGTTGGATTGTCACTTCATCTAGCTCTGCAAGGAAATTTACATACAAATATTAATCTAAATATAAGTCACCATAATTATTTTAGAAAATTAAAGTGTAGGATGCAGGTCACACTAAAGAATCTAAAACACTACAATGTTCTTCCACTATATCAGATCTTTATGAACTGTCTGTATATCTCAGCACATCATGATTTGGCCCTGGGGTCACATATAGCAGTTGTACACTGAAGGTCAAAGGACGATGGCTTTCATGCTTGTTCTACCAATAATGTTGGAACAATACTGTTCTTTTCTCCTATTCTATGTTAAGTGCATAGCACTCTGTATGGATTGTCAAGCATACTTTCCATTAGAAACCTCTCTATGTAATTACACATTAGTGTACATTACTTACCTTCTATTCTCTCTGGCTTTATTATACCCATTTGTACAGTGGATGCTGTCACTATGGAGCAGGTGATTGGCTCGTCCAGGAGAATACTCAGCTCAGCGAAAGATTCAGAATCATTGAGCTTTCCCATCACAACTTGTTTGGTTCTCTTCTCCTGGATCATGTAAAGTTATACACTTACAGAGATGAAACTAAGAATCAATTAATGCAGCTAATTTACCTTTGGTTAATCAATTAATCTGAATAAACATTACATTAATTACCTAGTACCTCTGTGTACACCTCACAAACAGCAACCAAAACTGACACTAGAGTATTTTGGTTTAACCACTATAAATAGAGGCTTTTGGTTTTTTGATGTTAAAAATAAGTATTTCTAAAGTGATTTGGTTTGATATTGTTGTGTTATTAAAATTAGTTAATTAACCTCTCAAGGTAGAGAGACTATTGAATGGATGGCAGCGTCGGATATCAATATTGTTGTGTTATTGAAATTAGTGAATTATTTTCTCAGGGTAGAGAGACTAAAGAGTGGATGGCAGTGTCCGATATCAATGTGACATTTTCACTTGGTCCGTAAATATCGACAGAATTTCAGATGTTATCTATCTACCGACCTTGAGTTCATTTAAAAAACGGACAGAAAGAACCACTGGTACAGTCATGAGTACATGTTTAAAGAACCCATTAAAATGAAGTTGTGACTCCTTAGAGTTTAGCCCTCAGTCTTGAGAAACAAACACTGTATCGTCTGTTGTCACATGAAATAAATGTGAGAGTGATGTACATTTTGTAAATGAACTTTGCTAACTGAATGAACAACAACACCAAAGAATGAGGTTCCTTCATTTGTATCAAAATAGTGAAAGGTGACATTCTAATGACTGTCACCTTCATCAGACAAATGACCAGCACAAAGCATACAGTAACGTATGGAGTTATGAGGTGGTAAGGAACCAACACAACTTTTTCCGTTGTAATCCTATTTACAAAATGGTAGAAAATAGCGAGACGAGATTGTTGAAAAATCCTATACAAAATAGTAACAATGTATTGTAGTCTATTTGGATACCCTTTGATAAACACTTGGTAATGCTTGGTCGCAATAAATTGTTACAGTTCGACTACGTTTCGTTTAACACTTAAATATAGTAAACTTTGTTGTCAGTTAAAGTAACTCACCCTTCGTCCATTTTTGTCTGACATGACTTCTACTTGACGGAGAACATGACACTCCCCAGATTTAATAAATCCTATGTATGGTGCCTTGTATCCCTCACTGGCAACAACTGTAACATACAACATGTAACAATGTCAAACTTCACTAAAAAAACTTCAACAAGAGGTTCATAGGGCATGTATCCTTCACTGGAAAAAAATAGTACCATTCAACAGCTAGCAATGTTACTTTGATCAGATTTGTTTTTGATATTAAAAAAAAGATCTCTGGAATTTTTTAATTTGTTGGAAGTATTTTTCCTGAAATTACATATTCTTATAATGGATAAAGGCATTTCTTTGATTTATAAGACCTATTACATATTTATTTAATAGTGTGTTATGAATATACTAGTACTGTATAGGGGCCATTATTTGCTTTCTTTCCAGCATAGCGTGAACTTATCAGTGTTGTGTAGACACAGTACTGTATACTTACTGGTGTTGGGAGGACATGATATCCACTCGATCAATTCAGCCACCTGTAATAGAGGTTGTCGGGGCCAGAGTTTGTACTGTCCACAGGATAACAGGAGATTTACTTTCTCTGTGTGTTCCCTCTGCTTGATTTGCTGTAAATGAAATAAATCTTTATAAATATTGCCATCAATGATAAACATCTCTGCATGATGAACAACTGTATGATAAACATCTCTCTAGGATGAACATTTGTGTAATGAATATTAATGTGTGATGAACAATTTATACATACTAAACACTGCTGTCTATACAATAAACATTTCAACAAAGTGTTATTTCTCACCAATGATAAAATGTACCATAAAACAATACCGTTGGTAAAGACTCACATCAATGATTCTGTTGTAATCTGCTGAGGAGATCTTCATAAATTCACAGTTAGGTTCATTGGTTATAACACTAAATGGTCTGTACAAAAGAAAAAATATGATTGCTACGGTCAGTCATTTAAACTTTTACTGTATACTGAATCAGTTTGAAGGGTAAATCAGTTATACAATGATATTTGTGAATAAAATCTGCCACCTAAATTGATATTGAAATAAGATCAGTTCTGTGTCTGATATTATTAGAATTTTATAACACTGATACATATAATGTTAAAATTGAAAAAGTTACATTCTTAACTAATCATGCTGACATATTTTTCACACTTTACACTTATTGTTAAGAGACAAATTGAGAAAGTTTCAATGTGATAACCATTTTACAAATGCTTGTTTTATTGAATGATAAAGTTCTCATATGTATAGGATGACAAAGTGCTTGTACAATCTCACACTATCTTACTTATTGCCTTTGTCGTCTTTATCACGCTTTCTCAGTGTCCCAAACATGTCCCCTACTCCAAGCTGAAAAAAATAACCACCATCTGAATCAGCCCCTTTATATCGCTATTTGGTGGCTAGCATTTGTATCATATTTATCTGGGTAATTGGTTTCTGTATGAAAACATTGTTTGATGTTTAAATTAAAAGAGTGAACTATGTTGCTACCTGTCACAAAGACTGAGCTGGAGGGAACTTAAACAGTATAAGAAGTCCATTGTAGAGTAGACCTGATTATATGTTATTTTTTGTGACTTTAAGATCATTGAACCTGAAGTGAGCAGAAGAGCTGACCATCTTTAATCTTGTGTGACTTTAGGGAGAAGTTGTACTTATAGGACATTCTTAGTTGTCTGGGAGGCAACAAACACCTTTCAACAGCCACATATTGGACTGTACAAAAAAATTACTTTCAGATTTTGACAGATTGTGATATTCATTTACATATTTTCCTGGATAAAATGTGCTGCAATTTAAAACAAATAATTGATCCTTTTGAATGTTAATGACTCACAAGTAGAGCACCATCAGATTCTGTCTTGCGTGACTTGGGTGAACCAGGCTGTCCATTCTCGTTGACGTTTTCCATCTCATCCAGATAAGGATGACTGGTAGGGGAGACACTCCCTCGTAGTACCATGTACACACTAGTATTACCATACACTGTAACCACATGTACAAGTTTATCAAATATCGTCATCACACACAAACAATACCATACAGATAAAGTTTATCAACTAGTACTAGAAATTCTGTGTGGTGTATTCATTCAGTTCTTTATCAAAAAGTATAGAGTTCAATAGCAACAACAAGCATAAATGATCAAAAAGAAAACATGTAACAATATTAATCTGAGAATCACAGACACATATACCAGTGTTTGACACAGATGCATGTACCAGTGTTTGACACAGGCATATATATCAGTGTTTGAGACAGATACATATACCAGTGTTTGACACAGATACATATAACTGCATTTGACACAGATACATATACCAGCGTTTGACACAGACATATATACCAGTGTTTGACACAGACACATATACTAGCGTTTGACACAGACATATATAACAGTATTTGACACAACCATATATACCAGCATTTGACACAGACATATATAACAGTGTTTGACACAGACATATATACCAGTGTTTGACACAGATACATATACCAGTGTTTGTCACAGATACATGTACCAATATTTCCTTCAGATACATGTACCAATATTTCCTTCAGATACATGTACCAATATTTCCTTCAGATACATGTACCAATATTTCCTTCAGATACATGTACCAATATTTCCTTCAGATACATGTACCAATATTTCCTTCAGATACATGTACGAATACATCTTAATCATACCTGAAAATCCAGGGTCCTTCCATTGCTCACACACTGCGACAACACACAGCTCTTTAAGGACTGCAGGTGGGAATTTATCACGGAAAAAATCCATTGTTTTCAAGATGGAAAACATTTTGTCATTTTCTGATGCTGTCCTTTCAAATGGTCTGAACAAAAACAGATGTTCATAAAGCATTAAAAGGTGACTAAATAGTAATGAGCACATTCATAAGAATAAAAATTCTACAACAATGAATTATTTCAACAGCTGTTGTTATTATTACCGTACATAAAAAACACAAATCCTTTCAAAGATTGTAGCATTTGTTAACTTACATTAACAAAGCAAATAAGAAGTAGGAGATATTCTGCATTGTTGTTGTTCTAAAGTTGTATTTTAATTTTTCTTTGATGAATATTGAAATGGAATTCAACTGCAATCAATATATTTCACTCACAATTTTTTCAGTAGTTTCCGAAGTGTTCTCATGTTGGATCTATAAATAGCCTCTGGATGTTCACTCTGGCGTTGTTTGTGCAACAAAGGGAGATAATCTCTAATATCGTATGTTATTTTATCTACAGGGTACAATTTCCTGGTTAGCATCTTATCAGCCTCAGTTGTCTTTCCTGCAAATAAAATTATGATATTCAAACTGAAATCAATTTACATTTCTGCAGTCAATTATTCTTGACAAGACAGTCAGTACATGTACTGATCCTATAAAAAGATTTATCAGTGCACCATGTAGTCCTGCATTCATGTTCCTAAATTTTCAGTCTGACAACAACAATTTACATTTTCTTCATTTTCGCAAATCTTCAAAACTGTTGTTTTTCACAAAATCATGTTCCATTTATCGAAGCTAATTCCTCAAATTAAGAATTCCAGCAGCGATTTGTTTTAGATCTTCAAGAACCCTTGGGATTTACCTGTGGCTCTGTGAGTGACTGTTGATAATGTGGATTTTTGCTGTTCACTGAAATACAACATAAATAGCCATCAAATCGTTTAGAAATTTAACAAAAAAATACAAGTGTTGACATTTAGGTGTTGAAAACAATTCCAAAAGTAAAGTGACCATTTCATTTATTCAACTGATGAACTAGGAATTGTCAATACCATGAATTACATTAAGGCCAACAATCTAATTATGTTGATCCATTGAGAAATAGGAAGTTATTCTAAATTAGAATGGCTGAGTTTGCAAAAAGAAAATTTGACTGAAATACAATACAAGGGTACATTTCTTTGATTCCATCCTCATATTCGAGTTTTTGTGGCAAAACTTGTTCATAATAATAATCATAATCTGTTGAAAACTAAATCTTGATATATATTTACAGTCTTTTGGCAGCATGGACTGGAAATCCAGTTTTTTTCTCTGGTTTGACAAACATATGATGATAACTTTTCATGAATACTTCATGAGCATCTTCTGTAGATTCTGTATAGTCTCTGAAATGTAGTTTAGAAAATATTTTTCAACATTTGAAATACATCAAACAATATGTAATGATACATGCAGACAATTCTAATGTGTTTAGCTGAAATGTGTTTAAATGTCACCTTTATCAGTTCAGTGATAAACCAGTTTCTCCTATATTCTATGTTATATGAGGACTTGTTCAGTAGAGTGAAACAAAATCAACAACAATAGTGGTTATCAATATTGACTTTGATCTTAAAGGCATACAGCACATCATGTGGTTCTATAAATTTCACTTCAAAAATTTCAAAGCACTTTTTATTTTTATGGATCGAAATGAAATGTATAATAATTGAGAATTGATTTTTTTTTTGTTGAACTAGTGGAATAGCATAATTATATTATCCTTTTTGTCCACAAATATAATTATAAGTGGAATAATATATTATCATAATTAACAGATATAAGCCCATGTCTGGTGATAAATCCGGTCATTTATGTAACACATGGAGACTGAGGTAATATATTCATACAAGTTAAATACATGTATGGCATCCTTACCTTCCTTTTAGTCCTTCCAAATTATTCAGCCACTTTAATTTTTCATAGTCGATTGTTGGAGGCTTTTCAGTGAGATTTGGCACTACCAAGTCAATCAAAACAATAATGAATAATCAAACAAAGTGAAAATGTCCAAGGATCCTTCATTCTTACTGTTCATAATATACATAACACGGGAAAATGTTGTCAATAGAATATAAATTGAATTGATCTAGTCTATAAAAGAAGCAGCTAAATTGAAAACTTTATCTGGTGGACATTTAAGCTATGTTGAATTGCTATGACATTTAACATATTACAAGAGGTCATACATTAAAATCACACACGTTTGGAATATCTGTAAAATGAATGCAAATATATAACTTACAATTGTTCTTTTTACTGTTTGTATGATCTCGTCCCCATGCTGGACGCCTGAGTGTGTTTTCAAGCTTCACAAGTGCCATCGTAATTACTTTTATCCGTATTTACAAAGATTATGAGAGTTTTATGCTCAATTAATTATCAACGGGCACCTGTTCATGTCACCGCCATATTGTTTACATTCGTAACACCGCTGAGCAACAGACCGTAGTTTCGTATCAAAGATTTATCTTTTTTTTTTGTAAAATGTAATGGTAGTAATGCACTTGTTGAAAAGATATTTAAGGTATTTAATGTGAAAAGTATGTTTTCTTGATAATTTTAAAATATGGAAGAAATCCGATAATCAAAACCATAATAAATATAGCTTTACTTATTTTAATAACAATGGCGGAATTTCCTGACTTAGGGAAACACTGTAGTTTACAATCTTGTAAACAATTAGGTATTGAAATATATTTCAGGTGATCTGTAATCTTAAATGATATAAGGCACACTGTAGGTCCTATTCCGTTTCGTGTAAAAATACCACATATTCCTTATGTATTGTTCCTGGCTGATCGTTAGCCTATACGCCTTTTGCTGTATGTAGCAGACGACAGGATCTGTAACCAGTGTAGAGATGACCACATATAGTAATAAATTCCAATTTTTTACATAGGCATTTTCTATGATTATAATGGGAAGGCATTTTTTGAAAATGAAAACACAAATTGAAACCTGTTACCTATCACTTGTTACTGCATCCTGATGCATGTGCTCTTGAACTATTAAAGATATTATTGGTTTGGTGGGTGACAAAAATCAGGCGACTGACAATGTCTTGCGTCACTCTAATCCATGATATTTAGAAGAAATTATTTTGATTCTTGTTTTAAACATTTTGTACATATAATATGATTGTTGATTCACTATTTCAGATTTTCTACCCTATGATTGTGACGGGTGTGGAAAAACGTTTTGGTAAGAATTAGGAACAAGTGAACTTCACTGCCTGCTATTTATATACAATGTATATATACCGATATACATATAACACTGTTTTTTTTGTAAGCCAAAATACATTAGAATTATAAAATGTTTGTAAAGTATCAATAGATGAATATTCTTTGATTGCATTGTGTAAAGTTTGTACTTGCAACCAAAATAAATTTCACTGCCATCAAACACTCAGTAGTGGCTTTGTTGAAACATAAATGACAAGATGATTATAGCACATGAAAAGGTCGAAGATTCATAGAAAATATTGCTTTGTAAATGTGGTAACTTTGGTTTTGTTGGCCAGAATGGCCATTAAAATCAAACTTTATTTTCATGGGGAGGATTTGCTTTTTAATGATAAATGGCTATGTCTTTTTTCTTTATAGTGGTGATCATAAATTTCCAGACAACCACAAATGTGATCAGGTAGATATATATTGCACTGCCATACTTGCCAACTTTTATAGATTTTCATGAGGAAGATTTTACCTGCTCAAAATAAGAGCATAGGTGAAATGTGTGTATATGTATATTACCCTTTAGTAAAGAAATAACACTTGTCACTTGTATTTTTTGTGTTGTTCACTCAAATGAAATCATAATAAGATCATTGCTCTAAGGATAGTATAGCAAATTCATTAAAAAATAGCAAAATTAGGGGTTCAAAATCAAGAGTAGCCCTCCTAAATAGGAAGGGTTGGCCAGGTATCATCTATGTTAAGCTTTTCTTACATATTAAAGATACTTGCTTGATGGACAATTTGGTCAAAATTTATTGGGGAAAACAGGAATTTGAAACAGTTTCATCTTTAATAATGATAATATAAATGTGATTACCGGTAGAAGAAAAAGGATGATACAGTTTTACCATTTTTCCATGAGATTCTGGAAAGAAAAAGATTAAAGATTAAACTGAATCTTCACTACAATTTGAATGCATGTTGTGCAAGGTTTATTCATCCTTGATACTACTGGAGCAAAAGTGATAGATTCCCCTGGAGTATCGAGGATGGGTTTACTTGATTCCTTAACTGTTTTTGCATTACCATTATCTTCTATAAAAGATAAAGTTGTGTGACAAAATTGATTTTTTATGAATTTATCTAATGATTTATTCTAACTGCTCATATTTGAAATTGTGTCAATAACTATAAGTAAAGTACTTTAAGGTTTTATCTTATGAAGGTATTGCTTCACAGGTGAACAAACATACAGCCTCAGGAGATTACAGTGGGGACAAAAGCTACAGTTGTACGTTTGAAGGATGTCAAGGACGGGAATTGATGAAAGTTACTTGCATGGAATGTGAGAAAAATTTTTGTTTAAGGTAAGTTAGTTTGTCTGTACATCTGTCTGTCTATATATCCTTCTGTCTGTCTGTCCAATTTAAGTTTTTAACTGATGAAGTATTTACTTACCAAATTTTTAAACTTTGGTCAAGATGTTCAGTTCATACAAATGCATACTGAGGTAAAAAATTATTGTCATTAAAAGTTATGTGATAAGAAAATATACAGGTATATTCCGTGTTTCTTTGTGATGATTTGAAATGGGATGGATGTATATTGTTCTACCCTTATTATTAATTTCAAATGTTTGACAAATTTATTTACTCTCAGACTGACTAAAAGTTTTGCATTAACCAATCAAAGACTTATCTCCTACATATCATCATCTGCTGCCGTGACATGGTTTTCTACTAGTTTTTTCCCAAATAATTGCTCTTTATTCACTAGTCTGTGGCATGATATTTAGTTTATCCATTTTTTTCTTTAAACATTCATGATACACATAGGTTCATAGATCATTAAAAATCATGTTTAAAAACCTAAGGTCATATTTTTAACACTTCGAAATATTTGTACATTCAAAGTTATTAATATTATAGACTTCAACAGCACTCTCAGATGTTGGAGACTTTACTGTACTCTCATTCATCAATAAGAAGGTCATGTCTCCATATCCATTCAGAATGTTAAAGTAAATAGTGGTTAATAGGTAATATTATGTATAGAACATAATAGCATTTATATGATATTGAATTTATTGATTGCTTATTTTCAAATCTTTTTTCAGTCATCGTCATCAATCTGATCATAATTGTGAAAAACTGGAAATTAAAGAAGATAAAACAAAAACAGCTGAACATGTTCGTCAGATCATTGGTGAGTGATCATCTTTCTATATTTTTTGTTCTGGTATTACCCACGTAAATCTAATGCAGTCCATCTGGGATTATGATATTATTGAACAGGTAGTAACAAAGTTCCTCTTCAAGTTTGTTGTAGTTTTCATTTTTTTTTCTTTATTTTCTTTACAGCATCAAAACCAAACAAAGATTCAGGTATGCGTTCCAAGGGAGGTAAGTCAAGCAAGACAGCAGCAAAAGTGGCTTTGATGAAGTTGAAGATGCATGCTGTTGGTGATAAGGGCATTCCACAGGACAGCAGAGTCTTCTTCTTGGTTCACCTTCCCAAGGACACTAAACCCAAGTCCAAAGCTATGTTCTTCTCCAAGGTGAGATGAAAGTAGGATTGTATACTTTTTGAGGCATAGGAATATAAAAAATTGGAAATATGGCAGACTACAATGTGATTTTTATTACAATGTGTTCAACTAAGAGTTTAACAAACTATTAATTCATATTGTTTTATAAACTACTCAATGCTAACAAGGGAGATCATCTGTGAAGAAAAAAGAGCCCAGTTTTTAATCATGACTTTTCGCAAAAATAAATGCTGAAATATGATATTTCATCTAAAGAAATTTATGGGATGAAAAGTTTTTTGAAGATGATGACCATGATTTGGATGTTATCAGTATTGCTGCTGTTGTATTACAGACTTGGACCATAGGAAGAGTGATTGACAGTGTTGCTGATTTTAATAAGATTGTGAACTCTAACAACACAGGTAGTGAAAAGGTAAGGACAACTAACATTTCATCATTACAAAAGAACTTTGACATCAATAATGTGACTCTACAATCAAATAGAGGCTATGTCTTGCTTTAATTTGAAGGATTAATTAAGATTTTGATGATGAATTCTTGTTTTACTCTTGAAATCCTATTGTTACAGAAGTTACGGTTATTCCTGCATGACTGTGGGGTGTTGCTGGATACTACTGCATCCCTAGAGCTCTGCCTGCAGAAAGAAACTTTATATAATGGCAGCTCAGTTATTCTGGAGAGTGTACACTCAGACTGTTCTCAAATACACAATTTTAAAGACTATAAATCCTGACAGGAATTTTTTGTTATTAAATCTAGTTTTTATAAATATTTGTTTGTCTTGTTCTTGAAAATTAAAAAATATAAGTTTCTCGCATGGAATTAAATTAATTAATACAGCACCCGTCAATTTTCATTCAAGGAATTCAAAACAGCATACAATCACCAAAATGTGTCTCTGGCATCTAAATAATCCAGCAGTATGAAATGGTCTGGTGTTGATATACCATTCAAGTGTGATGGCTTCATGGAATGAATATTATAAGAATTGTAACATATATTGGAAGTGCAATAGAGCAGTCATCCATTTAATTGCTGATCATTTGCAAGGTGAAAACTTGACACTAAATCACACAGTCACAGAAAATCTGAAGGGTTGAAACCTCAGAACTAGAATCCAAAGCCCTAAACAAATCTAGAGGAACCTTGAGCTTCTAGTACAAGTGTGACATGCATTGAAGGTCCAACCAAGTGGTCATTCATCTAATATTGACTACACTAATGTTACTTTACTTTGGTACATGAATACAACATTCAATTGGATAGCCAATTAAGCTAGCTTTTGGACTCTGTAGCTGAAATCGTATATCCATGAACAATTACAGAGGCAAATAACATAATTAAAACAACCTCCAGGGTCAATGATTTCTGGGGGAAAATTCCACAAGGTCCAGAGTGATGATATCTTTATTCTGGTTTGCTGGTATGAGGGGCTTTCAAATCTGCATGGAAACAACATCACTCTCCTTCCTAGGTCACATAGGTTCAAACAACTTCTAAAGATCTTACCATCCTAAAGTCATTAAGTCAACCTCGTTTCATGTTCATGTCAAAATCATTCATTTTCATGGGGGATTTACCTTTGTTAATGTCCTCCTGGGTTCTCTTAAATTCACCAATTTTTATGTCTATGAACTGTGAGAATAAGTGCAAGGAGACTGAATAAACTTAATTTATTCACAAAATCAAGTAATAATGAAATATTGCATCTTCCTTAAAAAACCTGAAAATTGACACCTTCCCCTCCCCTTTTCCCTTCTTTTCTTATCCAAGAATTCCTCTCCAGAAATAGCAATAATAATTTTCAGCTGTCAAATGAAAGATGGTCGCCTGTCAGTATTTTGTTTTTGTGACAGTTCTAAAATCATCAAGGGCACAAGAATAGACCAAGGGAAACCTACATATAAAATCTGAGACAGATCCATACAGTACCTAAGAAACAGTGATAACCTTCCAATAAACTTACAATATCAAAATGTTTGATTCTGAGATCAGACTAAAAATTGCACAACTAGGGACAGAGAGGAACCTACAAAATCCAAGATGGCCAGTTTTCAGCCATGTTTTTTTTTCAGATCAGTCTGAATATTGGACATTGTGCAACTTGGTACTAAGGGGAATGTACATAAGAAATTTGAGAAAGATCTATCTAGTACTCTAGAAACAGGGATAATAAACTATCACTGTCAAAATCCAAGATGGCAAATACTCCAGAAATATGAAGAGAAAATTAATCACAACATACTAGCACATTAATTGTAGTTTGGTGTTTAACCTGTCTACTAGTTTTGCCTTTATCACGGAGGCTTTATCGAGGGACATTTTGCTAGCAACAACCCCCTGAAGTACTCTTCAGGAGGAAATTTCTTATTGTTAACAATGACTTAGTGTACAAGGGACAGTTTTCAATGGCAGGTAAGTGCCTTGATGTTCATGCAATTCACGTTTTTTAAAAAAGATTGCAGCAGTTATTGATTTTTCCAGAAAGCTACAAGAATTGTTCAGATCCAGATGATGGACTGACCATTGACGCAGGGCGATTTGAATAGCCCAACATCTGATGAAATAATGAAAGCTACTCCGTTTACACGACATGGAATGCCTTTCCATTAAAACAACTAAGAAATACCAAAGTCAATGAAACTAAGTAGAAATATGGTAAAAAAGATTTATACAGACCCTATAACTTGCAGGAGTGTTAGATGTCTTTTGCTTCATAGACAATACCTGCCATGTAAATATTGTTCAATCCAAGAAAGTGACCTTCCCATTTGAAAGCAAAGTTAATAATCCTCTCCACTGAACACCTTTCATTTACTGATATTTCTTGCTAAATAACAACTAGTAGTAACAATATGAATAATGATAATTAGCAAAATAAAGACATTCTGGATTAGTAGTGTATATCAGAAAAGATTAACTGTGATGCTCTTTTTGCCAAGTGAGGTGGTCATGTACACAATAAGGTAAATACATGGAATAAATCAAAACACCAGACATTGTTTTCCTCCAGGTTAAGTTTATTGTTTAGAAGATTTTGTATTAGCATGTAAATATTACCTGCCTTTTAACATGTGTCCTGTAAACAGAACAAATATCCCATTACCACTTGTAAAACAATGTTCTAAATCAACCTGACATTAATAAATGATAAATGAAAATCTATTTGATTCTCTGGAAAATCTTGTCATCGTCCATTGTCAAACTTGGACATTAACAAATGTCCGCTTGTTTTTGCAGTATCCTTCTTTTATAAAAGTTTTTATGTACCATCTGTAATACTTCTTACTCAAATATAAAAGTAAGCACTAATAATATCAACTATCACAATACTGTCTGGACCAGAAAATAAACATTTCTATAAAGCACATTGATGAACTACTTATTTACATTTTATTTCATATTCATTTTGTGAATTAGGCTGTGTTCTACAGAACTAAAGTATTACATTACTGAATATTTTTCAAATTTGCCAATACATTTCTGTGACTTGAGAAAAAGGCTGTATCCTACAGTGCCATGAAAAAAATAAATATTTTTATAACTGGTCTACACATTTCTGTGACTTAATTGTGAATCTTGAGGCTGTATCCTACAACGGTCATACTCCAAAGGTAGCATAGTAATACCTGTAAGTAATGGTCATACTCCACAGGTAACAAAGATTTGTCTACAGTTTCAAATGAAACATTCACTCGGGTAACAGTACGTTTCCTAAATTTTGGAATTTTTTCTATTATCATCTTGATAACATTCCAAGATCAGTATTTTAAACAGTGTAACTCTACTAGTAGAAGTATTTCTGTAAGGCAACCTCAAATGAAAGTAAACTAATCTATGGTAGGTAAAAAAACTTCAGTGACAAACAGTTGTGACAAACTGTCTCATAAAGGGGTTAAGAATAGGTTTCTTTTATTAAGTGGAAGATCAAGACAACCAAAAATATGGAGACATATATAAATACAACTGTACCTCAATCATGTGAACATGTTATGTACAGAAACTGTACATCAACCCTGTATCAAAAGTACAGAAACTGAACTTCACCAATCCTGTATCAAATTAACAATCAAGTTGACTTTGGAGTGGACTTGCGAGGAGCCTTCAAGAACCCAACTCTACGTAGGTACTGCACGATGAATGGTGTTGCAGTGAGTGTGATTCCAATTCGAACTGGGGCAAACACTTTGTGTACAGCATAGGCAATGACAAATGTGCTAGCACCTGCAGCCACCTTTGATTGGGAAATGCTCTCTCCTATTCCAACCTTAGTCAAGAGTCCAACGACGTCAATCCCACTGCAAAGAACAAATATTACTCATACAGAAACTTATCATTCAGTTTTATAATACAGGAAATTCAATAAATATTTATTCAGAGTTCATCAATGTCTAAATAAAACCACTTACATGTCACTGGTCTGATCAATAATGAACGGACCCTTATCTAAAAAAATTGTAAAGAATACAATGGAGGGCAGCTCGTTTAATTGTCAACAAGTAAAAACCTTTAACCTTCCTGTTCTTACATTGTCAAATTCCAAGATGGCTGCCTTTCAGCCATTTAACTTTTCAAAAATGTAAAGAGGACATCTAGTGACAAATGGGAACCTACATATGGATCCATCCATCAATTTTCTTAAAATTGCAATATCAAACTTTCATTGTCAAATACAATACAACTAAGAATCAAGGAAAAGTGTCTGATGAAATTTAAGAAAGACCAATCCAATTCTTTTCAAGAAATAGTGATAGCAATAATTGTTCTCATTCAAATGACAGACCAGCATACCATATCTGATGATAATGGGCTAAAAATATGTTAAATAAGATAATACTTCCTCTAATATCAACATGTTCTGAAAAATTATGATGCAATATATACTTAAGTAAATAAACTTTTATCTTAGTGTAACTCATTGATATATATGATCTACACCAGTTTCTCCCACCAAATCAAATATACCTTGACACCAAAGCGTAGAACCCTCCAAGAGACATCAAAGCAAGGCTAACATGGAAAATGATCACAGTGGAACCATATTCTGCTATAGCTTTCTTTAAATTGGCCCTGGAATATTTTGCAGAATTGTCTAGGCTTTGATCAGATTCAGGTGGGTTGTTACCAACCTCTTGTGAATCTTGGTTTTGTTTTGAGGTTGAATAATGCCTCATTTGTTGACAACCAATTACAAATGAGTAAATGGTTTGGTCCTGTTGGTTAAAGATTCTGGATGAACTGTTGTTCCTTATCTTGAACCATTGTAGATTTTCTTTACGATATTTGTGAAGGTGAAACCCATTACAATTTTCTAACCATAGTCCAAATGTTATGTCATCGTTGGCCTGGCTACTGCATAATGCAGAAACATCCATCGGTGTATCTGGAGATACATTGGATTGGTGACTCCAAATACTTTTTCTATTTCTTTCTGCTGTGTTTCGAATGATTTCCTCTTGTTCCAAGAAAACATGAGCTTGAGTTTCCATTCCAAATTGATTATATTTTTTATCGTAGTTTTTAAGCCCATAACCAACACCTTCAATACCTTGTGATTTCACAGAATTATCAATGAATGCACCATGGTAATTTGGTTGTGTATCTTGAGACAGATGTTGAACGCCTACATGAAAAGAACGTCTTGGAGGCTGTGAACTATTGACATCATTTCGACCACCTGATATATATTTCTGATATAGTTTTTTGCCATTTCCTGGCATGTTTTGTGGTGTACCGTGATCCAGCTGTGAAGTAAAGTGGCCAGACTGAACTTTATATGGGTCTGGAACATTCGTCTGCATACATCCATGCAAACTGATGTTTCTGGAATATGAATAGTTCCGAATATTTTCTGGAATTTGAGAATCAACGACGTTGGTAGCAGACGCATTTCCTAAAGCAACTAATTCATCGTGTCCCCCCTGAATCCCTTGTACACTTGGGCCATGTATCGAGTATTCTATTGCCTCTTCCAAAATCTTCCGAGATTCCTCAGCTGAAATATCTCTATCGGGGCCTTGGACACCTTCTATCGTCGGATAATTGCTATCATTCTGACGTTCATCAGCAAAGGCATGACGTGATGCCACTTTTGTTTCATGAACAGTTATCACCGATCTGTTTCTTACGCCACTTACAGTTAGCGCTACCTTCCTGAACGAGATCATTTTCCTGACTGACATGAGTTGTTTTGATCCGGGGTTATAAACCTACACGCTTGTTTACATTTTTTGCTTGATTAGAACGGGGCCAAGTTCAAGAACGTCAAAGTTATATGGGAGCTTATTTATTATTCAACCCTCATGATATATACAAACGTTTTGACGACTGTTTTATCTATCTATGCGATCCTCTCTTGACTAACCTTATATTTACCCATGATAGTGTCAGAAGAGTGCCGAATAGACAAATACCTGGCTTCCGCGTGGGTCATGCCTGATAAGTTCATGTTCAGTGCGTACAAGTGAACATGAAATAGGTCAGCTAAATATAACTTTTTTGACAAATAGGGTTGTTTGCCAATAAAAGAGGCTATCAGATTTTTAAAAAATATGGTAAACATGTTATGCGCGATCGTAGGAGCTCAAACAATCACTCGCCAAAAGGCGATAATAAGCTATGGCTAAGGGGCCTAGTAATGTGAACTTAGCTGGAACCTAAGTGCCAATTTGGTCAAAATTTTCGGCCATTCACGATCAATATAAAACTATTGTTAAAAAGACACTTTGAGGTCAGGTGTATAAGTTTTTCGAATTACTATACTCGGTGTTTTCTGCTTACTAAATCGAAGTCCGTGGTATTGGATCCTAGGAAATGAACCTGATTAAGTACATCAAGGTCACATCAGTTATAACTAGTGAAATTACACTTAAATTTTTTTTGCTATAATTACACGAAACTTCAAAACCAACATTGAAAATTACTTACAATAATGTCTATAATTTATGTACATGACTATGGAGAGTCTGGACGCTGCACAAAAAAACATGTCGCAAAGTGCGTTGCACTTGTCCAATATTCAGATCGGCATTTTCCTCTGTGACTTAGATGTATTTGTGGTAGGCTGTTGTGTTAGCTTCTGACATTATATATACAACACGGAAGAGTTATTATAAGTATAATTACCACGAGTTTGAGGCGCCGTTTAAATTTTTGCATTTGGCGAGTATTCAATAGATGAGTCATATGATCACCTATTCATTAGGATATGGTGCGACATGTATATTTTAGATATCGTCATAAATGAATTGGTTATATTAACACATATATGTGTGCGTGTGTGTGTGTATATATATATGCAATGATGAATGTGACATTGCCTAATCGTTTTAGTGATGTACATTGTAACTTAAGTGGACTAAACACGGAAGGACTGTAACACGCAAGAGCAATTGCGGTAAAGAGTCTTGCCCAAGGTCACAACCACGACAGCACAGACCGGTTGGATTCTCACAAACACAAAAACAACGACGGGAAAGGAGCATCGAACCACGTCGCACCTCGGATCTTCAGCAACTGTAGACTCCGACTGAGCTGTCACGACCCAGAGTTATTTAAATACCACATTTATAACTAATAACTGTCTGTAAGGGTCATTCTTTTATTGCCTCATGGAATGGTTTAAAAGGCCGTAATAGCGGTCGTAGACCTCCTTCAATAATCAGATAATTCCTCATGTAATATACATGATAGTGATTGAACCTCTCTATAAAACAGACCTACCTATAGAGGTCACTATTCTCTGCTCCGTTGGGTTGCCTTTGTAGACAGGTCTACTATGCTTGAAAAGATTAATAGCTTAAGTTCAACAACAGCTTTAAAGACGATGGAATTATATTTTGCATTATCAACGAGAATGTGGACACGACGGAATCAAACACTCGGCGAATGCAGCAATGATGTATACTGTGTACTAATTGATAGAAAAAATGTGTCCTTGGCCATGATCAGATGTGATACCTCAAAAGTACATACCAGTGTAAATCCAGTAGTAGGCCAATTTTATACTACAGGTCACACCTATAAAACGGACACATGTGTCTAGTTCTCCTAACATGTAATGGTTGGGCAGTCTTGTTTTTTTTTCAGTTTAAACTGACGAGTTTTCCGTACTTTTAATGTGTTAGCTTCACTAGTCATGATACCACATGTTTGCTAATTCATATGATTGATGATATTTCTACATTTCAGTGAATCGGTAACTGTTGTATGCTTCCTAAATCTTACGTGAAATGGAAATAAATTAAGATCCCTTTTATTACAGAATCAATTATTTCTGCTAAAATTGTAGGAAATACGTTTTTCTTTATCATTTTCATATGTATTTGAATATTATCTTCGTTCGCACAAAGACTTTTTTGACTACATAGAGAATACATTGTCAGTGTCTGAAAATATAAGTGACAAAAGCGGCGAGCCTCTGTCCTGAATATTCTATTTATCCTGAGCAGCGGTTGAAATTTCGGACTATCAAAACGTCAAGTGTTTTGTTCAATATTTGTTGAACTAACGTTAACGTTACGCTGAATTTGGTTTAATGACGTACACCAAAACAATTGATCCGCCCGAAAATATAGTTCCAAACTTCAACAGACATAACAGCAATTTTACGGATTTTCATACATAAACACGTTCTTTACAATATATGTAATTGCTTTTTAGATAGTTATTTATGTCTTTCTAAACGTTATACTTGAGTAGATTTATAAAGCATTTCTATAGAATTAATCCATGTATAAGTACATCTCTTTTCCCTGCCGGGAACTGCTAAACGATGTACAGGACAGGTGTTTTCCAAATATCCACAAGCCAAGCTATCCATTACGACCGATTGTGGACAGCACAAGGTTAATCGGATACAGTGTATCAGGATGACTAGCAGATATCCTGTGGCAGCTTCTGGGGAAAATAACGATAAAGTATCAATATGGCCGGTAAACATCCTCAGGCCACTTGTGGGAAAACACAACCTCACGTGAAAAACTCAGAAGAGGCGACAATTTTTAGGGTTTTGTGAAATCATCATATCTTCTCTCCTATAAGGCCACATGCGGCGTGGTTGACCAAATTCCAGGTACATCGGTGAAACTGGACGAAGATTTGGCACACGCATCAAGGAATATAAAAAATAAGTTGTCAAAACTGAAAGCAAGTTATACACTAAAATACCAGAAATATACTAGGAAAAGGACACGATTAATCAGCCATCACACACCATATAATGGACTGGAGCAGCTCGAAGGTAATGGAAAGAAAGGATCACTAGAAACTGAGAAAGACGAAGAAATCTGGATAAGGGAGGAAGGAGAACTGATAGATAGAGAAGAACGAGGCACGAACTGATAGATAGGGAAGAATGAGGCACGAACTGATAGATAGAGAAGAATGAGGCACGAACTGATAGATAGAGAAGAATGTGGCACGAACTGATAGATAGAGAAGAATGAGGCACGAACTGATAGATAGAGAAGAATGAGGCACGAACTGATAGATAGAGAAGAATGAGGCACGAACTGATAGATAGGGAAGAATGAGGCACGAACTGATAGATAGGGAAGAACGAGGCACGAACTGATAGATAGAGAAGAACGAGGCACGAACTGATAGATAGGGAAGAACGAGGCACGAACTGATAGATAGAGAAGAACGAGGCACGAACTGATAGATAGGGAAGAATGAGGCACGAACTGATAGATAGGGAAGAATGAGGCACGAACTGATAGATAGGGAAGAATGAGGCACGAACTGATAGATAGAGAAGAATGAGGCACGAACTGATAGATAGAGAAGAATGAGGCACGAACTGATAGATAGAGAAGAATGAGGCACGAACTGATAGATAGGGAAGAATGAGGCACGAACTGATAGATAGGGAAGAATGTGGCACGAACTGATAGATAGAGAAGAGACACGAACTGATAGATAGAGAAGAATGAGGCACGAACTGATAGATAGAGAAGAATGAGGCACGAACTGATAGAGAAGAATGAGGCACGAACTGATAGATAGAGAAGAATGAGGCACGAACTGATAGATAGAGAAGAATGAGGCACGAACTGACAGATAGAGAAGAATGAGGCACGAACTGATAGATAGGGAAGAATGTGGCACGAACTGATAGATAGAGAAGAGACACGAACTGACAGATAGAGAAGAATGAGGCACGAACTGATAGATAGAGAAGAATGAGGCACGAACTGATAGATAGAGAAGAATGAGGCACGAACTGATAGATAGAGAAGAATGAGGCACGAACTGATAGATAGAGAAGAATGTGGCACGAACTGATAGATAGAGAAGAATGAGGCACGAACTGATAGATAGAGAAGAATGAGGCACGAACTGATAGATAGAGAAGAATGAGGCACGAACTGATAGATAGAGAAGAATGAGGCACGAACTGATAGATAGAGAAGAATGAGGCACGAACTGATAGATAGGGAAGAATGTGGCACGAACTGACAGATAGAGAAGAATGAGGCACGAACTGATAGATAGAGAAGAATGAGGCACGAACTGATAGATAGAGAAGAATGAGGCACGAACTGATAGATAGAGAAGAATGAGGCACGAACTGATAGATAGAGAAGAATGAGGCACGAACTGATAGATAGAGAAGAATGAGGCACGAACTGATAGATAGAGAAGAATGAGGCACGAACTGACAGATAGAGAAGAATGAGGCACGAACTGAGATATAGGGAAGAATGAGGCACGAACTGACAGATAGGGAAGAATGAGGCACGAACTGACAGATAGGGAGGAATGAGGCACGAACTGATAGATAGAGAAGAATGTGGCACGAACTGATAGATAGAGAAGAATGAGGCACGAACTGATAGATAGGGAAGAATGAGGCACGAACTGACAGATAGGGAAGAATGTGGCACGAACTGATAGATAGAGAAGAATGTGGCACGAACTGATAGATAGAGAAGAATGAGGCACGAACTGATAGATAGGGAAGAATTTGGCACGAACTGACAGATAGAGAAGAATGAGGCACGAACTGATAGATAGGGAAGAATTTGGCACGAACTGACAGATAGAGAAGAATGAGGCACGAACTGATAGATAGGGAAGAATGAGGCACGAACTGACAGATAGGGAAGAATGTGGCACGAACTGATAGATAGAGAAGAATGAGGCACGAACTGATAGATAGAGAAGAATGAGGCACGAACTGATAGATAGAGAAGAATGAGGCACGAACTGATAGATAGAGAAGAATGAGGCACGAACTGACAGATAGAGAAGAATGAGGCACGAACTGATAGATAGAGAAGAATGTGGCACGAACTGACAGATAGAGAAGAATGAGGCACGAACTGATAGATAGAGAAGAATGAGGCACGAACTGATAGATAGGGAACAATGTGGCACGAACTGACAGATAGAGAAGGATGAGGCACGAACTGATAGATAGAGAAGAATGAGGCACGAACTGACAGATAGAGAAGAATGAGGCACGAACTGACAGATAGAGAAGAATGAGGCACGAACTGACAGATAGAGAAGAATGAGGCACGAACTGACAGATAGAGAAGAATGAGGCACGAACTGATAGATAGAGAAGAATGAGGCACGAACTGACAGATAGGGAAGAATGTGGCACGAACTGATAGATAGAGAAGAATGAGGCACGAACTGACAGATAGAGAAGAATGAGGCACGAACTGATAGATAGAGAAGAATGTGGCACGAACTGACAGATAGAGAAGAATGAGGCACGAACTGACAGATAGAGAAGAATGATGCACGAACTGATAGATAGGGAAGAATGTGGCACGAACTGACAGATAGGGAAGAATGAGGCACGACCTGACAGATAGGGAAGAATGTGGCACGAACTGACAGATAGGGAAGAATGAGGCACGAACTGATAGATAGGGAAGAATGAGGCACGAACTGATAGATAGAGAAGAATGTGGTTCGAACTGACAGATAGAGAAGAATGTGGCACGAACTGATAGATAGAGAAGAATGAGGCACGAACTGAGATATAGGGAAGAATGAGGCACGAACTGACAGATAGGGAAGAATGAGGCACGAACTGATAGATAGAGAAGAATGAGGCACCAACTGATAGATAGGGAAGAATGAGGCACGAACTGATAGATAGAGAAGAATGAGGCACGAACTGAGCCATCTACATGATCCCCATGTTAACAACCAACATGGGATGAAACACCCACTGTCCCTCTGACTGGCTGCAGCATAAGAGTGTGATTGGGACGAAATAGCATCGTGACAATTTCACAGTTGACTTAACAGTTTTGTCATTCGCCAAATACTGAACTGATGTCTAGACTCCTTTGTGTTTAAAATAAACATCTTCTTACAGTCTTCTTACTTCTTACTGGTTAAGAGAATGTTTGTTGTACTTTTTAAATTATGATTTCCACTTGAATTACAACAACCTTTTTATGTCATCTAGAATTGAAAACAAGGTAAATGATAACAGATTTTTTTTATTTTTTGAATAAACACGGTGCCAAGAAAACAATTGATTGTAAGTTAACAACTACAAAAAGCTAGTGAACACTCCACTGTCAGCAATTAGTAATGAACATCGCCCTCACGTTTCTCCTCGCTGGCTAACGTACATCCTGACTGCTAATGTGTTTCTTTCTGAAAGCAAATGCATAAACAAAAAAGTTAGGAAAGGAAATAGAAAACATGCATGCTATTCTAAAGTCCTATTACACAAGGTTCATAAGTCATATGGATTCCTATCACACACAAGTCAAGAGACATCTGGATTCCTATCACACACGAGTCAAGAGACATCTGGATTCCTATCACATACGAGTCATGAGACATCTGGATTCCTATCACACACGATTCAGAAGTCATCTTTTGTCCTATCACACACAAGTCATGATTCATCTGAAGTCTCTTTTTTGTTATAGTGATTAAAATTTCAGAAAATGTATGTTATAAATATGTAAACATGGATAGAAATTTACATACACGTGCAAAACGTAATCCACATAAACTAGCCTAAACCGGAACAAGCGTCGTTTTTTGTCAAACTTCAAGTTACCATGTGAATTTCTTTCTGGTTAGGACAGTTCTATGATATTGAACGTGAAATACATTGACAGTGTTGTTTCTTAAACCTCCTTATTGAAATAGATCTTGATTATTGGCATTCGTAATCACCACCATAAAATACTTACAAAAAGTCCATCACCACCACCATTCAGTGAACCTAAAATAAACAAAAGAGTGAGTTAAACTGATGATTGCTCACCGAAAACAATTTTATTGGAAACAGAATTATAACAAAAGGCAATAATTATGTAATTCAAGGGGTTCAGGCATTGAATTTGGTTACACTGTTACAAAGGACACTAAATCTGTAATAATGTGGTTGCGGCCACTGGTTTTGGAATACTGAACATCATTTTTCATTATCCTAGCTTTAATACAAGCAAAGTTATGAACCGGACTTAAAAGAAATACAAAAGGGCAATAACTCTGAAATTAAGATGTCACAGTCCCTGACGTCGGGACACTGAACATTGCGTTTGTATACATCACTTTCAATAACGTTGTTTAAATGCATGCCCGTGATGCTTTTCATACAAAATGTTAACATATGGCAATGGCTCTGTAATAAAGGGGTTGCAGACCAGGAGGTTTGTACACTGCACATCCTCTTAATAATATTAATGTATATATTAAGTTTGATTATCCTAGTTTAAATGCCAGCAAATTGAAGTTGTCCTCTAGATTCGGAATTTTAACAAAGGTCAATGAAGTAAGGGGTTGCGGGCCTTCAATTTGGTACACTGCACATAGTCTTTGTATGGCTAACATATACACGAAGTTTCATTATCTTAGTTTAAATGTTCCGTACACGAAATTTTAACAAACGACAATAACTCTATAATTGAGAGGTTGCAGACCCACAATTCGGTATACTGAGCAGCTTAGTGTGACCTATGTATACACAAAGCTTCATGATTCTTCCTTAACTGTAAGTAAAGTTATGCTCTGGACCCGAAAGGACGGGCGGAGAGACAGACGGACGGTCAAGGTGAGGACTATATGCTCATCCGAAAATTTTCGGGGAGCATGAAATGTGCATAGAAATATATATATATATATATACATGTATATCACAACACATTGTAAGAATACATACATTCCCTCAAATATATAGTTGTACGGCCCTGTGTTGTTACACCACCGAACTGATGATAATAAAGAAACGGTATGGAGTTACATCCTAATGTTGAGCGTTTCATAAACATAAGTATGATATATTTAATGCTTCACAAGAATGAATACGAAGGTAAGAGAATATTGAATTAGAGAAGTCTTACCAGAGTCGGAGAATGCACCAAAGCTGTCGATAGGGACAATTCCCATCTGGTCTAAGCCGCCTAGTCCAAGGTCTTTTCCTCCGAGTCCACCTCCAAAATCGGCATTTTTACCGTGTCCAAAACCCAAATCCACATTTCCGTGTCCTAGTCCAAGATCCCCATTTCCTTTTCCAAATCCCAAATCCACATTTCCGTGTCCTAGTCCAAGATCCCCATTTCCTTTTCCAAATTCCAAATCCACATTCCCGTGTCCTAGTCCCAGATCCCCATTTCCTTTTCCAAATCCCAAATCCCCGTTTCCATGTCCTAGTCCCAGATCCCCATTTTCGTGCCCCAATCCGAAATCTCCAATTCCCATGCCAATAGATCCATGTCCAAAGCCCATATCAGCTGCTCCAAGCCCTACACCACCAACTGACCCTGTAGATGATGAATATTACAATTAAATACAAATCTTATCTAGTAGACCCTGTAGTAGACTTTGACGAGATTCTCTATAATTAACATTTACCAAATCTGGAAATTAATTCTCAAATTTGAACTAAAGATAGTTGTGCAAGAACTTCCCACGAACACTTTTTTCACAGTGAGTTAGTTTCTTGACACAGGAATTATACTCTAACAATGTTTGATATGCATGTCTTCATTTGCGGCTATTAACTTTCGTGACTTTGTCTGGATTGCGAAATTCGTGAAATAAAATCGCACAAGAAAAAAATTGTTTTACAATGTAATGTTTGAACATGATTGAACGTCTACACTGGAATTATAAAAACGTTCATATCTGTCTTCTCGTCACATCAATTATGGTCCTGTAAATTAAGATATTTACGCGAACAGTTTGTAGACATCGGAATCCGTTTATTAAGAATACCAACAAATGAAAGAAAATAAACTCCCACGAAAATAATGTTCAATGTAATTCAATTGATTTTTCACACCAAGTCAAAGACAAAAAAATTACCTGACAGTTGTTGTGCCACTGGAACAGGGTTGTTCACAACAACGGTGCGGTCACGTGGCACGACCTGCTTTACAGGTACCGGGTTATTTACTAAAACTGAGAAGTTCAACAGGGTTAAGCAATTTTTTGAAATTATTATTATTATTATTATTAACATTGGGCGATATTAAAATCTAATGGTAGTATCAAAACCATGTGGTTGAGTGAATGCCTACTGAGCCAAATAAAACCAAATGGTTAGCACAATATGAAAACATGTATTGAAGAATGAGTTATGTAAACGAAATACACGTAGTTGATACTATCTGTATCTGTTGCATTTGTGTACCTGCCTTCTTGTATCTGTGGCATTCGGGTACCTGCCTTTCTATATCTGTGGCATTTGTGTACTTGCCTTCCTATATCTGTGGCATTTGTGTACCTGCCTTCCTATATCTGTGGCATTCGTGTACCTACCTTTCCGTATGTCATTTGTGTGCCTACCTTTCTGTATCTGTGGGACCTTCTTTGTCAGCACTACCGTCTGGATCTTGGGAACTTTAATGAAATTAACATCGATAACTACATCTGCATGGATCACAGCTATTCCAGTTATCTGGATATTTTCTAGTAACCTTATAACAATGCAGTTTAATCGTCAAAACTCAATTTGCCATTGATTCAATTATTTATAACATTAGTAATAAGTGAATAATTAAAAACGGACTTTTTAATGTTCAAAAATTCTTTTGAAATGAGATTGAATTGTTCCGATGTTTATCATAGAATTATCAATTCATTATTAAATAACATAATATTCGGAAATGCGTATTCACACTATTTACTGTCACGTCGCTACTTACCTTGTTTCACCATTACATCTATTGAAAATAGACAAAAGGTAAATTAATACGAATTCATGTATTTGTCTCAAAACAAATCATATGTGGAAATTTTGTTGTACATAAGCATTTCAATGTACATGTATTATTAAATATGATAATATTACATACACGAAGCACTCGATAACTTAGACGACATTGAATCACACCGCATGTTGCGGTTCAGAATACCTATAAGCTTGGCTCTTGGTTATATCACTTGTTCGTTAATTAAAAATACAATTTTACTCAGCAAAGTGTTGTTGTAATACGTTCCGTATCCCAAATCTAATGCACTTCTCATTTAAATAAAACAAATTACTAAGTATAAAATAACAACAATCCGTAACAAGTTGTCAGTAGCCTTATTCCCTCAATGACTTATTTAGTAACGTGATAGAAACATTAAACGGTATACTTACGATGTCTGTTGATGACAACTGGAAAGAAATACACATCATTACTACAGAATGGTTTAGATATATCGTAAGTCTAACGGAAACACGTTCAATCTTCAATGCTTTAGATATATCAGTATAACAGAGGCACATAGTTACTCTATATTGGTTAAGATATATCGTAATTTTATCAGAAACAGTTACTCTACAATGATTTAGATATATCGTAAGTCTAACAGAAGCACATTTATTCTACAATGTTTTAGATATATCGTAATTCTATCAAAAACACAGTTATTCTACAATGGTTTAGATAAGTGAAAAATCGAGATACGTTCAAAGTTTAAAGTTTTATCATAAAAAAACTGAAATATTGTATTTGTTATAAAAATATATTTCTATATTTATGGATACGCTGTCAAACAGATTTCGTGTCATGATTATAATAGATAACACGAAAATGATGACAAACAAAACACTTCTATACTTACATGGTCTTTTAACTTGAAACGCTGAAAAAAAGAACATATCATATGTAATTCATTGTAGTGAGATGTAAGTGCTACTTCATTGTAAAGAGATAAAAGTGTTCGACACCCTCAAATTACACATTATTATTTCATCAATGATTCCCAAGAAGGCTAATTATTTAATTCAGTTACTTCAAAACTTTATTTGAAAATCCTGTCATTGTCCATCATCTAATTGCTTCTGACCTGTTCTAAAAATAATTAGATTAACATACTATAGTCAAACCCTTGAAAAAAATAATTTTTTCTTGTCATCTTTTAAAATGTTTATCTGAAATATTCACGAGCTTGTTCAATTCTATTTTGGTGAGTAATAATGATAATGATGGCGTAAGTGACGTCATACAAACTGTAGCGATAAATTAACATTTCGCAACAAAACCTAAGACAGAAAGGCTTTACCAGCATGCGTACCCTCCTCTTTTTTTGTTATTGCATCTATATTTCGGAATAATACTTTGGACATGCAACCTTGAGTTCATCATGATATATGGGCTAACAGCAAGCAGCAGTTTAATACAATGATAAATGTGCTGAGTAGTATCTAATTATGATACCTTGTGATTGATTAATGTATACACATTATTGTAATACTAACACCTGAGGACGGTGTATTACCGCTGACCTACCGTCCATCTATCAATCAGACAGACATGTGTGAGGAGTTCAGATGATTGTTTCTGGGTTAGCATTGATAAATCACTTAAGTTGTTGCATTCACAGCATTATCGTGCGTCGTGTTTTCCCTGTTGTATTTCGGTATTCTTTCACAAAAAAGGATATTTATAAAAGCTATTCACAAAAAAGGTATAAGAAACGTCCTAGGTGCACTGAATATAAGTTATATTTCATACTTTCAACTTTTTGTAATGCGTTTACAGGAGATTTGTGAAAAGAAAAAGGAATTTGAACAAATTCGATTTGCATGGATTTTGACTTCTAAAATTATCTGTTATATGCTGCATTTCCCCGTCTAGATTTTAACGTTTCTTTCGATCACTTTGGATTTTCCCTATTTGCCTCTTAGACTTAGGCCCTCAGCATCGCTGACGAGTCCCAAAAGGACGAAATAGCTGTATGATGCAGTTTAAGTCATTGTTTGGCTCTGCTGTAGCAAATCCAAATTGGTATTAAAATGTGATATTCATTTGTGTCTTTTGTTTTTTAGCGTAAACAAACGAGAGAATAAAAGAAAGAAGAGAATGAATTAAAGGTCAGTCCCATGAATTAACAGCCACCGAGTCCGTTATCATAGAGTTGAATAAAGTGAAAAAGAGTTAATTGGAAAGACTTTTGCAGGTTGTAAATGAATGAGCATCAATCTCAGACATATCGCTCAAATAACCAATTATTTTATACAGGGAGTTTAATATGTGTAAAAATTTCAAGATGAAGAAACTTGTTCAAGAAATCATACATTTACAAAATAGCCATTGCATGTCATGTCATAAAAACGTGAATATCTTAACACCTAATCATCAGCATATCACACTTAGACACCAAGTCAGGAGAAATGAGATATGTATAGGAATTTACTGAATATGGACAATTTTACGAACATACAAGAAAGCATCATCGACTCCGAAGGCAGGTTCCCACCTTATTACGGTGTGTGATATGATATGCGTAACCCATCAATGTTCTCATTTGGTTAATTAGTGACCATTAGGGTTACAAAAATGAGTGAAACAAAAATGATAATGATTGTAATAAAAATAATTCTAACAAAGTTCAAGTCCATCATAGACCGTATGAAAACATTCAGAAAACGACTGTCCTCATTGATTTACAAAAACAATTATAAAACTACTCACGTGTAGGTACAGAAATTGAGAAATTACTACTTACGCATAGGTACAGGAACTGAAAAATCATGTTAAATCATATCAAAACATTGTATGAGATTCTTACACTTTGCATATTACTTTCCGTTACAGATATAATTACAGATATGAAGTATTGCATTTAAACAAATATACCAAAGGTTTGCATGCTGTGACGTCATTGAAAACATATACTCTAAATCCTTTAAACAATACTATAGACACGTTATTTTAATGCCGTTCATGGAAGTAAACATCTATAGTATATATCTACCAATTAGAAGTTTGTAAAGAAGGGAAATTGTCCATTGATAGATAAAAAATGTCAAGGAGGAAAAACTGACCTATTTTTGTGAAAACACGTCTTCGATAGCCAACTGTAAAATAGATAATGGAAAAATTAGCAATAACAAGATATCAAGCATGAAAATAATTAACCAATATTCGAAATGAACACCTTTATAAGTGATATGTATAAGTAAAAGGATTTACTCACATCCCTCGGAAGAACCTGAAATACAAAAATAAAGATATTTAGAAATTGTTTCCATTATGAATAAAGCAAGAGTGACATTTCAATTTTTGTGTAATTAGCTTGAAAGTTATTTTCTATTTGTTTGAATGATTAATTAATTCCGCATATCGAAATTGAAATTTCTACTAAAATACACATGCCGTTATATCCTATTAGGATTACAGCCCACATACCTGCCGCTAGGGCAATCACTATTAAAAGCGCTACACCGTTCATGCTGACAGTTCTCCGACTGGACTCTCAAGGACACTGTGAAGCAACAATCCAACACTGGCCTTTTATATAGGTCAGGAGGCAGGTGTATTACTTACAATTTGATTATATTTACTTCTATACATCGAGACATTCATTTGACACCTTTGTCTAAACGGAGATGGTTCAGTATACTTGCAAGATGGTGAGTCGAGTGTCAGAGACATGACATTTTTAGTACCGATACATCCTTTGGCGTGTATTGCTCATAAACCAACATGTACAACCTCAATGCATATCCACATCTCATCAACAGATATTACGACTTGGCGAAAACTTCATGATAGTCTTAGTGAGTTGTGAATTATTGAACTTGTCAGGCTTTGTGGTATTCATGCTTTGACTGAAGCATGTATCAGATGAATAAATGTCTTTAGGTCTGACAGACAACGAACAAAAGTCTATATGAGCTTTTTTAACCCTGAAGCTGTGGGATTTTACAGCGTAAACTAGAACTGTCATGGTAAGGATAACTAAACTTGAGACGCAGTTTCGATGATTTAGTTTCAGTCAGAGTGACCTCAAAGTAGTTTGTATAAGATTAATTTCCCTCGACACATACCATCCCCTTGTCATGCCCTATCTTACAAGGGTTACCACTTTAACGTTAAGAGTTTTCTACCAGATTAACACGAAAACTCTTCCAAAAAAAAGTATCCACAATATTCTCATCTAAATTGTTCCACGAATAATACCCGCGATATTCTAAGTTGAAAATGGTTTCAGAAATAATACCGACAACATTTTTACTGCAACTATTCCATAAGTATTACCTACACCTACGTCATTATCGTCAAACATTGTTCCAAAAATAGCTCGAGATATTCTCATCCACTCTTTGGAAATTATTTTAAAAAAGCCCGCGACTTTCACATCAAACTTTGTTACATAAATAATAACTCCAACATTCTCATTGAAAATGGTTCCAGAAATAATACCGACAACATTTTCAATGAAAAAAAAAATTCCCGCGTCATTCTTACCAACAAATATAAAACATAACAATAGCTACATCATTCCCATCAAACATTGTTCGATAAATAATGCCTATTATCAGGAAAAGTGTTTCCGAAAATAATACTAGCATCATACTCATCAAAAAACATTCCAAAAATAATACAAGCGACATACTTACTTCGCCGTCAGGTCTCGATTTCGATTAACATCATCAGGGGTCTCCGTATCCGTAAATCTTTATCTTGTCCGTATTTTTTTCTGAGACTCTTGAGTCTGAATTAAAATTATGTCGGCTGCCGGTATTTTAGTTGATGCATTTGCATTGACATGGACACCATTGAAAACATACAGGAAGAATATCATCAGATTTTCATTCGATCAATGCCACTGTTTAGACTATACACATGTATTTGACATTGTTTTAAAATCATCAGAAACATGAAAATTACAAAATTCACTGAATTATTTAGCTAGTGCACATCCCCATCTTTGATTTTTCTTTCGGTTACTTTGGATTTTCCTCGGTCGCCTCCTATGCTTCAAAAATTAGGTTCTTAACATCACTGACAAGAAGGACGAAACAGCATGATGCAGTTTAATTCATTGTTTGGCTCTACTGCAACTAACTGTAAAATTGTGTAAAAAAAAGTGCTATTCAATCAAGTGTCTTTTGTACAATCTTTCAAAGTAAGGAACAAGATATGACAAACCTGCAAGTTATAAACGAGACCTAAGTTAGAGTGCACTTAGCACTTAATTATATTAAATGTTGCTTTTCATTTGTGCGTCTTTTGTACAATCAATGAGGTTGAAGACACTTGATAAGTAATACTAAGATGTCCATACTTAGATATACGTAGCCCTGGCGACACCCACTAAACATGTCTCTCTCAATCAATTTTCCCGGGCTCTCTTAACACCGATATAACTGGTATGCCAATAAAACCAGGGAAAGCGAAAGGTTTACAGTGTAATCTGACAGATCAGGATAACATATGTCTTCTGTGGTGAAAGAGACAAGTTTATCTTATCATTCGAGAGTTCATTTTGCTTTCAACAGTATTAGTATATTCCTATAGAATATATTTTGTCAAAATCTACTATTATCTTTCTGAAACCGTAAATGATGGTCCGACCATTTCATCAGCTGAGGTATCAAGAGACCAAATCAACTGCTCTCAACAAAATCTCCAGAGAATAAATTGTGTCAGACGGCCTCAACATCAACACAAAAGCTAAAGGTCACATCAGCTGTATCCCTTTTTACTTAACCTCAGTTTATTACCTAGGTGTCAGACCGGCACTATAACTTCTTACTTCATCTCAACATAGTATCTAGAGGTCAGACCGGCAGTATTCCTTTTACTTCACCTCAACATAGTATATAGAGGTCAGCCCGGCATTATTTCTTCTTACTTCACCTCAACATAGTATATTGAGGTCAAACCGGCGGTATTCCTTTTACTTCACCTCAACATAGTATAAAGAGGTCAGACCGACAGCATTTCTTCTTACTTCACCTCAACTGGTATATAGAGGTCAGACCGCTTTATTCCTTCTTACTTCACCTCAACATAGTATATTGAGGTCAGACCGGCATTATTTCTTCTTACTTCAACTCAACATAGTATCCAGAGGTCAGACCGGCATTATTCCTTTTACTTCACCTCAACATATTATCTAGAGGTCAGACCGCTTTGTTCCTTCTTACTTCACCTCAACATAGTATATTGAGGTCAGACCGGCATTATTTCTTCTTACTTCAACTCAACATAGTATCCAGAGGTCAGACCGGCATTATTCCTTTTACTTCACCTCAACATAGTATCTAGAGGTCAGACCGCTTTGTTCCTTCTTACTTCACCTCAACATAGTATATAGAGGTCAGACCGCTTTATTCCTCCTTACTTCACCTCAACTTAGTATCAAGAGGTCAGATCGGCAGCATTCCTTCTTACTTCACCTCAACATAGTATCTACATGTTAGACCGGCAGTATTCCTTCTTACTTCACCTCAACATAGTATTTAGAGTTTAGACCGGCATTATTCCTTTACTTCACCTCAACATAGTAAATAGAGGTCAGACTGGCATTATTCCTTTTTACTTCACCTCAACATGGTATCAAGAGGTCAGACGGCGGCATTCCTTCTTACTTCACCTCAACATAGTATATAGAGGTCAGACCGGCAGCATTTCTTCTTACTTCACCTCAACATAGTATCAAGAGGTCACACCTGCAGCATTCCTTCTTACTTCACCTCAAAATAGTATATAGAGGTCAGACCGGCAGTATTTCTTTTACTTCACCTCAACATAGTATTTAGAGGCAGACCAGCATTATTTCTTTTACTTCACCTCAACATAGTATATACAGGTCAGACTGGCATTATTCCTTCTTACTTCACCTCAACATAGTATTTAGAGGTCAGACCGCTTCATTCATTCTTACTTCACTTTAACATAGTAACTAGAGGTCAGACCGACATTATTCCTTCTTACTTCACCTTAACATATTATATAGATGTCAGACTGGCATTATTCCTTCTTACTTCACCTTAACATATTATATAGAGGTCAGACCAGCATTATTTCTTTTACTTCACCTCAACATAGCATATAGAGGTCAGACTGGCATTATTTCTTCTTACTTCACCTCAACATAGCATATAGATGTCAGACCGGCATTATTTCTTTTACTTCACCTCAACATAGTATTTAGAGGTCAGACCGCTTCATTCATTCTTACTTCACTTTAACATAGTAACTAGAGGTCAGACTGACATTATTCCTTCTTACTTCACCTTAACATATTATATAGACGTCAGACTGGCATTATTTCTTCTTACTTCACCTCAACATAGCATATAGATGTCAGACCGGCATTATTTCTTTTACTTCACCTCAACATAGCATATAGAGGTCAGACCAGCATTATTCCTTCTTACTTCACCTCAGCATAGTATATAGATTTCAGACTGGCATTATTCCTTCAACTCGGCGTAGTACCAAAAGGTCAGTTTGTCTTCCAGTTCCAATTGGTATTATTGATTTTACGTAAACTTTTGGATTGTTTCCTAATGTTAAGTGATCAGAAACTGAGCGCATTGGAATATTCTGTATGATTTCATTACTGCTATATTATTCTGTAGTAATAATGTTGGTTAAATAATCAAAGTATTTGACAACGATACATACAATATGTCCCTGGTCATAAATGACCCTCTAGAACATCCGAGTAACCACAACTCTCGTTAATCTAAATAATTCTGTCATGCAGTCATAGCTCTGTCTACTGATCAAATGACCTGAGCTGTGATCCATCCCAATTTTGTATTTACTGACCTTCTAACATGGTTACCATTGAATCTGAACAAAGAAGGTGTTAACAAATTTGTCTTCCCTATCGACCAATTATTTTTTTCAGCTTTTCTGTCTTATCGTAAAATGCCAAATATTTGACAAACTCTTAAAAAAAGTTAACAAATAAGACTTAAAATTTAAAAAAAATATATGTATAGTTAAGCATTATCTACTGAAATATTTACCAGTGATAAATCTAGTGGAAATGAGGATGCGGTCCCTCATGTGGGACCAATGGTGTTCTGACAACCATTCTTGATGTAGTCTTTCCATTTCCATCACACAGAAGACAATCCACACATTTAATGTGATAGATTGCACCAGATTTGTCCATGGTTGAGGTTTTATCCTTTGGTGCTACCAACATTCCTTAATGATACAAATATATCAAATTTAAAACATGAAAGAAAGTAACTAAGCACACTGTATGGTATACCGTGTCACATACATTATTTAAGATCTCTCAAATTAATGAAATTATTTCATGGAACACAAGATTGACTAATCTCCAGGAATAATTGACCAGTAGATGATGATGATCTAAAACAGCAAGAATTCTGATGTCATATAAACATGTGATTACAGGATAATGATAAATCACAAGCAACATCAACTCAGAATATTCTACTGAATACAAATAAAAGTAGACGTGGAGTGGGAGAAGAATTGAAAATTTATTGACGAATGAATTAACAATGACAACTGACAATCTATGCTGTGTAGACTTATCATGACCATGTACATATTCCAAGTCTTGCTAACACACTTCACTCTCACATTAGCATGAACCAATATACCAACGTCACCATTAAATTCTAATAAGGAAATTAACTGAAAGATTCTGGAGTATAAAGTCCAGTACTTGAAAATTTGCTGTAGTGTATGTTGCATTCTTGATGCCTCTCAACTGCTACGTTTATCACTGTATCGTCTGATGAAAATATTGCTGAACATAACATTCTGAAGGCAATTACACACAAAATTACTGTTAAGGCATTCTAGTCAACAATGTGAAGTACAAACTGTATACAAGACAATTCCATCAATTGTCATGTATCCATGAAATAAATAATAGCGATAGATTCGTCTTGTATAATGATCTTATTGAGATGTAGAAACAGTTAAATACAGAGGCTTCTCTGTCTGCCTTATGGAATATTGATATCGGTCTAGTACTAATTTTAAACATATGCTTGTCCAGTATGAGTTGTTGAATATACAGATTAAGAATTCTGCTGCGTCTTTCACAGGTGTTGGTTTTGTACTCCCAAAGGATAGGTGTCCAGTCTGGCTGTTCTGCAGAGTATAGACATTTGTCCTTCTACATTGTTTTGCCTAATACTCCTATTGTAAAGGGGTGTCTCGAGTGAGTCACTGATTTGCATCTTCAGATAACAGTATGGTACAACACAAACATGTCCATTGTAAATACAATGCAACAAATAGACTTCCACACAGATCACAGCAACACGCCACCACCAGACCATTCCATTCTCTGAAGAAAAAAAGCATTATTATCACTACAATAACAATTAAATCATCTTTATTTAATCTCTATAAGATAATCTTGTGCTTATGAATTCATGTAAACATGGTAAATGCTAGTTGACTAGTAAAGCTCAAAGTTCCAGGTCCTAATCTTTGTGAAGACATTGAAAAAAACACAGTTGTTAATTACAGTGTGTAGATGTGGAATACTACTCTCTTAGTGTACCAAAATAATCATAGTTGTGGATTAGATGTACAGGAATGTGTTAAGTTCTATACCTTAATGAAGACATTTGTGGATTAAAGTGTGCAGGAATGTGTTAAACTCTTCAATGTACCAAAATAAAACATTTGTGGATTAAAGTGTGCAGGAATGTGTGAAAAAGTAGCGATCAATAATCCTTTGGTAATATTCTTCAGATTTCAAAATGTTTGATTTACTTCTTTTAGTACATTAGATTCTAGTCAGTTAAATATGACAATAACAAAATCAAGCAGGATATTCTGTAACTCTTTTATATACTTTAAACAAACTTCTTCCAAAAGAAAGTGCTATACAACCTGTTGAGGTTCCACGAATGCCAGCCAATCCGAGGAATGTGTTGGTAACAAGCCCATCACTTGACATTTGTAAACAGCTAATCCCAAGCAAACAACATTGCCGATTAAATACACAAATTTCTGTAGGACTGTTTTAGACCCCTCAATCATGTTAAAAGCTGAAACAGACAGTTTTAATCAATATAACACAGTTTCACTAAATACGATGTAGGTACATTTTATCATCATATAAGCAGTAAAATAAAGAACAAATCAATGTAGACATAAACGCTTTGTAATAATCTATACACATATATATTGTTAATCCTTTAAGGTGATTCAAAGATATTTTAAGGTACAAATTCAGTGCTAGATAATTTGTGAACAACTCTGAGACAACTACATATATATCGCAGTGATGAAGAGGTAAAGTCTCTTGAATTATCATCATCTGTTGGGTGTAAGTAAACTCTGATCGGAGATTTAATTAAATTAATGTAATTACATGTAGTTTTAAAGCTCTACAACATTATAAAACAAAAAACTCTGCAGAAGGAGTACTGTAAGGACAAGAAAAATAACTTCAACTACATTGCTCTGAATAGATAAAATTAGAACCTGTCCTACAATGCTACTTCCACAGATAAATGCTTCACACAAGTTTTTGTTAGGAAACTCATTGATAAGATTTTCCTTTTCTGAACAATTTCAACATAAACCTACAAAACAAAAATGTTGATTACACTTGTACTAAAACTGCTCTTTAAGGTTGTCACAATACATTTTATATTGGAGAAAATGTAAACATCAGGGCAAAAAAAGGTTTTTCAAGATGGAGAAACAATCCTACTGACATTTTGAAAATAAGAGAATAAAAGCATTTCGAAGGTACACAGAATCTTATGTTTTCTTTAACTGTAGCTGTGAAACTTACTGGTCTGGATTGCTATGAGTGCTTGGATGGGTTTGAAGAACATCATGCCCACCATCATAATAGGGAAAATAGAAATAGTATTTCCTGCCATCCACATGATGAAAAAGTTCATTGGGATTTGCTTCAGTGGTCCCAGGGCTATGTCCCATGATCGCTAAAAATGCACAAAAATTTATGTTAGTTATCAACCTTGTCATCCTCCAACTCCAAACTCATGGGGGTTCCAATCCCTTTTGCATCTGCACCCCTTGGACATTTCCTTGCAAAATTAAAGATTTCATGTGAGACACCTTATGGATAAGACAAGAAGATTATTTTGATCCTTTGTTGTACATCAAATGAATCTCAAAGTCACATAACAGTATGCTGTACCGGCTTTGAAGTTGGGTGTTACTCCTTTGTAATCTTCAAAGGAGCATATCAGTCTGTGATTGGTCAATTTTTTCCTCCTGAAACCCGCTCTAGACTGATCAAATTAGGCTTGTGCCTTCAAGTTTGCCATAAAACATTCAAAGGTGCAGAGAGCTAAGGTAATCATAACCCCTGGAGCATAGAGCGTGCACGCTTGTTTCGAAAAATTAGTAAATAAAGACATAAAACCTATTGGTATGAGAATGAATGTAATCATATAATCAGTACTTTCAGAAATTTTTTTCAGATTTTTTCCCGGGAAAAGCAATATGTAATTGTCCATGACTCAAATATCAGATCATGAGTCCCAAAAAATAGAACTTGCTCACATCTCAAAGTGACAGAACTCTTTATAATCTCAAATTTACAGACTCTGAAACACTTAATTAACATTTATATTCACTTGTCACTGAATTATGTATATAGTACAGTGGACCCTCAATTTGCTATATGATCCTGTACAACCACAACATTGGTTTTTACTTTATCTTCTGCATGGTCTGTAAGAGTTCCATGTGGATGTAATGCTTACTTTATCAATGAGTTTCTGGTCAGAGTCTTTACCACTGTGATCCTGAACACTGACAAGGTTGTCATTAAACCCCAATGGAGGTTTTAATTCTGCACTTTGTGTCATCAGTTGGCGGTCCAGTTTTCTAAAAACAAGTTACACATTTAGACAGATATTACCAGGTACAGACAAACATAATTGTAGCTGCTGAGGTAGGCATCTGTTCCATTACATATAGCTACATCATTCAAAGTGTAAACAAAAAGGGCCAAAGCAAGGTACATAGCCTAAGATATACTTCCTATCTATAGTAAATATGTTTCTGCAAAAAGACATGTCTAAAAAACGAGGTTTACATCTTTTAAATAGTTTTAATAAGGACATATACAGATGGAATCCTGATTTCGTAAACCTTGCTGGAGAACTGCTGAAAAAATGGAATGAGATATAAGTAAGCCTATCATTTTGGCCTACTAACCTGCGAACACGCGTACGTTACACTGCAAAAACTGAAGTAAGTATTGAGTTTTGATAAGAACAATATATCGGGGTCATTAAAATCTGCCTTTGGTAAAAATACTCAACATTTTTCAGGTACCAGTTAATTAGTTGGTATACTCACCGTGAACTCGTAAAATCAATAGTCCATTTATGGAACCCTCTTTTCCTGCTTGATGCCATCTTCTTGGTCCTCCTGTCACTTATTTCCTCCTCCGGCATAAAAGATTTCCAACTGTAATCAGAATTATCTCCCTTGTAACGGGGAAAATTGATGACAAGACGATTTAGTAAAAATGTCCGAGTTCCACTATTGAAATAGAGGATCTTAACATTTTTTTTGTATTTGTTTATTTTTGGAAATTTTCACATAAATACAAACATACACAAGAAAACATGACACACACTTCCTCTCACCACTATTCATAATTGCCATGAGCATTATATCATTCGTGTATCGGTATAAAAATTCATCTGCAGTGTATATATATATAAACATATATACCAACCCACGCCCCCTTACACACACACACACCCTCACCAACAAACACCCGCAGAGAGAAAATAGAGAGAGAGAGAGAGAGAGAGAGAGGGAAGGGGGGGATGGCATAATAATTAAAATACTAAAAAAAAAAAAATTATTTTCAAAATACTGTATATAGTTTATCGGCACTTCATTAGTGGGTCAATATATTTTTCTTGAAATCACAAATTACAAACTTTCTCCCATTTTTTCCATTTCTTTTTGAAATTTTCCATGGCAATTTCACCTTGACTATTAGCAGTGTATTTTTGTGAATTATAATGGTATTTTATTGTGATAATAAGACTATAAATGTTCAGAGAGTTGTGAAGGCATCGCATCTTGAATATATATTGTTTGATTAGAAGAAGTATTTCATTGTCAACTTTGTGTATATTGAGGTTTGGTGATGTCAGTCCAAAAATGAAAGATTGTTTATTGAAATCAAATGGAATGAATAGAGCTTCTAGTAAAATTTTAAAGCTATCAAGTAGGTTTTGAACTTCTTTACACTCCCACAAAGAATGTATTATTGTTTCAGTTTCTGCATTACATAAAGTACACAACGGAGAAATAGCAAGATGTGATTTGAAAAGAAAAGGTTTGTAATTAAGATATGGTGGTTAACTCTGTACTGAAATCATTGTAGCTTTGTGCTTCTAGTAACAGAGAAAGGAATTTTGTATATTTGATCCCAAGTTAAATCATTCAGATCAAAAACTTTGTTCCATTTCCTTTTCCCTGTTGGTATAGTGTTGCTTTTTATCAAAATGTTGTAAAAATCTTTGGAGCCTTTTCTTTTCATCATAAATATTTCTAAATTTGTTGGTATAAAAGGATATGGAGGTTTTGAGTTTGGGATTTCATTTGAAGATAGAAACTTTATCACAGCTGATAAAAATCTCCTTTTGGGGTATTTTTTTCATTAATCAATGTTAATTTGTTCCAGGCTTTAAAAACATCAATCCAAAACTTATTTTTAATTTTTTTTCTGACATAATTGTACAAAGTCAACACCACAGTTTGCTAATAGGTCTATATTAACAGTATTTTTCAGAATTACTTGCCATAAAGAATCTATGTAAGCTTTAATGTTAATCATTTTCAGGCCGCCATTAAAATAGCTTTGAAAAACTACTTCTCTTTTAACTTTGTCAGTTTTGCTGTTCCATAAAAACTGAAAAAGAGTAGTATTGAGTTTTGAAATAAAAGAGTCATCTGGATTTGGTAATGAGATAAATAGGTGGTTTAGTTGTGAAATAAGGAGTGATTTGGTAATATGGATTCTCCCAATTGGAGTTAAATTTCTCCTATTCCAGATTTTTATTAAAGATTTCAGCTTTGTAAGTTTTTTGTCAAAATTCCTTTTTGGAATCTCGTGTAAATTAACATGGAACTCAATACCCAAAAGTGTAAATTTATGTCTGTCCCACTCTAAATTTAGCTCAGGAAGATAAGTGTCTTCAGAAAATTTCTTACTCCCGATCCAGACTACCTGTAGTTTTGATATATATATTCATTTTCAAACCAGACATTCGACCATAAAACTTCAATTCAGTAATAGATTCTTTAAGAGATCGCTCAGAACCGTCTGATGCCAAAAAGGAATCGTCAGCATATTGTGAAAGCAAAATTGGACACTTGTCTATTTCAATACCTTTTATATTATTATTATTTCGTAATTTCAAAGCTAAAATTTCTGCGCAAAGAATAAAGATGTATGGAGCAATTGGGTCACCCTGACGACAACCCCTTTGTATATTGAAAAAGGATGATAAGTTTTCCCCCTGATTGATAGTTCCACTAACATTATTATGGAAGACTTTGACCCAATTTATTATACCAGTTCCAAAACCAACGAAATTTAAGACCTTTTCCACAAAAACCCAAGAAACAGAATCGAAAGCCTTTTCGAAATCTATCATTAACAGCATATCATTTTCTTCAGAATATCGCAATAAATCATAAATTAGTCTTGTATTTTCCCCCATAAATCGCCCCACTAGAAATCCTGTTTAATCTTTGTCTATAATTTTGTCTAAAACAGTTTTAATTCTACGTGTTATTGTACCAGAAGCTATTTTATATATAAAAGTAAGTAATGTGATTGGTCTCCAGTTCTTTATAAAGTGTCTGGGTTTATCCCCCTTTGGTATGCATGTAATAATTCCACGTCGTTGAGAAATAGACAGTTAACATTTTTCATATCCAGAATTTATAGATCTAACAATAAAATTACCTAAGTATCTCCAAAAACATTTAAAAAACTCAACTGTGAAACCGTCTATTCCAGGACGTTTGTTATTTTTCATGTTGTTTAATGTTTTCCCTGCTTCTGCTAGAGTTATGGTACCCTCCGATGTTTCTGCTTCCTGTTTATTTAGTTTGTATACATTGTGATCTTTGAATCTCCCTATCAGCTGTATACAGCTTTTCATAAAGATCATGAACTTCATGCAGAATTTCCTCTCTTGCTTTACAATTATCCTCCCATCTTCTAATTGCAGTTTAGGTATTATTTTTGAGACAAAATTTCTGTTTTCTAAATTGAAAAAATAGTTTGTGGGTTTCCCCCTTCTTCAATCCATTTAGCTCTTGATCTTATACAGCTGCCTTTAATTCTATGTTCTCTAATTCTTTCCAGTTCTTTCTTTTTCGATTCCAATTGAACTAAATCAGTGCTGTCTTCTTCTTCAAGAGTTTGAATATCTTTTTTATGGGTATCTTCATCTAAATTTTTTTGTTTTTTGATATAGGCTGAGTAGGAAATTGTTTTACCCCTGATGTGTGCAAGTAAAGTCTCAAGACAAATAGGATCACTAGTGGTAAACTGAAGATTGGCATCAGATATGTTTGATAACTTAGAAAAGTTATAGACTGGAAGGCAAAAGATTTCTTTATATTCTATTATACATTCTTTAACTAGATTTAAGTAATTCATATCATATAGTAGACTATTGTTAAATTTCCAGACACCTTTCCCTGCTTTGAATTCAGTAAGTTTTAGGGAAATTGAAGGAAAAGAATGGTCAGACCTGTACCCAGGTTCTATGTTTGATTTTATAGTACTGGAAAGTAAATTTTCTGGAACAAGAAAGAAATCCAGACCTGCCTGTTTTAGTGGATTACTTTTCCTCCATGTGTATCTTTTCAAGTTTTCATGCTGTTCCCGAAAAATGTCTATTAGTGTAAAGTTATCAACAACTTCCAAAACTTTCCCCCTTGCCTTAGGATTATTGATTTGTTTGTAACTGTTATCATAGTCTATTTCGGGGTCTAGAACCAGGTTAAAATCACCGCAAATAATCACATATTTATTACCAAAATCCTCTATTGTTTCAGATAAAATATTGTAAAATTCAGGATTATCTTCATTTGGACCGTACAAGTTAATAAGGGTAACTATAACATTTTCAATCTCAATTTCGATAGCTAGAAAATTACCATAAGGCCTTCCACCTTTTCTTTCTTTAAGTACCTTCAATTCAAAGTTATTTTTTAACAAAATTGCAACGCCCCTTGGATTCGATTTGAAAGAATTGAAGTAACACTGGAAGCCCCACTCATTTCTTAAAATATTTTCATTTTCTTCGGTGAAATGTGTATCCTGTAAACATAGTATATTAGTTCTCATAGCCCTGAAATACGAGAAAAGGTCAGTACGCTTAGGATCTTAACATTTTTACTCGAATTCAGATCAGGGGAAATAAGAATCACAAATGACCCGATTGCTCATCGGGATATCTCAGCTTTTATGCCAACTAACCAGTCTCCTTTCTCGCATAAATAACCCTTTGATATAGGGCTTTATGTATGTTTATTATAAAGAGTTATACATTATATTTCAAATCTTCTCATAAACATTGGTTATTATTTATGTGATCTACACATAATCTTCCACTTGACAGAAAACGTCAGTTTGTTATTAAGATGTGCAAAACTCTTGACCATATATTCCAAACTTCAGTCCCGGCTGTTCGGATTTTTCTCTATTGATCAATAAGATAGAAAATATTACACTACCGTATTGGTCAATCAAACGTGACATCACTAAATGAAATAGGTTGTTTTTCGTAAATTATGGGGTGATAAAAACAAAAACAAACAATAAAACAAAACGAAATGCTTGTTTCATAGAGGATTGAATTACAACATTCTTTTCCCGTTTTAGATACAAATGCCTTCGAACAGAGCAAATATTAACATTCTGCTTTTTATCTACTTAACATCTCCGGACTATCTGCAGTACAAGGTTGTGATCTTCACGAAAATGCGTCGCGACAATTGCCATTTGATTTTACACTTTCGTCCGTTCGCCGAAAGTATACTGTCGTCAAGACTCCGTCATTTGCGCTCATTAGCTTGATAAAGGAAACAAATTCGAAAGCCTGCAAATATACTGTTTTCAATCGCTGTTTGTGTTATATGCATCTTCTCTTTGAGGTTAACAAGATGTTATAAGTGGGGTTCCGAACAGTGGCGCGTACGTCCTTGGCTATATTCCCTTCATGATCTACTCAAAACAGTATCAGTGAATAGAAGTATTTGCGAACGATTTCGTCGAAGGACAAGGAGTGATCCAGGAGAACGACGGCTAAAGCATGGGATGTGACTGAACATTTTAGATAAGTAGAACGCAATGTGTGTCCAGTAAAGAGTCAGTTCTTTGCCGACTGGATTAGGAAATGACAGTCACTAAATCCACAGAATTTCTGGTCGGTGCCCCCACCCCTTACCCCAATTTTGTTTTCTTTTCCTCATTTTCTAAGCCCATCTTTAAGTAAGAAATATGAAAAGTTCTAAGGCTATTACGTGACTATCTTAATTTGCATGTTTTTATTTGTTATGGAAAGGACGTAAATAAGTTGTTATAACTTTTGTCCAGTCCTGTTGTAGTTTGTTTGCAATTAAATTGATTTAAACTAAATTAAACTTTTGAAACCTGAAATCCAATACCCCGACGCACCACACAATGTTTTAAAACATTGAAGTAGTTTGAAGATAGTCAGATGCATGACTGATGAATATGTGTGCTAAAATATGTTAATGCCTCTAAACTGGCAACAAAATGGCCATACCAAATATATACAAGACACTCCAGTGTAACTACACAGCTAACGAGACGGGAAACTTCTAAGATTATCACATCCCCTCAAAACGTTATATCTATATATACAACAAGACACTCCAGTGTAACTACACAGCTAACGAGACGGGAAACTTCTAAGATTATCACATTCCCTCAAAACGTTATATCTATATATACAACAAGACACTCCTGTGTAACTACACAGCTAACGAGACGGGAAACTTCTAAGATTGTCACATCCTCTCAAACGCCATGCCCTCATATTCGTAATATACGGATTATTTGATGCTAATAAGAAATAAGCAAACGTTAAATTACATCATTTTTATATCAAAACGGATAAATATTTTATATATCAATGTATTCTGAGTGTTTAAAGCATTTAAATGAACCAGACCAAAAAGATAAAGCAAATAATGGCTCCTCCTATACTTCCCCAAACAGACGTATATCTGTCCGGTATCATTTTTAGTAAATAAACTATCCCAAACGATGTGACACATGTTTACTCGATCTAATGTAGAGATAGAAAAAAAAAAAAAAAGATTGCACTGCAAAAGTTTTAATGTTTATAAAACTTATAAAACATCTACAAAACACAGCGAGAGAATATGGACAAATCGATAAATCAAGCTTAAAATACGAACAACGTCAAAATTTACAAGGAGATTATTCATAAGGATGTTATGGGAACAAGACCATGTGTTCCGGAAAGGCAAGCTTTTCCGAATTCGTCGACGACACTAGGTTACGCTATAGTCTCAAAAACAGTTATTTCTATTTTTCCAAGATAGGATGTAGCAAATAAATCTCAAAAGGATGTAGATCAACAAAAACAGAATCATCTAAGTCACAACTCTTCAAACAAAGAGTAGAATGACGTCTAATATAAACATGGGTTACTTTACTACAACATTTCTCTGACATCCAGCTTATGTGAGATGTACAAAACTTCAAAATAGATCTAAACATAATTGCGGCTATCAGTAATGACTGAAATTATTTCATTTTACAATAATTGTAAGCTTATGGCATGATTGAAGTCTTTCTTTTCACGCCCTTGTAGTGTCAGGATTTTAATATTTCTTTATTACTCCTCTCAGACTCGCAATGTGTGTAACAAGAGGTCATACATTTTCTTCGTGTCTAGTGCATAACAGACAATAACTAGTACACAATATTAAAACACAATGAGAAGCATTAAAAAGGTATGTTATGCAAGTTATATACGTGTACTAGAATATGAAGATTAAATTATTCAGAATAGATTTATGGCATTTTGACACATTAGTTAACCGTGTTCATTTAAAGTCCACAAGTGATTTAAAGAAGCTGGCTATCTCGATATAGCTTCCTCGAGTTTATTCCAGAACACCACATTGCCCTCCTCGTCATCTGGGTACTCTATGTATGAGTCAGAATCGATGACGTCAAGCACGTCCATTGGAATCTGTCGCCGGGAAATTTTCTCGTGCAGAATCAAGAACAGCACGTTCTCCTCAGCACGTGTGTACACACTCTCCATGCGTGCCATGTTGAACTCGAACATACACCAATAGGAATCGAGATAACTGTTGGTAATGATGGCAACCGTTTTGCGACTGTTGTTAATGGCATTTGTAATGTTGACGGCGATCTCGTTACCTGGGAGGAAATCCCTCTGGTGGAGACAAAGACGTAAACCACGCTGGGTCTCGAGGTTCTCCAATATTTCTTGTATAACAAACGACCTATCGGAATCCGAGTAAGACACAAAAGCGTCGTACGTATACTGTGATTCCGCGTACCCTGACCTGTCCCTAATTACGTCATACCCTTTGTATCTGTTCCGCGCCATGTAGTAGAGGTAGCGAATCTTCCACCTAAATCTGTACAACAGACCACTGATGACAATGGACACACAGATCATTATCAGCGAGGATGTCCCTACAATTACACCAACATAATTACTACACTCTTTGTCCAGTTTTGATATAATGTCCTCTAGATGAACAAATGACATTTCTGTTTCATCCGTGATTCTACAATTATACGTGGTCAGATTGAAGAAATTGCCTCTTCTTCTGTCTACCCATTTCAGGAAATCAAGTCCAGCACAGCTGCAGCGTAGTGGATTTCCCCGTAAGTCTAGTGTAAGGTCAGTTATCTTAATCAGACGGTCTACAGCATCCATAAATGATTTCGGAAGAACAGTCAAACGATTATTTGAAAAATTTAGAAGTTGTAAATGATGCATATGGTCAATTATGACGTCCCAGTCAGTCATTTGATTGAAACTGAGATCAATTTGTTCTAAAGCAGCGAGACCGTGGAATACCGCCTCAGACAGACGGTCTATCTTGTTGTAGCTTATGTTCAGTGTTTTCAGATTTGTAAGGTTTTTAAGTAAATCTCCAGCAGTATCATTTCTGAAAACTTCACCTAGGATATTGTTGCTGATATTAAGAGTCGTCATACTCGGAAAGTCCTCAAAGAAGTTAGCAGTCACATGTTCACAGGAATTATCCGATAAATCCATGTACTCGACTCGGTGTAGATTACGGACGGGACCTTTCCATGTGTGCAGCGAGTTGTCGTGTCCATCCAGATACTTGAGACGATTCGTTTTCATGAAGCTGAAATGACCTATTGCACCCCGGAAAGAACTGCTATGACCGTCAATGACTTCCAAGTTTTCAGGGACATTTACATCGGGATATCCTTGAGTGTAGAGCTCCAGTCCTCCATATTCGTGAGAGTGATCATTTGCTTCTTTTGGGCCTCGCCAATCAAAACACTGATCTAACATTTCATTAACAGGTCCATGTTGACCCGCTTGTAAACTGATATCGATTTTTTTCAGAGATTTCAGCAAATACATCATAATTAAGTATCTTCCCAATGTAAATTTGTTTCCAGCGACCGTGAGCTGTTCGAGGGAGTCGGGAAGGTATTGCAACATAGTGTCCTCCACCATTTCAATCCTGTTGAAGTCTAAATGCAGTTCTTTTAGTCGTGTGTTATTCAGGAAGATCATGTCTTCTTTAAATATGAATGTACCTATACCATATGTACAATGAAGCTGGTTTAAGTAGAGCGTGCGTATGTTTGTAAACTGTAAATCGTACGTCAAATTTCTCAGAACGTGAAACGTGAGGTGTTTATTTCCGGTCAGACTTAGGACAGCGAGATTTGGTAGGGATTGAAAGGTTCCGTTTTCTATATACAGTATATCACAACTGGACAGATCAAGATCACTCAGTGAGGATGGAACACCGTCAAAGAAATCTTCCGCCATGTGGTCAATTGAGCACTGACCACTTCCGCCAGACAGATCTAGTGATGCTAGCTTCTTCAAAGGTGACAACACATCGCCGAGACGCGCGTTCCTAAGTCCGTCCATGCGTAGTGATGTCAATCCGAGTAGAGTGGCTACAGGGCGAGGGTAGTGATACTGAACCAAATCTCCTCTTTTATTATTTCCTTTGATGTTGAGAAATATCAAAGAGTGTAAACCACAGAAAATGTTCGGAGGGTATACTTCAGGTAAGTATCTCAAATCGTTGTAACTGAAGTCCAGATGGGTCAGGTTGGCCAGGTGCTTGAAGGGGTAGTCTATGGATCCAGTAAGTCCATTATTCGATAGGTCGAGGTAGAGAAGGTTTGTCGGCAGCTGATCTGTGTTGTTTATTACAAGTAACTGATTGTACCGGAGATCTATGATATTTACCGTGACTTGGAATTCCGGGATCACCGTTAGATTTAACGAGGAACAATCCGCCACAACTATGTCGCCCACTTCTCCACACCAACACCGAACCTCACTCGAACAGTTGGAAGACACGGCCATTTCATGTCCATTGTTTTGTGTTTTCGTATTGTCAAGTATTCTTGAAAGGCTGTGCACGTTGTATACGCCCTGGATAGGATAGCTGAACTGTAGAGTCATCAACAGAATCCATTGATACATGTTCATATAGCTGTACATACCTGCAAAAAGGATGCTTCTTTATGAAGGAAGGAATTAGCTCTGAAGAAGTCACGTGACGCAACGAGTGCAGCATTCGTACACTGATTATGATACATTGGTAAAAACTAATTTGAATTTTTAGGTAAAGGCGCCTTTGAAAGGTAAACAACTGTCAAACGTCAAACACGTTTGTTTAAATTTCATTTTGGATGATAAAACTTCAATAATTCTATGAATTAAAGCCACATTCGCACGCACGCATATATAATTTGGTAATACTTTTCGACTAATTCATAGAAATGATGAAAATGAAAGTACAATATGCACGAATTTCACACTGATCTCACAGAAAACAAAATATCACGGAAATATAATTCGGAACGAATATAGATATTAAATACGTACATAATTACATAACACCTAAATAACGTACCGTGCGAAATGTTTCCCCGGAATGGCACTGACATTGAAATACCTATCGGCCAACTTCCCATGGATGTTTAAAATTTACACTTCCGCATATCTATGTTAGTTTAATCGCCCCCCTGACACGAGATAAAACACACTATTATACATAGTCCGGTTGACAGGAGTTTTATCTTGGCACTATGCCATAAGGAGGAGAGGGGGGGGGGGGGGGGGTAGGAGGCTATGCACAGGTAACGAGCTTTTTATCTGTTTTGCACAGTTAGATTTTATCAACAGCGCTATGTTTTTAGTGGCGTCGGAAGTTATCAAAAAGTGAGGGGAAAATTGCCTCTGTCCTACCCTTAAACTAGAGAATGATCCTTTTTTTCTACCCCTTATCTCCAACATACTGGAAATAGAATAATGAAACAAATATATGCTGAAGAGTATGGCATCAAAATCAGGCATAGAACAACTTTTGTTTTTATTTTGACCGATTTGTAATCTACATCAGACAACGTACAAAGATAATAGTAATAATAAATAATGACCATAATGCCTTAAAATTAATTTGTATAAACAAAAATGATCAGACTGTCTTACAATAATATAAAACTTATCTGAATCAGTAAAATCTCTCACGCCTCATCTTAACAACTTCCGTGTTTATGTGCTGTGCGTGCAGGTATCTAACCGTAACCGGAAATGTTGATGCAAAGGTAGGTCATATAAAAAAGTGCAACCATGAAAGATACTGAAAGTGTTGAACACGTTCAAAGTAGGGCCAAACCAACTAATTCTTGGTAAGGGTGATCAGTCCTAGCAAGAGAGGCTGCAGGTGGCGTATTAGGGGTGATATGATAGGTGTATACAGGGTGATATGATACGTGTATAAGGGGTGATATGATAGGTGTATAATTGTTGATATGATAGGTGTGTAAGAGGTGATATGATAGGTGTGTAAGAGGTGATATGATAGGTGTATAATTGTTGATATGATAGGTGTGATATGATAGGTGTGATATGACAGGTGTATAATTGGTGATATGATAGGTGTATAAGGGGTGATATATGTGTATAAGGGGTGATATGATAGGTGTATAAGGGTTGATATGATGTGTGTATAAGGGGTGATATGGGGTGATATGATAGGTGTGTAAGTGTTGATATGATGGGTGTATAAGGAATGATATGATAGGTGTATAATTGGTGATATGATGGGTGTATGAGGAGTGATATGACAAGTGTATAATTGGTGATATTATAGGTGTATAATTGGTGATATGATACGTGTATAATTGGTGATATGATAGGTGTATAAGGGGTGATATGATGGGTGTATAAGGGGTGTATAGGGGTGATATGTGTGTATAAGGGGTGATATGATAAGTGTATAAGGGTTGATATGATTGGTGTATAAGGGGTGATATGATAGGTGTATAAGGGGTGATATGACAGGTGTATAAGGGGTGATATGATTGGTGTATACAGGGTGATATGATAGGTGTATAAGGGGTGATATGATAGGTGTATAAGGGGTGATATGATAAGTGTATAAGGGGTGATATGATAGGTGTATAAGTGTTGATATGATGGGTGTGATATGACAGGTGTATAAGGGGTGATATGATAGGTGTATAAGGGGTGATATGATACGTGTATAATTGGTGATATGATAGGTGTATAAGGGGTGATATGATACGTGTGTAAGGTGTGATAAGATTGGTGTATAATGGTTGATATGATAAGTGAGTAAGGGGTGATATGATACGTGTATAAGGGGTGATATGATAGTTGTATAAGGGGTGATATGATTGGTGTATAAGGGGTGATATGATAGGTGTATAAGAGTTGATATGATGGGTGTATAAGAGGTGATATGATAGGTGTATAAGGGTTGGTATGATGGGTGTATAAGGGGTGATATGATAGGTGTATAAGGGTTGGTATGATGGGTGTATAAGGGGTGATATGATAGGTGTATAAGAGGTGATATGGGGTGATATGATGGGTGTATAAGGGGTGATATGATAGGTGTATAAGGGTTGGTATGATGGGTGTATAAGGGGTGATATGATTGGTGTATAAGGGGTGATATGGTAGGTGTATAAGGGGTGATATGGGGTGATATAATGGGTGTATAAGAGGTGATATGATGGGTGTATAAGGGGTGATATGACAGGTGTATAATTGTTGATATGATAGGTGTATAAGGGGTGATATGATAGGTGTATAAGGGTTGATATGGGGTGATATGATAGGTGTATAAGGGGTGATATGATGGGTGTATAAGGGGTGATATGATAGGTGTATAAGGGGTGATATGATGGGTGTATAAGGGGTGATATGATGGGTGTATAAGGGGTGATATGATAGGTGTGTAAGGGTTGATATGATACGTGTATAAGGGGGATATGATACGTGTATAAGGGGTGATATGATACGTGTGTAAGGGGTGATATGATTGGTGTATAAGGGTTGATATGACAGGTGTATAATTGTTGATATGATGGGTGTATAAGGGGTGATATGATAGGTGTATAAGAGTTGATATGATGGGTGTATAAGAGTTGATATGATAGGTGTATAAGGGTTGGTATGATGGGTGTATAAGGGGTGATATGATAGGTGTATAAGGGGTGATATGATAGGTGTATAAGGGGTGATATGATGGGTGTATAAGGGGTGATATGATAGGTGTATAAGGGGTGATATGATAGGTGTATAAGGGGTGATATGATAGGTGTATAAGGGGTGATATGATAGGTGTATAAGGGTTGATATGATAAGTGTATAAGGGGTGATATGATACGTGTATAAGGGGTGATATGACAGGTGTATAAGGGGTGATATGATGGGTGTATAAGGGGTGATATGATAGGTGTATAAGGGGTGATATGATAGGTGTATAAGGGGTGATATGGGGTGATATGATGGGTGTATAAGGGGTGATATGATAGGTGTATAAGGGGTGATATGATGGGTGTATAAGGGGTGGTATGATAAGTGTATAAGGGGTGATATGACAGGTGTATAAGGGGTGATATGATGGGTGTATAAAGGGTGATATGATAAGTGTATAAGGGGTGATATGACAGGTGTATAAGGGGTGATATGATGGTTGTATAAGGGGTGATATGATAAGTGTATAAGGGATGATATGATGGGTGTATAAGGGGTGATATGATAGGTGTATAAGGGGTGATATGATAAGTGTATAAGGGGTGATATGATGGGTGTATAAGGGGTGATATGATAGGTGTGTAATGGATGGTATGACTGATGTATAATGGTGATATGATGTGATAAGTGAATGATGTCTAAAATGTACAATAGAAAGACTGGCGGGGACTGTTTAGTTTTCTTCTCGTGTCTTGTGATTGGTCAGAGCTGTAGTTATATAGAATGAAAGCTGGATGATCTCCAGAATGTTCCAAATGACTCTGGTAGTCAGAAACTTCAGCAAATTGTTAAGAAATATCTACATATACTAGTCTGATATTGTTTTAATTTATCTAGTACGGAGTGACGGGCCTCCCGGTGTATGTGTGGTTGTGCTTGGTTATGTAAGCTTCCTTGTGATGGTACGGAACTAATTCGTCTTTACGGTGTTATCACTCTGAAGTATACCGCCCAAATGCACCAAGTAAACACCCACCCCGGTCACAGTTGATTGACTACAGGCATATCAGTCAATGTACGTGCACAGCACACGCACTAGTGCGGAATGGGAGCGAGGAGTGGTAACGTCACGGTCAAAGGAACGAGCTGAAAGAGTTGCTCACAGGGGTGAACCTTGAAGTAAATGTGGTGTCGAAAGAAACATCATATGAGAATTAGTTGTTTAGACGACAAATGAAAAAAAAATTAAAAGATCCTAAATTTAGTTCCCGTTTCTGCATAAGTAATGATGGCAGTAGGTACAGTTATCCGCCCTAGCTGCAGGGCGTCGTGAATGTTTAACCTACGAATGCACAGGAGCTTTATCATTCTGGGTTTTGATATTAAGTTATTACATGACATCAATATAAGTCTACAGAAGTCTCGTTCTTAAATTCCACATATTGTGTGTCATATGGATTGCTATACCCTAACTCCTTTATGTCGTACTTCGCCGTGTTAATTAGTATGAACAGGGACCTGGTATGAATCATGTCACATTTGCGCGTAATTAAAGTAATTAAATTTCGGGAATTACAGCTCTTAATCACTCACGTCTCCCATTAAGTGTTGTTTTTACTATTTTCCTAAAAAAACTCAAACAAAATTGTTTGCAACTGACATAAAAATCTACAGATGATTTTCATGTTAACTTTATTATGGTCTTAAACATGTTATTTAATGAGGACTTGTCAAAACCATCTCAGGTAAGTACATTAAAGCTAGTCATTCAGTTTTAAATGTACATGTATCACCTCATGTTTGTTTTCCTACGCATAGTAATTACGGAAAAAATAATAAAACACGTGAGTGTAATGTAGGCATGCGTCATGATTGAAGTAGACCCAGGGTACCCGAGGTCGTCTTGTGACCAAATACAGTAAAAGGTGAGTATTGCCGTGGTAAATATAGATTACCTGGGATAGCTTCAGGTGAATCACCTTGGCATAATGAGACGTAGCCATGCGTAAGAAAACGTCACAACCCAGACGATTTGAATGGGGAGCTTTAACCGTGAACAGCTGATCGACTACAGCTAGAACACCTGGAACTTACTGGAAACCAAAATTGTGAGTATAATTGTTCTTAATTTCTCATTTTGTGATCGAGTTAACAACAAATAATACGCATATCTGTAAGAGACACGAGGAAAACAATTCGACATATTGATTAATTAACAGAGACCGTAGTCGGTGATGTGGGCTGTGTGACTTCAGTCTGTGTGATGAATATTCGTTTCTTGGTATATAATATTTCCATTTTGGTTTCATTTAGTTTACAATTTCCTTGTATCATGTTTATATCATCTGTTGTCGTACTTTTACATAAACTACTACACAGTTGTTTTTTTCGCTATAAATACAGAATGTATCGAAGCCCCACAGAGAGAGTGTACATCCGGGTATCTGTGGAACAATGATTTTCATTGACCGGTTACTGTAATGCTTTTTACATAGAGCGAGTGATGTCTGTCACCTTGTCTTACCTGTATTCACTATAACATGACACCTGCTTTTTTGACATTGGGATTTACCAAGGACATTATATCCGAGTCCTCAGTTTGTCTTCAAGGAGAGTGATAGATAGGAGAACATAGCAAATAACGTGAGGGTGTATGGCCAGGAAATAATTAATGAAATTAATTAAATATTTTGAAACTTATTCCAGAAAGTAAAATGAAGACACGGCGAAGACATTATAGCTTGGAAACGTCTACCATGTTTTTATAAGTTAGGATTTAATCATACATATATATATATACGACAAACTAAATTCAGAACTTGCTTGTCACACAATGTTTGTTACCTACTGTTACTGTTATCTGAAATTTAAACAAAACTTGTGGTTATACTGGAATTTAGTTTAGGATGTTAAATGATTATACACCCAATTCATGATCTGTACATTAAGTATGTCACCTTCATTACGATCAGCAGCAAAAGAAAATATAGTAAGACAAAACAGTTCCTTAAAAATGTCTGTAAATGGTAAAATAAACGGCAACCTTCCACAGGATACTACGACTTTTACATCCAGTATTCATGACCTCTGGACTGTAAATGTTGAAATTCCAAATTTAGTCACCATACAATTGTAAATAAGATATGGGATAACTGTTTCCCTACTGGTAAGGTTAACAACGTTATCACAAACGATATATACAGAAATATGCCTTTAAGTTTGAACCGTGTCTTACTCGATATACGCTTATAAACAATAATTTGCTTTCATTGCAGTAAGACCAGTAAGGATGGGGTCCCGAACCAAAGGGGATAAATATGTTCCGTCCAAGGAAGGGAAACATGCCTACGTCAATAAAGGAATGGATACACCCAGCGTGTACACGATCGAGAGTTCCCAACAGTACGGGGGATCACGTGATACAATTCCTACCCCTGGACGAAGGGGCTCCTTCTCATCCGCCATGGAATCTAGTTGGGATGGGTCAAAACTGTCACTCCCTTCCCTTCCTCAGTCTTCGGGTAAACCAAGTGTGGCGGCCTCCACAGCTGAATTATTAGATGGAAGTGGGAACTCCTCCCAGGGAGAGAACTCGGGGGAGAGGGAGACGTGGGACAATAAAGCACAGTATATCCTTGCGGTTGTAGGATACGCCGTAGGACTTGGGAATGTGTGGAGATTCCCCTACCTGGCCCAGAAAAATGGCGGAGGTAAGGTCAAACTTTTGACTGAGTTAATGGAGGGTGTATGGGGGATTATAACGAAGTCACTGTAGTTATCTTATATACCACGGAATCACCGTGATTCACCTGTACACCTGCCTATTACCGTAGTCACCGTGATTCACCTGTACACCTGCCTATTACCGTAGTCACAGTGATTCACCTGTACACCTTCCTATTACTGTAGTCACCGTGATTCACCTGTACACCTTCCTATTACCGTAGTCACCGTAATTCACCTGTACGCCTGCCTATTACCGTAGTCACCGTGAATCACCTGTACACCTTCCTATTACTGTAGTCACCGTGATTCACCTGTACACCTGCCTGTTACTGTAGTCACAACGATTCACCTGTACACCTGCCTATTACTGTAGTCACAGCGATTCACCTGTACACCTGCCTGTTACCGTAGTAACCGTGATTCACCTGTACACCCGCCTATTACTGTAGTCACAGCGATTCACCTGTACACCTGCCTGTTACTGTAGTAACGGTGATTCACCTGTACACCCGCCTATTACTGTAGTCACAGCGATTCACCTGTACACCTGCCTATTACTGTAGTCACAGCGATTCACCTGTACATCTGCCTAATACTGTAGTCTTCGCGATTCACCTGTACACCTGCCTATTACTGTAGTCACCGTGATTCACCTGTACACCTGCCTGTTAGACCTGCCTATTACTGTAGTCACCGTGATTCACCTGTACACCTGCCTTTACTATAGTCTGTTTGATAGCATGTTGCAGTCTTGCTACATATGAATAATTGATATTTATATTTCACAACTGGATGGCTTAAAAAAGCAATGTAGCGTGCATTCGAACACAGATAGGTCATACGCTATGAGTAGGACGATTAAGGACATAACCCCGGGGTTTTCCACAATTCGTCACTGTATCCTGGTTTCTGTCATAAAACCACATAATTTCCTTTTAAGTCTGTATGTATCGTAATTCAAATGTCCTCCCGATATGTATACATACTTTAAATGACAGTTGTGAAGTAACTAAAAAAACTCGGTTGGCACCATACATACCTAGGACCATTTCAGAGAAATGTTAAGGAGGCGTATCATTTCAACACACCAGTCCCTAATATTGACCGAACTTGAGTTACTGCTATGTAACCAAATTGAAAATTAATTCTTATTATCACCAAAGTTAATTTTGTAAATGTTATAAGATCTTGGCAAGTCATTCGATTACAGTTTTAGATATTGGTGATGTCCTTAGATCACAAGAAATCGATTGACCACGTCCATCGTATATACCTATCGGAGATAGAAAGGACACGACACTGCTTCTCAGCCTCTGGTATTTAAATGTCCCAGTTGATTTGATATCCGAGGTCTTGCAGTTCTTACTATCACGATATCCGTACAAGATATCAGAAGCCCGACAGATAACTCGAAAAAGAGGATATCGAAATATGGGAAACATGTTATTTCCTTGTGTCATATGAAGTTGGATGTGCATGATGCTCAATAGTTTGTTTGTTGGTTCCGTTGTTGTATACATTGTTCTCTTTTGGGAACGTGGCATTACTTGGCGAGTGTCGTCGATGAAGTAGAAAAAAGCTTGGCCCTGTTTATAGTGCCTTCATGCATGTTTGGTGGATGTTTTTTTTTGCATTGTATTTCCCTATTTATTGACTGATTAAATGAAATCTTCATATTATTCCATTTTTTAATGTTTCAATCATGATGAGTGTTTTATACACCAGTGTGTTTATCTTACAGGTGCCTTTCTGATTCCATATACTATCATGTTAGCGATAGAGGGAATCCCAATTTTCTACCTCGAGCTGGTGGTAGGTCAACGCCTGCGCAAAGGTGCGATTGGCGCATGGAACCAAGTGTGTCCATACCTAGGAGGCATTGGGATTGCCAGCTGTTTTGTGTCGTTCTGGGTAGCTCTGTACTATAATACTATCATCGCATGGTGCATTTACTATCTGGTACAAAGCTTCCGGGACCCGTTACCATGGGCACATTGTCCAGAAGTTCAAGACGCAGTCCTTGGGAGTAAAGCTGTAACGGAGTGTGCGGTAAGCGACAAGAAAACAGAACAAGGACTGCATTTAAAAATTTACATTATATAATTTATTACAGAAGCTCGAACTATGAAAGGTTTATTGCGTGCTATGATTATAAAATGAAACAAAAATATTAAAAACGAACAGTTGTTTAAGTGATGGATTTATCTTATTTAGGATTTTAAAAAGAATGTATGTTTTCTAGTATTAGTTTAGATGAATTAAAAAATACATTTATTTAGTATTATTTTGATAAATAAAAGAATATATTTATATTATTTTAGATAAATAAAAGAATATATTTAAAATAAATAAAAGAAAATATTTATTTAGTATTATTTTAGATAAATAAAAAGAAAATATTTATTTAGTATTATTTTAGATAAATAAAAGAATATATTTATTTAGTATTATTTTAGATAAAAAAAATATATTTATTTAGTATTATTTTAGATAAATAAAAGAATATATTTATTTAGTATTATTTTAGAAAATATTTATTTTAAATAAAAGAATCTATTTATTTAGTATTATTTTAGATAAATAAAAAGAAAATATTTATTTAGTATTATTTTAGGTAAATTAAAAGAAAATATTTATTTTGTATTATTTTTTAAAACTGTATTTTAACAAATTACTACGGACATGTGTTGATATTGTGTCACTTGATCTTCTGCTATAGAATAGCGATCCTCGGTCGTATTTTTGGTATCGCGGAGCCCTGAATATTTCGCCTTCAGTGGAGGAGGGTGGCGATCTCAACTGGTGGATACTGGTCAGTTTGATGGTGTCGTGGCTCATTGTATTTCTCTGCATGGTCAAGGGCATTGCATCTTCGGGAAAGGTGAGCAACTTTGTCATTGAGAACCTTAACAGAACCTTGACCGTGGGAAATTACCGGGTATTATATTAGAATCTCTGACGTTCCTTCAATACAATAACGGTGAGACTACAGAATTAACACACTATCCGCCTTTTATACAATATGCAAATGAGTAAATAATACCCTGTGTAGAATGAATTAACTGTGAGTGAATTGCAAGATTGCTTTCAATCGACAACACGTCTAGGTGTAAATCACAGGTGTTTTAATCTGAGAAGGATTAGACTTCTAGCCATTACGTAAATAATCCAGTTTATATTCTTTACCTCTGTGTGACCTTCATCTGTTTTCAGGTTGTGTATGTGACCGCCACCTTCCCGTACCTGGTATTGGTCATATTCTTTTTCCGTGGGGTAACGTTAGAGGGCTTCTACCATGGTCTCGAACATTTCTTCGTCCCTGACGTAAGTTTCAGATATCACCAATAGTTGTTACTAAATAAATGGATTAATGGAGATTACATCCTTGTTTCTAACTCGACCGATATTAACTACAAACTTGAATATATCTCTTTCTGCTATAAGTAAGCAGGCGCGTCACTGACTTGAACTTAAATGCTAAATAAAGGGGCACCAGTAATGAAGCAACCTACCTTTGCCGATAATCTAGCGAGAAAGTTTATCCTTTTACAAATATATAATGCCATATTTAAGATATTATAATATATATATTTGAGGATCATGATATTGAAAAACATGTGTCAGACATATGCTTTAAAATCTTCAACAGTTCAGTCGCCTTGGGGATCCACAAGTCTGGTTGGAGGCTGCCACTCAGATTTTCTTCTCGCTCGGACTCGCGTTTGGAGGTTTGATCGCCTTTTCATCTTACATGCCCGTTCGGAACAACTGTTATCGGGACGCACTTCTCGTATCCATTGTCAACTGTGGGACCTCAGTGTTCGCCGGAATCGTCATCTTCTCGATCCTGGGTAAGGTCCGAACTGTGTACAAAACATGAGCATGGTATCATTATGGTGGTGTCAGTGTCACTCTAGTTAGATCACCAACTGTAAACAGGGTCACAATGTCACTCTAGTTAGATCACCAACTATATACAGGGTCACAATGTCACTCTAGTTAGATCACCAACTGTATACAGGGTCACAATGTCACTCTAGTTAGATCACCAACTGTAAACAGAGTCACAATGTCACTATAGTTAGATCACCAACTGTAAACAGGGTCACAATGTCCCTATAGTTAGATCACCAACTGTATACAGAGTCACAATGTCACTATAGTTAGATCACCAACTGTAAACAGGGTCACAATGTCACTCTAGTTAGATCACCAACTGTAAACAGAGTCACAATGTCACTATAGTTAGATCACCAACTGTATACAGGGTCACAATGTCACTATAGTTAGATCACCAACTGTAAACAGGGTCACAATGTCACTATAGTTAGACCACCAACTGTAAACAGGGTCACACTGTCACTGTAGTTAGATCACCAACTGTAAACAGGGTCACAATGTCACTATAGTTAGATCACCAACTGTATACAGAGTCACAATGTCACTGTAGTTAGATCACCAACTGTAAACAGGGTCACAATGTCACTGTAGTTAGATCACCAACTGTAAACAGGGTCACAATGTCACTATAGTTAGATCACCAACTGTAAACAGGGTCACAATGTCACTATAGTTAGATCACCAACTGTAAACAGGGTCACAATGTCTCTCAAGTTAGACCACCAACTATACACAAAGTCACAATGTCACTCAGTGACCAGAACTTGGTGAGGGGTTATGATGGTGTCATTATCATTCTGGTGTTAGATCAACTATGAACGGGGATAATGTGTTGGACATTATCAATGAACCAATGTCTAATTGAAAGGTTCGTTGAGGATACGTAAATAAATCGGTTACTTTCTGCAACATAAGCGTCACCGTTGATGTTTCATTGAATGAATATATCTTAGTTAAAGTATAACATAACTCTGTCAGTGATACAATAACATTTTAAAGATCAGGGCCCAGTTTCATGAATCTTCCTTAAGTTAACGAGAACTCTCATAGAAAAGAATTATTCAGCTTTCTGAAGTTTTTCCATTAACTTCCGCAATGTTTTATTCTAAGGAGGTCATAGTTTCCTTAACTTAAGGAAGATTCGTGTAACTGGCGCCAGTCCATGTAACACAAAAAAGAAGGAATAGCTAACAAGTGTAATATATAACAGAAATGTCATTATTTCTGGCACCAATACCGGCTGGCGCTATCTGTTACGGATCAAAAGATCGGGGACATATTGTTTTTGTGTTGTCTGTTTGCACCGTGCGAGGTATGGCTTTCATATTTGGCACGCGTGGGCCTTGTGACACGACCTTTCTGGTGGTACAAAAACAGTTTGACCATGTGACCTTGACCGTGATCTTTGACCTATATTTGAAAGTAAAAAAAAATATTTACTAAAAGGAAGACAGGTGTTTCACAGAGTGTGCCTTATACAGTGAAATTTCAATGTCCCATTTCAGAACTTTGTTACAAGCGGTGACATAGTGTTTCATAAACACATCTTGTTGGTTTTAGGTTTTAAAGCGACTAAAGCATACGACAGTTGTGTGGACACCAGAAACACGGAACTGTTGCAGCTATTCAACACCACATCCATCCACCCTCCACCAGCCGGAACTACCATCAATGTGACCAAATTTGATCCCGTGCTCAAGCTGTGGGGCACTGTGCAGACCAGCATGCCAGACATTACTTCCTGTGATTTCAAATCTGAAATAGAAAAGGTAAGACAGCTGTGCTGTATTGTTATATCATGTAGTCTGTAGAATTATTAAAAAATAGTTTGGGAGTGTTGGCAGAAACGAAAAAACATTGAAGGAAAAGGTAAGTACACAATTAGAGGAGAATTCTAGTAATATTGTTTTTCATTCTTCAAGTAAAATCAAGATTGATCCGACCATGATAACATGGAATGCTTTAGAAATAACGTCCATGATGTTCCATCACAAATCCCTGTTCTTCTCTTTCAGTCGGGATCAGGAACAGGGCTTGCTTTTATTGCATTCACGGAGGCCGTGACGCAGTTTCCGGCTGCGCAGTTTTGGGCCGTTCTGTTTTTCCTGATGTTGCTCACACTTGGATTAGACAGCATGTTCGGTACATTAGAGGGAGTCATCACCTCGATCGTTGACATGAATCTGATCACAAATCTACGAAAAGACTTCTTGGCCGGTATGTAATAGACTCGTTACTGTTTATAACCACGACAACCACACAAAGCTGACGTCACTCGTCATACAAGATACGTCACTAAAGTTTCGTAAACGGAAGTGTATACTTACCATAAAAGGAACTGTGTACTTACCATAAACGGAAGTGTAAACTTACCATAAACGGAAGTGTATACTTACCATAAACGGAAGTGTAAATTTACCATAAATGGAATTTTATACTTACCACAAACGGAAGTGTATACTTACCACAAACGGAAGTGTAAACTTGCCATAAACGGAAGTTTATGCTTGCTATAAACTGAAAGGTATTTTAATTATGAACTGAAGTGTAAACTTACTATGATCTTAGATCTTGAAGTGTATACTTACTAAGTGTATACTTCTATATGAATATTTGACCGCGACTATTGTACCCATTAAAGATAAGGCTTGCATCAATACAACGTTACACATGACATCTGTTAATGGTGCCGATTGGTATATATTGATATCCACGACATCTAATTACATGCCTCTGTGCTCTTCTGTTTCAGCCTTGATATGTCTGGTGTCCTTTATAATGTCCTTCTGCTTCGCTAACCAGTCAGGACCATATATATTTACCCTGTTTGACGAGTACAGTGGGAACATTCCTCTTCTGGTCATCGCTCTATCTGAGGTCATCGCTATCGCTTATATCTATGGACTCAAAAGGTGACTGAATTATAATTCGTTTTCTTAAAACTTTAAATTTATTTGTGACTTATTCAGTAATAAATAAAAAAAACCGAACAAAAACAAACAAAACAGAATCTTGATTATCTTCTCTGTTGAGAAAGCTTTGTCAACCCTTGTCACTACTACCAGTTTCTGATGTGTTCGCTTTAGGAAGATTTAATTGGTCTGGAACAGTTGCAATATGTTTGTATGCAAATCAGATATCTTCGAAACACAATAATTTCCAGACTGTTCACTTATTTTCTAGTCTCTTTATAGTCAATTTTCATTATTTTCGAAACTTTTCTATCAGAATGCAGCAAAGCCTTGAAGTGATAATGACTGCACTTACCAGTCACTAAATGGATAGATATATATTTCAGCATTAATCTACATTTGAGAGTTATTTCTGACTTATTTATGCATTTTTTTCAATCCAAAGATTTGGAGACGACATACAGCTGATGACGGGCCAAAGACCTAACTGGTACTGGTTGGTGATGTGGAAATACGTGTCGCCCGCCGCCATGTGTATAATACTGATCGCCAGCGTCGTCAAGATGGCCGTCTCTGGTACTTCGTATGACGCCTGGTCGGCTGTCGAGGTAAGTCCGCCTTTATCATTTTGAAAAGACAAAATACAATTTGATGGGGCGTTGTGGGAAAACATCTGTCTGACATCAATAGTTATTTTAGGCCACATCATCCACAAGTTCGAGAAAGTGTTTTTTTTTTTCATTTTACCCCTCCCCCCATTTGATTAATAAAACATTTTAGAAATATTAAATTGCGTATAATACATTGAGCTTAATTTGGTGAATACCAATGTTTCAATATAGCATGAAATGACAAAAAGTAATTTTTTCTCTTTGAAGTTAAACTTTCTATCGATTACATCATATTTCCATGATTTCAGTATGATGACAATACTGACCTCTAACCTTTCAGGCGGACACCGTAAAACAACAGTGGCCAGGCTGGTGCAAATTCCTTGCCGCGTTTCTGATATTAACCTCCTTACTTTGGATACCGATAGTCGGTATTTTGAAATATTTCAATATAGTCAAATGGAAGCCAGAAGAACCTGCAGATTTTCCAGAGGACGAATTAATCCAAGAGAGAAATATAAAACCGTATATACCTACAGCAAGGGAACGGAAACTGTTTTACTGGAGGGAGACATTATGATGTTAGCTTTACATAGCACTTACAATACTCAGGACACCCTGGTTTAAAACAGTAGCGTCGACATTAGTACTGTACTATACTCAAGAAATCCCGGTCTCAAAACAATAGCGTCGACTTTAGCACTTATGATAATCTAGAAATCCCGGTCTCTAAACTGTAGTACTTACAATATTGCAGAAATCCCGGTCTCAAAACAATAGCGTCGACTTTAGTATGGTGCAATACTGCTGAAATCCCGGTCTCAATACAATGGCGTCGACTGTTGTACTTTCAATACTCAAGATATCCCGGTCTTAAAACAATAGTGTTGATTTTAGTATGGTACAATACTCAAGAAATCCCAGTCTCTATACAATGACGTCAACCGTAGTTCTTATGATAATCTAGAAATCCCGGTCTCTTAACTGTAGCGTCAACTGTAGTATTTGCTATACTGCAGAAATCCCGGTGTCTTAACTGTAGCGTCAACTGTAGTATTTACTATACTGCAGAAATCCCGGTCTCAAAACAATAGCGTCAACTGTAGTACTTACTATACTGCAGAAATCCCGGTCTCTTAACTTTTGCGTCATCTGTAGTACTTACTATACTGCAGAAATCCCGGTCTCTAAACTGTAGCGTCAACTGTAGTATTTACTATACTGCAAAAATTCCGGTCTCTAAACATTAACGTCAACTGTAGTACTTACTATACTGCAGAAATCCCGGTCTCTTTAACTGTAGCGTCAACTGTAGTACTTACTATACTGCAGAAATCCCGGTCTCAAAACAATAGCGTCAACTGTAGTACTTACTATACTGCAGAAATCCCGGTCTCTTAACTTTTGCGTCATCTGTAGTCTTAACTGTAGCGTCAACTGTAGTATTTACTATACTGCAAAAATTCCGGTCTCTAAACATTAACGTCAACTGTAGTACTTACTATACTGCAGAAATCCCGGTCTCTTTAACTGTAGCGTCAACTGTAGTACTTACTATACTGCAGAAATCCCGGTCTCAAAACAATAGCGTCAACTGTAGTACTTATGATAATCTAGAAATTCCGGTCTCTAAACTGTAGCGCCAACTATTATTCTTACCATGCTGCAGAATATTTCTCCAGAAACTCTTGTAGCGTCAATTGTTAAATGAACCTACATTATCTAGCGTCTACTATAGTACTTACAATACCCCAGAAATACCAATCTCAGAATTATTATTGAGTTTTAAGTTTTCTTTTGGGTTCAGTTTATGAAATCTGTCGATAAGGAATGGGTTTGGTTGTAAAGCTGGGTCGAAGATGTAGGGAAAATAGGTGCAATTAAGTCAATGAGAACCCAATTAACAACGAACCGTTAGTATCATATTCAACATACACCTTTGTTAGTGTTGAAGTCTTACACATTTGTATTATTTTATCCTGTTTATACATTTTTATAATACTTTAAAAATGACCAAATCACTCTCTCTACTGATGGAAATAGTACCAAGTAACTTACTGATTCAGCATGAGAATGAAAGATATTATATTTTAAAATCATGTTCTTATAAATAATTTCTAAGATGTTACAAGAGATTTTAAAAAGAAATAAAGATTTTGTAATAAAGAATTTGTTCATATTTATTACCTTGGCTACAAACTGGGATCATCTCTTGGGATGCTGTTTATAGAAATACTGTAAGGCCACAATAATCGTATTCTGACAAAGGCACTGTTATAGACTTCTGAAACAGTATAGGAACTCCGCGGCCAAGATGGCCAACATGGGCCTAAAATGGCAAGAACTATAATGTGTTGACACAAATGAAGATTTTAGAAGTAGGAGAAAAAAACAAAACAAAAAACTAAAAGAAAAGAAAAAAAACCAACAAAAAACAACAACAAAAAGTTGTAATACTTCGCTTAAAGAAAGCTTCTGGTGCACGCGCATATTTCAGTACTGTTCAACTATTGAAGTTCATAGAATACTAATGATTCTACTTGATTTTGACATCTGTGATTATAGACTCCAGCATTTCAAATGCGCGCACAGATATGTCTTTCCGTTTCCAACGCAATGCTTTCAAGGATTCAAACTCGTAGACTACTGGATCACATGGGTGGAGTAAACTGTGGTACGTAAGGATTCCAACAATTTAAAAAAGAAATGGCAATTTGAAATCCCAATTGAATTCCGAATATCTTTTTATGTTTTTCTCTCCGCTATCTGAAGAGAAAAATATGTCTTCATGGAGACGTAAAAAAATTGTGGCCAACCAACTAAGCTACTTGTACTTCATAATACAATAGACAACGAACGTCCAACAACATCTATGACAGTCTTCTCTGATTTACGGAATGTCCCCTGCACCTCAAAGCAATTATACAATCCACATCATGAACATGGACGTAACTTGGAATTTGGTGTTTTTGAAGAATTAACCTTTAGCATTAAAGTTCATGTTCCATATCTGGATTACAACGTACGACAGCCGAAGCAAAATAGAACAATCAAATAGATTATGTATGTCACACTTTCAGCAGATGATGCTGTCTTCATTGATCTCTAAGGACGGAATATAAATATAATTGCTTCGATTTCTTGTTAAAACTTCAACAATAGTGGCAGTTTTAATTGTGGTCGGGTAACGGTTAACGGGAGGTAACTCGTTAAATGACATTTCCCTCAGCAGTCAAAGACAAAAAACAACAAAAACGTGTATAAATTGTCTTTTGTTTCCTTTTTTTGTGAACAGCACATTAAGTTTATACGTAAATATGGGTAAGTTATCAGTCAGAAGATTAAATACGTTGGCAACATGTGTTGTTCTTACTATTAATACGAGACCCCATTGGTCCATGTCTCTCACCTCTCACTTTCTATAAATCTTACAGGAAGGCAGGTGTTATCACAGCAGCAATACAAAGTACGAGATTCAGGGTTGTTGGGTTAAGGTCACTATAACTATTTTTTATAAAATATATGAATTATGAGAATGTAATAGCTTGTGGGAGGATGGAAGGGTACATGTATTGCTTCAGCAATACTCAGTATACTGTTTTGTTGTATTTTTACATGTCTGATCCGTTTGACCATTGTTAAGGTGAGCTATTTATAAACTATCAAAAAGTATCTTGACAATTCTATGAATAATGTACTTAAATCACTCCTGATTTACATGAAGCTTGCCTTCATGTGAGGGACTAAGCACACAGTATTCTTGAGACTACCTCATGGATTAACTTCAAACTAAAGAAGACTGTTATTAAACATGAAAGCATTTCCATGATGATAATCATCAGACTCTCCATGAAGGAGTTATAGCCCTTGAAACATAAGGCTGAGCAAATTTTATTATTAAAGTAAATTAGACAAGTTTGATAGCAATTATCACCCGACTCTTTATTAACAGTTATGGCCCTTTCTGTATTGACAGTAGAGTGGCGCTTTATAATTACTTATGAACATATATATATATCAAACTTGTTGGAGAGGTTCATTACCTTGAAACTTTAACAAGTTCTATACTCACAATGATCTTGCCATATTTGTATTGTAATTTTAGGCGCTGTTGCCCTTTATAGATTCTGGTAAATTGTCTAACTGTACCCAATAATTTAAGTAACATTGACTTATCACCCAAAACACATACAAGCTGAATATCCATTAGAATACCACCATTGTATCTAAAATTGTGTCCCATGATCAGTAATTAGTAATCACTAATTAGGATGTGATGACAGTTAATGCATGTCTGAATAATCATTTACTGATCATCCTCAAATTTGGTGATGTCTAGATTAAATGTAATTACACCCTTACACCTTTTGATATGCCAACCATTAATGGAGTTATTCCCCATGGTTCCATTAGAGCAATATCATCATTGTACGATATACCATACAACCATGGACTTAAATATATAATATACAAGTCCGTGATACAACTATTCATTCATGGAAGTGTCGGAAATTTCTCCTTTTAATGAAAATTCTCTCTCGAAAACAATTGTTTCAAATATTTAATGTACTATGAATTGCTTTTTTACAAACAACGGACCACACACAGTCGGGGACTTCTAGCAAAGATGACTGATGATTCTACGCGAAAATCAAAGGTCAGTGTAAATGATATCCAAAAATTTCATTTCAATAATATAGATCCACACAGTCACTTCATTAACATTTAGGGGTCAGCAATCAAAGTCAATCACTGAAACTCGATTGTCAATAGAAGCCTTTCCTGGAGGTTCTTCTAGGTGTTCACTTCAACAAAGTGTGAATCTTACAGCATCAACTCAACAACAAATGTCTTGTAGCATTTTTTTTTTATTTCGATAGATTGAAATTGGGTGAATTATCAACAAAATATCAAACCCTAGTATTGTTTTCATTGGGTACAGAACATTGAAACAAAGGCACAATGTATCAACACAAGGAACACAAAAAGCAGTTGCTATAGCAACCTGGTTGTTGTTGATCTGTCTCCGTGCCTACAAGACAGCTCACAACAATAACAGTTACTGAAAGTTTGCCAGCTTCAAAAACAATAACTATAATGATGTTAACAAAAAGTGTTTCCATTTCAAACTTTGTATAATACTATCCTCCAGTACAGAATGTATGTCTTACACCAATACAACTACAGGAAATAAAATGTCGGAGCAAATCTTCATCCTTACTCTAATGTCTCGTCTAGGTGATATAATGATCACTGTGAAGTGTAAAATCTGGACTAGACAATCAGATTAAAACATTTCATTAGTGATTCAACAGTAAACATACTCCAATACAGAAAGTCTTCCATTGTCTACCTGTACAACATCTTAATACCAGGGGTCCTAAAAACCTAACATTCTGGTGATTCTCAATGAAGTAGTTACAGAAAAGACAAAATTTTGATCGTCATCATACAAATTGCTGTACCAGAGGGATCAATATTTATAGAATTATCATCAAATTGTGACAGAGCCATCCAACATGACAATGTACAGGTGTGATCAGGGACGTATAATACAGATAGATTAGAAATTGCCTATAACTATTTGTTATGCTGTAGCAAAGAAATTTATGTTAACTAGCATTGCTGTTTTTATGAACCTTTTGTCTCCAAAAGTTTACAACTAATCTTTCCAAATTAAACATTACTAAAAAAAGCTTAATAATTTTCAAATTGATTGTGCAAACTTTTGTGATAAATGATTTCTGTTGACTTTCGATATTCAAAAAAAAATTGCTTTAAGCTATTTACAACTGAAATACCATCCTATATTGTATACCACTTTCTGTCTGAAATATGGAGACAATCATCTTTAAATCGATGGCAATTAAAAACAAAGTAATTTTCTGAATAACTCATGTAACTTGTGATAAGTAACTTTATCTATTAGTATATTTTTGTTATGAAACTGAGATTCGCTTCTCATTGGTCATCAACAAAATGGTTCTGGTCTACTGGTCATCCCATAATTAGTGCCACACTAATTACATCATAGTGGCACAGGTAAAAAACATTAGATACAGTGTAATACCAGTAAGAAGAGTGAACTTCAAAGCGTTACAGCTCAGTGAACACAAAAGCTAATGCTAGAGAAGTCCCCACTAGACTTTTTGTTCCTCTGTATTATATGTCCCTGTGGAGTGATCAATAGTCGTGTTTTTTATCATTGTGTAATTAAATATTAATAATAACAATCATCTACCCTACACATGGAAAATAAAGTATCAGTTTACTTCCTTGTCATCAAATATCACCGAGAAACACATCTGTACAGAAATTAAACAAAGAAATGTCAATATGCTCATGTTTGTTCTTTTTACAGAAATGTGAAACAAATTATTTTGTTTTAATTGTATTCACATTCATCAACGTCGTTTTACTAAAACTTCATTTTCAAAGAAAATATTCCTGAAAATATCTAAAAATATGTTCTGATTTAAATAGACACTAGAATACATAACGGATATTCTTCAGGTCTCCGTCAATTAAGATCGTAATTAAATGATGTAAATGAACAGTTCAATTAAATAGCTTCATACATGGTCATTATCATTTAATAGCTGTTAAATATCACAAATCCTCTCTAATTGGGAAAAAAAACAGGAATGTGAATTTATAACATACATCACTGAATACAAATGCCGACACATACATGTATTAAGAGCATTGAAATATATCAGACAGTTATATATTGAGCAAATAGATAAAATAAAGACTCCGCATCGACTATACTAACACATTTTGTAGGAATTATTCCCCTTTTATTAGTACATTAAATATGAACACATGGAAGTTTGATGTATCCGCTTATAATTACAAGGAAAATGAAGAAAAGCTGTGAATTCAATGATATAAAAATACTGGAACTTAACACTTCGAGGCAGGGGAAAAACCTGACAAAATTTGGTGAAAATATGATGCATAACTATGACAAACAAAAGGTTAATTGAATGGCGCAAACAAAATTGAAATGGCAGAAAAAGAAATCCATCAATTTGTACTGACTGTCATGATTCATACCTAACCCTAGAGGTCCCCTCACAAAATCAATAAAGTAATACCACACCATTGTAGCCCATCAATGTGACGGCTCCGTTGGGCTGCAGGGAATACTTCTGCCCCAATAACACTAATCAGTTTCAAATAAAAAATCTAAATAGCATATTCATATGTCCATCACATAATACACACAAGTTTTTCTTCCAGTCCTTACACCATCAGTGTTCCGTCAAATATTTGACAACAATTTTACTGGAGTCTACATATATCACACGTTGTATCAAATCAATGATATTTTAGTGTCATTTTGTCATTTTCTGTATGTATCTGACTCCAAATGACTATAATTTTCACTTGACATTAAATTTCATACATACACACATACATATATATAAATACAATGTTTACAATGTTTACATTGAATTCTTCTTCCACATTAAAATCATTAATCCATATCTTCATCAATTAAGTCAGAAATGTCTCAAAATGATTCCAGTCTTGTTTACTTTACCACAAGTCTTTAACAAACAACACCTGTAACAAGAATACACACATTATGTCTTGGAAATGGGTTCAGATTCTCCCATATCATGTTGGACAAATCATGACCATTGCTTGGTGTCCATCCGTCCGAACACAGTATTCTGCGTATCCCTCCTCAAAACTGACAGGATAATGTACCTTCTGACTCTAGAAATCATCACAAAAATAACTTAATGGCAGCTACAGGCTCCATGTTATCAGGAAACTTTGTGCTGTGGTCTGTCAAATACCTATTTGATCGGCAAAGAATTTGATCCTTGTCTAGACGCAGCCCAAGCAGTGAACACATCCCTAAAAATATCAACAGAAATTCATTGTTATTTACCCAACATTTACAATAACAAATTAATTAAACAGTGCAAAATTACTTTTTACACTTCTCATATGCTAAAAACAAATGGTTGAGAAAGTGTGTTACTTCAGAAAACTTTAATGTTGCCATATTTGAAAAGGGTGTAACTACAAGCAAATCATTGAAACAAATTAATATATGAAAGATTCACATTAAAAAAACACTCTCATGTAATGACATGTCTGATCAAATTAGTGATGAGAAAAAGCAGAATTAATAAGAAAACTAGAAAATGTCTGTAAGACATGAATGCCCCCCCCCCCCCCCCCCCCCCCCATGTGAAATAATAGTGAAAGGTCCGAATGAAGTTGTTAGGTGGTATATACTAATTTGGGACGGGACGGGACGGGACGGACGGACGGACGGACATGGGCAACGCTATAAAAAAGAGAGATATAACTTATAGATGAAAGGAAGAATATACAGGTAAGAAGTGATGATTTACAGGTAAGAAAGGGATATCCAGATGAAAGAAAGTGATGTAAAAGTGAAAGTAGAGGATACTGATAGTATGAAGGAATATACAGATGAAATGAGAAGACATATAAGAGAAAATAGACAGATGATAGGACAGTTTATACAGGTGAGAGGATGTGATATATAGGTTAGGGGAAGGGATATACAGGTGAGAGGAGGGGACAATCTGATATGATCATATGTACCTGCAATGACTGACCACACACTCATTACTGCAGTACTCATTGTCCCAGCCAGGGTTGTCCAATGTGGTGTTAGTACAGCCGTTCCTGATGCACCACTTCGATGAGTAGGGCATAGCTGGGTTACATCCATCCTGTCACAACAAATTTACAATCATAAACTTCAAGAAATGTCACACCACACCCACATCTTTAACAACAGAATAGAAGTTCTTATAACACAACTAGTAGATTTAAGTGTGATTTTTAATGTCTACACAATCATCTTCATCAGACATATCACCAGTGTGAAACGTGCTAGCACTGATGTATGTCTATGACCAAGTCAAATACAAAGTGTAGCAGAATTAACAACAGTAAAATGTTATCATCTTGTGTACTGTTTTCTATAAACATCTCTTCACACTATTTTCTACCTAGGTGTACATATGATTACAGTACAACCGATAAAGGAATGATTCCTAACTATCTTGTACACTTTGTATGACAGTGCTAGTACCCTTCACAATGATCATTTGTCTGATGAAGGTGATTCATGATTCTGTGACCTTACAACCAGAAGAAAGTGTTCCAAAATACATTCTAAAAATCATCAAGCAATAGTGAGGTTGTTCAACTCTAAACTTTGTTTTAAACTTTTCAAAAAGTATAACGGGACTTTGATCTCCAACTTGAAAGAGTAAATTAAAGCTCTACAGTAGGAGGACTAAGGAACCACTAACCATCAAGTCCATGCTTGGTGGTCCAGGTGCTATATCCTGGATGCTGCGGTACTGGGGTGGGCTGGTGTATCCAGTCTGGTATGGTGGACTGGTGGTCATGTGACCCATCACTTCCTGTGGGGGTGACATGCTGTTTTGTGGCGAGGTGGCTATGGACTGGGGGTGTTGTAAGTGTGAGCGTGCTCCACGAGTAGGCAGGGCCACCACACTGAGGCCAGTTCCTTCATCAGTACCACTCTGTAAGTGATAAAAACATCAGCATGATAAATACTGTACACAATATCTATGCCATCTGTACACCTCTAGTAAAATATCTGTGCTCAAGTCCACATACATTATCTCATTCATACACATTTTCTTATGTAAATATTTCCTATCATACTCCTCTACAGTCCCCGCTCTATGTAATACACACTTATTGTCATCCAACCACAAACTGTTGCCTCCACAAGTATACACCACCTATACTGATTTCATTCCATCCTAACATCCTGATAAGGTACTCAAACTTTAATTTGTAATTGGTCAGAATTCAAATCGTGCACCAATCAGACTACTCTCGATACGTTCGTGCCTTATGGTACCTGGATGTTGGAGCGTAGCTGTTGGCGACCACTCCGTGTTGTTATTGGTTTTACAGACAACTTACTCCCCTCATCCAGGGCAGCCTACAAGTAAACATATCACACTGTACTTTGTACAGTTATCACAAAAATTAACTCACCATTTAGTTTCAACACAGAAACCATACAGGATAACTGACATTGACTTTCTGTATAGAAACCATCTCTAAGGATGACTGACCAATAATTTCTGCATAGAAACCAAATGTAAGGATGACTGACCTTTAGTTTCTGTATAGAAGTTTATGTTAGAATGACTGACCATATCGAAGAATATCTGACAGTTTCTGTACAGAAACCATATGTAAGGATGACTGACCAATAATTTCTGCATAGAAACCAAATGTAAGGATGACTGACCTTTGGTTTCTGTATAGAAGTTTATGTTAGAATGACTGACATTTCCGTAGAGAAATCACAGTTTCTGTACAGAAACCATATGTAAGGATGACTGACCAATAATTTCTGCATAGAAACCAAATGTAAGGATGACTGACCTTTGGTTTCTGTATAGAAACCATGTTCAGATGACTGACATTTTGTTTCCGTAAAGAAATCATATGTTAGAATGACTGAACAATAATGTGAGGATGACCAACATTTAATTTCTTGTATAGAAACAATACTTAAAGATGAATGACCATTAATTTCTGTATGGAAACCATATGTAAGGATGGCTGCCCTTTGGTTCCTTACAGAAATCTTAAACCCAAGGACAACTAATTGGATTCTGTTGAATAAACATACAACAATGACAGCTGGCCATTAGTTTCTGAACAGTAATACAGATTTCCAACCTTGAGAGGACATCCAGATTAGATCATTTTTCTTTTAAAGGTAACCAGGTATTTTCGATATAATTACACTCAAATGTTCCAATATAAACTATGAAAATAATCAATGCTTTTCAAAAGAAAAGAATAATTATCAAATTAAACTTCTTATTGTTTTCATATACAGGTGTAAATATTCAGGGACAAAAAAGCATAATATGTGTTCTGTTTGTCTCTATATTAACAGGACAAATATGTGTACTGTTTGTCTCTATATTAACAGGACAAATATGTGTTCTGTTTGTCTCTATATTAACAGGACAAATATGTGTACTGTTTGTCTCTATATTAACAGGACAAATATGTGTTCTGTTTGTCTCTATATTAACAGGACAAATGTGTGTTCTGTTTGTCTCTATATTAACAGGACAAATATGTGTTCTGTTTGTCTCTATATTAACAGGACAAATATGTGTACTGTTTGTCTCTATATTAACAGGACAAATATGTGTTCTGTTTGTCTCTATATTAACAGGACAAATATGTGTTCTGTTTGTCTCTATATTAACAGGACAAATATGTGTTCTGTTTGTCTCTATATTAACAGGACAAATATGTGTTCTGTTTGTCTCTATATTAACAGGACAAATATGTGTACCGTTTGTCTCTATATTAACAGGACAAATATGTGTACCGTTTGTCTCTATATTAACAGGACAAATATGTGTTCTGTTTGTCTCTATATTAACAGGACAAATATGTGTACTGTTTGTCTTTATATCAACAGGACAAATATGTGTACTGTTTGTCTCTATATTAACAGGACAAATATGTGTTCTGTTTGTCTCTATATTAACAGGACAAAATGTGTATGTTTGTCTCTATATTCTCTGTTTGTCTCTATATTAACAGGACAAATATGTGTTCTGTTTGTCTCTATATTATGTGTAACAGGACCTGTTTGTCTCTATATTAACAGGACAAATATGTGTTCTGTTTGTCTCTATATTAACAGGACAAATAAGTGTTCTGTTTGTCTCTATATTAACAGGACAAATATGTGTACTGTTTGTCTCTATATTAACAGGACAAATATGTGTTCTGTTTGTCTCTATATTAACAGGACAAATATGTGTTCTGTTTGTCTCTATATTTGTCTCTATGTCAATAGAACAAATATATGTGATATTAACAGGACAATTATGTGTGATGTCTGTCTCTATGTCAATAGAACAAATATATGTGATATTAACAGGACAATTATGTGTGATGTCTGTCTCTATGTCAATAGAACAAATATATGTGATATTAACAGGACAATTATGTGTGATGTCTGTCTCTATGTCAATAGAACAAATATATGTGATATTAACAGGACAATTATGTGTGATGTCTGTCTCTATGTCAATAGAACAAATATATGTGATATTAACAGGACAATTATGTGTGATGTCTGTCTCTATGTCAATAGAACAAATATGTGTGATGTCTGTCTCTATGTCAACAGGACAAATGTGTGTGATATTGACAGAACAAATATGTGTGATGTTTGTCTCTATGTCAATAGAACAAATATGTGTGATGTCTCTAACCTAGCAAGCCTTTTGTCAGTAGCAGCACCCTAGTTCATTAATGTAAATGAGTTTGTTGGTATGTTAAAAGAATTATATATTAGCACAGTATTAGAGTTACATGTAGTATTAAACAAATATCAAACATGTAACAAACTAGTAACAGAAGCCCTTCCATTTCATAACATGCTAGTCGTAAATTTTGTCCTGCACCTGCCCGAGTTGTACAATACCGTATGCAGATGTCCATTTATTACCGACATAAATATTCAATTTCAGCAGTTATCTAATAGCTCTCAAACAAAAACAGGACTTAATTTGGAAGTATAGAACAATAGACCAAGCAACTAAACACAAATAAATAAAAGTAGACAGGTAAAACCAGAGACCAAGTAGGAGATACCTAGTTTTTACTGAATTTTTTTTGCAATTGGACCAATGGGAATGCATGTATTTATACTTTAGTCTTCCTTAGCAACAGACTGGAGGTTGTATATCCTCCGCACACAATAAAGAAATATCAGCCATGTTTTTTTCCAGTAATCCTTATTTGGTGGATGCTACAGGTATAAAGTCAGGGACATCATTAAATTACGCCTTACAAACTACAATAATGAAATCCAGACCCTGATAAAGTATAGGGTTGGTCTACATTGTCAATAATCAGACAGTTAGCACTACACACAAGACAAAGGGTGAGTGTGACCTGGCTGGCCAGCACCTGTCCCCCACATGACCGTAAATCACACAGTACCAACACTAATAGCCCATCATCTCTTTAACAAAGAACTGTCAGACAACTTGATACCTTTCATACCATTCAGCTCTAATAAATGCTCCCCTTAGCAATGTCTTAGAATATTTTAACTGATCATTATTTCCATAACTAGGTAAAGATTTCCTAATTTACATTCTAACGAAATATTAAACAGAAAGTGTAAAGCGTGTTGTGTTCTATATTAAAAACTGTCATCAGGGCAAACAGAAAACGAATAGTCTTCTCCATAACAGACCATTTTTTAAAATCTAAATTTAACAGTAAAATTTTGAAGCAGTAAATTCACAAAGATATCCTTGTCATATATACAATGCCTCGAAAACAAAATTGAAGCATTATTTTGACTTGTTGGAATATAAAAAGTTCTTAAATTAGTAATTCAAAACTGCTGAGATTTAATCAAAACAACTGATACTGTAATTATAAATATTTCTAAAATTTGTTCACTTCCTTGAAGTACAAGTTAAAGTTAGGATCTATTTTCAACAAGATTTCTCGAAGGGATCTAGGCACCCACAACTGTATCTACTTTATTTTTGACCTGTATTTGCTCTGAATAACTAGGATATTTTTTTCCTATTTCTCTTCTTTCCTTCTGTTTTTACTATGAAATTTGAGAAAACCTTTCAAGAAATAGTGATAATAATCTTTCACTGACAAATAAAAGATGCCACAAAATGGACAACACAGAATAAGGCTTTGTATCAAGTGGAACCTACTGACAGAATGGTGACCTTCAAACAAACCAGTGAAAGATCCATCCAGTACTTCTCAGTTTGAATAGCCCACAATCTGATGATGATGGAGGGCTAAAAATGTTTAACAAATAATGCCAAAGGGATCTTGACACCCACCATTAAATGATCTTCACTGGTTCTATGCAAAAAGGATCTTTTCTCTACTTCCCTCTTAATCATTTGATAACAAGGGGACCCTACATATGAAATCTAAGAAAGATCTAACAAGAACTTTCTGTGAAATAGTGATAACTAACTTCAACCGTCAAAATCCAAGAATCTACTTATCAAGGTTGAGAAAATAATTTTCCAGTTCTTCTCAAGAAAAATTGATAACAATCACCATTCATCAAGATTCAAGATGGTGGCCTAATCACCATTTTTTTCCCCTAATAATATTATATAGGGACAACTTGCAGGCAAGGGAACCTATGCATTAAGTTTTAGAAATATTTTTCATGTACTTATATTGAATATTGATAAAAAATTCAAATGTCAAAATCCAAGATGGTCACCTGTTGACCATTTTGTTTCACTGATCAGTCCTTAATGTAAATGGACACATCTAGAGACCATAGAGAACATAAACATAAAGTTGGACAAATATCCCTTGGGTGTTTTTCAAAAAATAGCAATTACAAACTTCAGTTGCCAAAATCCAAGATGTCTGCCTCTCAGCAAACCTTTGTTTTGATTGGTCAGAATCAAAATTGTATGGGCACAACTATTAACTGAGTTTACATATAAAGTTTGAGTATTATCCCACTAGTACTTCTCCAAGAAATAGCCATAACTATTATTGTTTATGGATGGACAGCAAACCAGAGATGACGGATAATTTGAATAGTCTAAAAGAAGATTGTGGGTCAAAATTCAAGAAAAATGATCTTTTAGAAATTTGTGCCATGAAATTCAACAGATAAGAATGATTCTTTGTGAGAAATGTATTTTGAAGCGACAAAATTCTTCAATCTATTAAGCTTACAGACATTGTCTTGATTATACCAAAGTACAAATAGTACATGTATATCACAATGGGTAGATGTTGGTATATACAACGTGATTAACAGAGTGAGGTAGTTACTCACCTGACAAACAAGACTTGCTCTGTAGGCTGCCAGTTGCTTCAGATATTCTTTCTTTGCATTCTCTGTTTTCTTCTTGTAGTTCTAAAAAACAAATTTTAAACAAGATCTTAAGAAAAATTATTTAAAAGGACAATCACCTAAGCCCAAAAGATATTAACATCACAACAGTTTTGGTTTAAGATAAACAAATATGTGCACTGCTCAGACTGATTTTGGGTGCCATTACAGCTGGCATTATATCAGAACCAGTGATTACCTTGTTTAAACTCCATTATTTTCTCTACTTTTGAGGTTGTTATTTTCTATTTTGTGCTATTTTTGAAGATGGAATAAAATTAACATTAAAATTAAAAGAAATAGATAAATAAAATAAAAAATAGTAATGAAAACAGTCTGTTTCATGTAATCTGTGAAAAATCTTTTTTGCTTAAAAAGTGAAAATTTGAAGCATATAAGACATCAGGGTTTATTGTTATTTATATAAATATAAAACATCAAATGCAGCATCATTACATATGGAGTCGATCACGTGTGTTTACCCACATAAAATGAAGTGCTTTACAAGATGTTTGGTATACAACTTCTACTCCATGTAATAATTTCTTTTTTAAATCAACGCAATCTTGATGGTTTTATATAAAATGTTGATATCAACAAAACAACAAGAAAGATGTTGTTTTATAAGAATCATATGAATGTATTATATATTCCATTTTCAAACGACTGACAATAGGCATGGATAATAACAAACATATCAAATCATGTACTTCTTGTATGATTTTTCAATCACTATTTCAAAGACAATCAAGATAAAATCATTATTTATAAACACAATCTAATGACAAAGTTGAGACAGGTTTGGAGATGACGAGTCTGATGTTGTTTGTGGCCCCTACACTGCCACCCCATCAATCATCCTGATGGATCATGGGAAGTCAACTGACAGTTTGAATTCAATTCTCACAGCTACTTCTGTTTCCAGGAGGCAGAATAAAAGACACTTAAGTATTTTCATGGGAGTTTTTCATTATTTTAAAAGCACATTACCATTCCCTATGTAAATCATCCAACTATTCATCATTTTAGTAATCTATCAAAAAACACTGATCATTCCATATCATACACATTTACAAATATATAATGATTAAAACCTGTGCTCAATAAGTGGACAAAGAGTACTTGGAGATTGAAATCTACAAAACAATACACAAATCACATCAACATGAATATCTCTTCAAATGGCACTGCACTCAAATCAAAGTCAATAAACAAGATTTAAACTGAATGGAAGGAATGTCATTGCTATGGTAACTGTTCCTAACATCCAAGATCTTAATTTGAAATCTAGGGCCAATATTTCTAATACAAACATGACTCAGAGAGTCTGAATATGATTGAGTACATCTTTTGTATCCCTGGCCACCTGCTGCAGCTGATGCTGAGGATAAAAGACAAGTATAATGATTTCATTGTCTCCTTATCTATAGTGTTTGTACCTTCCATTGTCCTTTCAGTTTCTTTATTTGTAATCAGCCTGTTCTACACCCAGATGTTGTAGAGGTTTATCTACATCATGCTGACAATGACCTGTTAAAACCATAACCATTGTCTGGAAATCTGATAGCCACAGCCATGACAATATAGGACTTGTTAAAAAAAACCTGATAGCTGTACAGAAGATTATCACTTGAACCTGGTTGATAACCTAACTGTACAGTAGGCCATAACTAGGACCCATTTGAAGACATGTTTGAAAGCTTGATAGCCATACAGTAGGACATTGTTAGGACTTGTTTGAAGACCTGAGAGCTGTACAGTAGGACATGACTAGGACTTGTTTGAAGACCTGTTTTGAAGAACTGTTTGAATTTTGTGTATGTATGTTGTTGTTGAGTATCTAATTTCCCATTATCTTTAATGACTCTGAATACACCAATATCAAATATTACCAACTGTACAATTTTAGGATGTGAGTTTTCTACTGCAACGTGACTTGTTTTCTGGTTAAAAATAAATATTTGACCTATATATCTATGACCTTGAATCAAGATCTTAAATTTGTTCACATGTAACTAGGCGTAACTTTAGGAAACCTCTAAAAATCAACTAAACATGATTTCAATCATTTTGAAAGTCACTAAAACAAAGATTTCAATCTCATCAATTTGAAAGAGTCTTTAATAAGACAATGATTTCACTCTTATTAATTAGAAACAGTCATTAGGACTGACCAGTACAACTGAGGACAAACAGAACATGTGACCAAAGCTGCCATTATCCCAGAACCATAAACACTGGTCAGCACATTAATAATGATAGGCTGTCAATGTACTTGATAAATACACGTCAAATTGGTGGTGGCCAGAGTAACTGACCAAAATACCAACCATTAATACTTTATGTAGCATATGGGTATTTATTGAAACTGAATACCTGGTACAGTGACCAGTGGCCTGAGAGGTCATTGCAATTAACTCACCAGTGGTTTGGATTAAACCGTCATTAGTACAGTGCTGCCAAGCTAGATATCCCTTCTCTATACTAATTACTGCCATTTCTCATCCAATTATTCCTGGGACATTGAGTTGGGTGTGTGGAGATGATTAATTATATTTCTGATTAATATTACATTTTGCTTGTGTAGGTTTGACTAATTATACCCACAGTCTAAATGTAGCCAGCTAATCGTCCATTGCTCCGGTGATTATGGGTGGTAATGCACAGATCCCATTGCTACATAACAAAAACCCATTTGGAGGACAAAACTGGTATTTATCATCCAAAGATAGGCTAATAGTAATAAATATCCTGTACTTTACAACCATTTAAACATTGTACGTTTCTGAATGTTGTATGTACTTTTTAAACAATATAATGTGATTGTAGCAAGATGACGAAACCTCCAACAACATAAACTCTGTACTGACTGTAAAAAGGAAACAAGTCTGAAAAGCATATTAATTTGTAACACAGATGTAGTTGTATATCAGTGTATGTAGTTGTATATCAGTGTATGTAGTTGTATATCAGTGTATGTAGTTGTATATCAGTGTATGTAGTTGTATATCAGTGTATGTAGTTGTATATCAGTGTATGTAGTTGTATGTCAGTGTATGTAGTTGTATATCAGTGTATGTAGTTGTATATCAGTGTATGTAGTTGTGGGAGGTTTGATTCTTACAACTGATGTGAAAAGAATCAGCACACAGCCTTCCAATCAAAGTGGTGTAGATCAATCTGATTACTCTCATCAGTCTTTGACCACTATGATAAAATATCTGGCTTTATCTATAATTACAGCTACTATTGGCAGATGTGGTCAAGAGTTCAAAAGAATCCACCCATACAGAGGTTACTGGTTAGTCTTATTAAGCAATTATCCAATGCTCTCCATTCCTTAACCCAATCTCACAAATATTATTATTTCTCAGCCACAAGAAATACCATTTGTACAAGGCTCAGGGTTTGTCATCAGTTTGAAGGAGTTTTGCAGGCACTACACAAATCAAATCTGCCTTTAAAACGTGAAGGGTTTCTTAATTAATTTTTAAAATTAATCCAGACTACCAAATTACTAAAGTGGTATCTATACCCATTTGATTGTATAAAGGACTAGGTCAGGCTCTATCGATGAGAACCTATGAAATCTCTATCTCTGATGTAAAAAAGTAGAAAATCTTGTTAACTTACACTCTTGTGTTCCGGGTCAAGGCCATCCCACATGGAGGCTACGATCTTGGAGACTTCTCCAAAGCTTGCGTTAGGGTTCTGTCCCTTTATGGCTGCTTGAGTGTCACGGAAAAACAACGCATAGGCAGACACAGGTCTGGAAGTAGATGGACAGATGGTCATAGGTGTGGACAGATAAACATGGTTAATTGGACATAACAGAGAAAATAAAGAGGCTGGTTTGCCTATTTTACTATCATGATAATATGTGGTATAGAAACCATGAGAAATCAAACTGTTTATACACTTGTATAGTGTAACACGCTTCTGTGCGATACATATTTTGGCTATTGACGCAATAATAAAACTTTTCAAAGCTTTGATAGATTGGTACATCCTGTACGTAACAGACTGACAATAGACTGTATCTGTAATTGTTATTAGAAAAACTTTCAAGTGTAAAGAGTACTAAAATATAATTGCTACTTAAACAAATATGTTCATAGTGTATATTTATACAGAAAATTATTGTAAGATTCCACTCAAGCAAAAAACTGGAATATGGTAAAAGGAATGTGAAAGCCAAGAGAATTAGGCCATTGTCATAATTGACTAAAACTAATATCCTGTAAAATCTCTTTAGTGCATGAATGCGCAGCTGTTTTCCTAAGAATGTGGTTTTCTTACTGCTGGAAAAAAATTGATTTGATAACAGTCATTAGACAAGAAATAGGCAGCCTGTTTTTGCTCTCTTAAGAGATGTGTCTTCGTGCTTTCAAAAAATCAATGTCACTGCCATGGGCTGACATGCTTTTATACTGATCAGGCAATTGGACAGATAAACATCAGAAATCTGTTTCAGGTTTATTCATAATTCTGTGTTTAATGTATTGGAATCTTGTAGAAACCTGTATCAGGTTTAATATATAAGAATCTTCTACAAATGTGTCCCTGTTTTAATGTGTTAGAATCTGGCAGATATCTGTCTCTGTTTTAATGATAAGAATCTTGTAGAAATGTATCTGTTTTAATGTTTAGAATCTCTTAGAAATCTGTCTCAGGACTAATGTATTAGAATTTTGTAGAAATGTATCTGTTTTAATGTTTAGAATCTCTTAGCAATCTGTCTCAGGTCTAATGTATCTGAATCTCGTAGAAATCTGTCTCAGGTCTAATGTATCTGAATCTCGTAGAAATCTGTCTCAGGTCTAATGTATCTGAATCTCGTAGAAATCTGTCTCAGGTCTAATGTATCGTAGAAATCTGTCTCAGGTCTAATGTATCTGAATCTCGTAGAAATCTGTCTCAGGTCTAATGTATCTGAATCTCGTAGAAATCTGTCTCAGGTTAAATGTATCTGAATCTCGTAGAAATCTGTCTCAGGTCTAATGTATCTGAATCTCGTAGAAATCTGTCTCAGGTTAAATGTATTATGATTTTGTAGAAATCTGTCTCAGGTCTAATATATTAAAATCCTGTAGAAATCTGTCTCAGGTCTAATATATTAAAATCCTGTAGAAATCTGTCCCAGGTCTAATATATTAAAATCCTGTAGAAATCTGTCCCAGGTCTAATATATTAAAATCCTGTAGAAATCTGTCCCAGGTCTAATATATTAAAATCCTGTAGAAATCTGTCCCAGGTCTAATATATTAAAATCCTGTAGAAATCTGTCTCAGGTCTAATATATTAAAATCCTGTAGAAATCTGTCCCAGGTCTAATATATTAAAATCCTGTAGAAATCTGTCGCAGGTCTAATATATTAAAATCCTGTAGAAATCTGTCTCAGGTCTAATATATTAAAATCCTGTAGAAATCTGTCTCAGGTCTAATATATAAAAATCCTGTAGAAATCTGTCTCAGGTCTAATATATTAAAATCCTGTAGAAATCTGTCTCAGGTCTAATATATTAAAATCCTGTAGAAATCTGTCTCAGGTCTAATATATTAAAATCCTGTAGAAATCTGTCTCAGGTCTAATACATTAAAATCCTGTAGAAATCTGTCTCAGGTCTAATATATTAAAATCCTGTAGAAATCTGTCTCAGGTCTAATATATTAAAATCCTGTAGAAATCTGTCTCAGGTCTAATATATTAAAATCCTGTAGAAATCTGTCTCAGGTCTAATATATTAAAATCCTGTAGAAATCTGTCTCAGGCTTATTTATGATTCTATGTTTAATGAATTTAAATCTGAATAATTCCAAATTTCATTACAAGAAAATCCCAGGGTAACCTTTGGTGTAATATATTTAGTACCAATTCCTAATCTTGGTTTGCCAAGACAAACCAATTTTGTATATAATACTTCTAATATTACATTAGGAAACAAGCTTTCTTCGGGCCAGGATTAATTTAAATTAAACACAAATTAATGTAAAAAGGAAAATGTAAATTTTCATTTAAATACTACTGTTATATCAATACAGTATGAAATCAGCAAAATAAATGAATCTTTCAATGTCCTCCATATTGTCTTTTTCTTTTAAAATTGTTATGTTGACATTTAATGTAAGTTGGTTGATTTCTGTGTGATATCATTTATATTAGAAACTTCAATAATAAAGACATCTGGTGTTTTTATAGTAATATCTGTATAGTGTAGATCATGAGGTGGTGAGGTAGTTGTATTACAGATTACATTACAAGGAAGTGACAAGTTCAGTGCCTCAGCTAAAATTTCAGATATGAACCCGGATAACAAAATGACACAAATTGTGACCTTGAGATCAAATATCATTTCAAAAAAATTAAATTGGTTAAACCAAGAGTAACAGGTGGCAATGCCAGGTAAACAAATTAGTGGCGAGACTTTTAAGTGGCGACTAGAGTAGCAGGACAGTACAATGACAGTCTCGCGTACCATTGTTAACAATATCGTTACTTCTGGTCAAAATTCTGATTTAGTTTTTAATTTTCTCTCAATTTCCTTGCTATGTCAGTGAAGCGTACAGGTAATTGAGAGGCTCATTCTGTAGAGGTGATGTAAGTTACAGCTACCTGGATCGGTCACAGGTAAGTGAGCCCAGCCACAACAGGTGGAGGACAACAGGTGGGTAATGAGAACTTCCGCTTATATCTCTTACTGTGGGAACACAAACTTTACATGATATAATTTGAGTTGCACTTTCAACACTGTTAGGAGATTTTTTACTACCTCTAGTTTGTGTAATTTATCAGATTAAACGTTTTTGAATAATGTACAGAAAACAGCAATCAGTTTTCTTTATCAGTGCAATCTGATTGACAACAGGACATAAAATGTTAATTTTCAAATCATTCAAAATGGAAAATAAAGTAGAAAACTGGCAGGTTTATTACCACACCTGGTCAATTGGTAAAATTTGTCTCTCTTAGAAATCATCTTAAGTATCGTATTTTCCAGATTATAAGCTGCACCAGTATATAAACTACAGGCCAATTTTTGAATATTAGGGAAGGCCCTTGCATGCCGACTAAATTCTTACAGTCGAATATTATTTCTTCTTGTAAGTTATACGAAGCCATTCATATTGTAAACAAGCATGGCGGTCATTCTAGAATTTGACGTATAAACTGATGACCTATCGATTCCAGGCTGCAAAAGGCTATTGTGGACTTCCACTATGGCTTCAAATTAACCGCAAAAGTTCAGAAGATATTATTGTGATTCATATTAAAAGGTATTATTAAATAAAATCCACCAAATCATCCTATATGTGATTGCAGAAGACAGTTCTAGACGACGTGTTTCTGTTACAAACACGTGATGGGCAGGTACTTGTTAAAAAAAAATTCAGTACCATCTCATACTGGTATGCTTCACATTTTTTCCCCCTTTCCTATCCTGCCAATTTTTGTTTCATCCCCATATAAGCTGCATTGGTATATAAGCTACATACCTGACTTGCAAGGAACAAAGGTTCAGCTTATAATCCAGAAAATGTTGTACACGTTTTGACTGGTACATGATTGATTATACAAGAGGCCAAAAGGACCTGTATTGCTCACCATGTAAAATTTATCTCTTCAGCTATTACTTATACTACATTGTGCCCATCTACATTGAGGGAGGTTCTTTCACCCAAGAATGCTCTAGACAATATTTGGTCCAACATTAAAGGTTTACTACTAATTCTGTTTCCCTATTGGCTTATAGAGGGCAAGACTTTCTGTTTACACAAAAAATCACTCATCACATAAGAATGCTTTAAACGAAATTTGGTTGAAATCCTTTCATTCGAACAAAAGATGGACATTAAAATGTCTGATACCTATCTTTATCTTCTCAATTGGACTCCCAGTGCCTTCTGTTCCCGGAATTAAGCCAAAAGTCCTATATTTGAGACTGTTTCTACTATTTGGCACCGACCTTTTGCCCCAAAAGAGGCTAGACCCTCTGTTTCTATATACCTTTTAAATTAAGAATTCTTCAGATATTAATGCTAGATATGCCAAGATCCTACAGCAAATTAACAGTTTTTAATATTAGAAATTTTGGGATATAGTAAATTAACTGTTATTTAATGTTAGATATACTAAGATCCTACAGTCAATTAACAGTTTTTAATGTCAGAAATTTTAGGATGCTACAGTCAATTAACAGTTTTTAATGTCAGAAATTTTAGGATGCTACAGTCAATTAACAGTTTTTTAATGTCAGAAATTTTAGGATGCTACAGTCAATTAACAGTTTTTAATGTCAGAAATTTTAGGATGCTACAGTCAATTAACAGTTTTTTAATGTCAGAAATTTTAGGATGCTACAGTCAATTAACAGTTTTTAATGTCAGAAATTTTAGGATCATACAGTCAATTAACAGATTTTAATGTCACAAATTTTAGGATGCTACAGTCAATTAACAGTCTTTTAATGTCAGAAATTTTAGGATCATACAGTCAATTAACAGTTTTTTAATGTCAGAAATTTTAGGATCATACAGTCAATTAACAGTTTTTAATGTCAGAAATTTTAGGATGCTACAGTCAATTAACAGTTTTTAATGTCAGAAATTTTAGGATGCTACAGTCAATTAACAGTTTTTTAATGTCAGAAATTTTAGGATGCTACAGTCAATTAACAGTTTTTAATGTCAGAAATTTTAGGATGCTACAGTCAATTAACAGTTTTTTAATGTCAGAAATTTTAGGATGCTACAGTCAATTAGTTTTTACAGAAATTTTAGGATCATTCAATTAACAGATTTTAATGTCACAAATTTTATGCTACAGTCAATTAACAGTCTTTTAATGTCAGAAATTTTAGGATCATACAGTCAATTAACAGTTTTTTAATGTCAGAAATTTTAGGATCATACAGTCAATTAACAGTTTTTAATGTCAGAAATTTTAGGATGCTACAGTCAATTAACAGTTTTTTAATGTCAGAAATTTTAGGATGCTACAGTCAATTAACAGTTTTTTAATGTCAGAAATTTTAGGATCATACAGTCAATTAACAGTTTTTAATGTCAGAAATTTTAGGATGCTACAGTCAATTAACAGTCTTTTAATGTCAGAAATTTTAGGATCATACAGTCAATTAACAGTCTTTTAATGTCATAAATTTTAGGATCATACAGTCAATTAACAGTTTTTAATGTCAGAAATTTTAGGATCATACAGTCAATTAACAGTTTTTAATGTCAGAAATTTTAGGATCATACAGTCAATTAACAATTTTTTAATGTCAGAAATTTTAGGATGCTACAGTCAATTAACAGTTTTTTAATGTCAGAAATTTTTTAATGTCAGAAATTTTAGGATCAGAAATTTTAGGATGCTACAGTCAATTAACAGTTTTTTAATGTCAGAAATTTTAGGATGCTACAGTCAATTAACAGTTTTTAATGTCAGAAATTTTAGGATCATACAGTCAATTAACAGATTTTAATGTCACAAATTTTTTTAATAACAGTCAGAAATTTTAGGATCATACAGTCAATTAACAGTTTTTTAATGTCAGTACAGTCAATTAACAGTTTTTAATGTCAGAAATTTTAGGATGCTACAGTCAATTAACAGTTTTTAATGTCAGAAATTTTAGGATGCTACAGTCAATTAACAGTTTTTTAATGTCAGAAATTTTAGGATGCTACAGTCAATTAACAGAAATTTTTTTCAATTAACAGTTTTTTAATGTCAGAAATTTTAGGATGCTACAGTCAATTAACAGTTTTTAATGTCAGAAATTTTAGGATCATACAGTCAATTAACAGTTTTTTAATGTCAGAAATTTTAGGATCATACAGTCAATTAACAGTTTTTAATGTCAGAAATTTTAGGATGCTACAGTCAATTAACAGTCTTTTAATGTCAGAAATTTTAGGATCATACAGTCAATTAACAGTTTTTAATGTCAGAAATTTTAGGATCATACAGTCAATTAACAGTTTTTAATGTCAGAAATTTTAGGATCATACAGTCAATTAACAGTTTTTAATGTCAGAAATTTTAGGATCATACAGTCAATTAACAGTTTTTAATGTCAGAAATTTTAGGATCATACAGTCAATTAACAGTTTTTAATGTCAGAAATTTTAGGATGCTACAGTCAATTAACAGTCTTTTAATGTCAGAAATTTTAGGATCATACAGTCAATTAACAGTCTTTTAATGTCAGAAATTTTAGGATCATACAGTCAATTAACAGTTTTTAATGTCAGAAATTTTAGGATCATACAGTCAATTAACAGTTTTTAATGTCAGAAATTTTAGGATCATACAGTCAATTAACAGTTTTTAATGTCAGAAATTTTAGGATGCTACAGTCAATTAACAGTTTTTAATGTCAGAAATTTTAGGATCATACAGTCAATTAACAGTTTTTAATGTCAGAAATTTTAGGATCATACAGTCAATTAACAGTTTTTAATGTCAGAAATTTTAGGATCATACAGTCAATTAACAGTTTTTAATGTAAGAAATGATGGTAGTCTACAATTAATTAATAGTTTTTGATGTTTGAAAAGTTGGGATCCTACAGTCAATTAACAGAATGTCTTTTACTGCTTACTTCTGTGGTTCATTTGGATCCTTCTTCTTCTTCTTTTTAGGAGTTTTCTGTTTCTTCGTCGCAGGTGGGTCTTCTGGTGAAGCTGCCGCTGATCCAGTGGCAGCTGCCGCGGCAGCAGCAGCAGCCGCAGCCGCAGCCTGACGTTTCATGACAGCCAACTGTTAACACAGGTGTGAATAGGTAAATTAATTACATCTACGCACAGTTAATCATTAGAAATGTTTCCAAAGATGTGTCCACCTTAATGATAATACTTTTGTTGGATTAAAACACTGTCGCTGTTAATAACCTGTCCTGTGAGAACAAATGTGTCAGATAGCACTGACTTCAGTCCTAACACATCATCAGTTGATGGTCAAAGGGAGAAAATTAATTTTCACAAGATATCAAATATCAATAATCTAAAATGAGAAAAAAGGAGAAATATCTAATAAACTTCTAACTCTACATCATGATATTTCTTGTCAATAAGGAAAGCAGCACTGAAGCTGTGTAAAGAGTTTATTTGGTGTTTATGTAACACTGACCTGTGCTAGGGGAAGGCTGTCATCACTATCACTGCTGCTGCTCTCCCGATTTGGTGACAATGAAGTAAGACTGGCCGTGGGTGGTGACCCTTTATTAGTCACACTGTGGAACCCCAGCTGTTTCTGTACGTCCGCATGACTTATGGTGCGTAGGGGCTCGCTTGTTACTAAGTTAGTGTCCAAACTTACGGAACTATATGTGCCCATGGATGTGGCAGGGGAGTTCAGACTGTTAGTTATTGAAATGTCTGGCACATCAAAATTCTGTGGTGGAAATTTAGGCACAATTTGGTCTCCCATAGAATTTCGTGACATCTCAGAGAGATCCATGTTACCCGTTGGAGGATGAGATAAAACAGTCTGTGATGTGTAACTCGGCTGGAGATTTTCAGAACGAGATACAGAATCAGAAACTTGTGAAGGTAATGCTAATGTGTTGATATCAAAATCTTCATCACCAAAACTAGGAGTATGGAATGTCTGAAAAAATAAAATAAAAAAAGGTTTAAGGACAGTACACCTGATTATGAGCATTTTCCATCGTGGATAAAACAATAACCTGTCAATGGCCACAAGTCATGTGCAAATATAAGGTTGCAGTTCAACTAATGTGTACAAAAGTTAATGCTGACCTTGACCTTAAAGATTAATCTGGACCAATACAAAATGAAGGACTTGAAATAAGAACAGAAAGGACAAGTAATGTTAACCTGGAAATTTTGTTTCGTCAGCGTCACAGTAGAATCAATTTCTAACCTCTTTCCTGTAACTTCATACACTTTGTACACAAATATTTTTCACTCTAGTTACAAGAAATTCTACATCAAAAGTGAATAAATAACGGATCATACTGATATGCCATTTACACTTGTACTTTTTGAATTCACCTTCGGATTAAGCTCGCATCCCTGATGTACTCAATTACTGTATCATTCTGATTTACAGATATGTTCTGTGTGAATATCTTATAAATAACAGGTCCTTCAGCCTATCTATCTTTCTATCCAAGTGTGACATGAATATGAAAATAATGATTTATTAACAGGATACAGAGGCCCACAATACATAAATGCGATAAACATTCGAGTTGGCAAAGATTAATCACGCAATTATTAATGAAATAGGCTTTTACTAGCTTCTTTTTTCAAATTCCTGATCAGCCTTGGCTATTTATGGTGTAGTGAACAACGGTTCTTAGATACTTGTTAAATGAAATAAATTAAAGGACATAAGCATAACATTGTGTGATAAGGGATACAAAACCAGAGACATATGTTATATATATATACGTATATGTGTTATTTGTCTCTAATAAACATTATTGGGAAGAATTCTATCTTCTACTTGATTTTATTTCCCATTAGACAAACATATGACAACTACTAACAAGATGAAGCTGCTCTCCAGTGTGATACACAATATGTGCAGGTACAGTTGGCGATTCAGGAAAGTTTACAAATATAAACATGAAACTTGGTACAAGAATGAATTATAATCACATCAACGATAAAACATTTTCTTTTAGGCAACTGTGTCTGAATTTGTTTCATGACAACCATGGTATTTGTATAAAATGTACACACGTACGCCAAGCTATCAACCTAGCAATTGTCATAACTCAACCAATTTTCATATATAAAACATATAACCACATTAAGGACATATCTGTTGATGTCAATAACTTCAGTTTTTTCAGAAGAAATCTTGTTGAAGACACTGCCCTGAAGTGTTATACACAATGAACACATGGGGTGCTGGAGAAAGAGGAAATCTTAACTCTCCACAACTCATCCAATTTTATAAATATGAACATAAAACTTGGCACAAAAGTGTATTATATCATATCTATGATGTAGCATACGATATTGATTGTTTTAAAAGATATTTTCTGAGGATTCTTTACGACTCTTATTGTCGCTGATTGTTACTTGATGGCAGTTTTTAGATAAAGAACACCGGATAGATGTCAGTAATCCCATAATCCTGTGTGTTCTGCTACATTGTCCCATCTTGGAGAATTACCTTTAAACTAGACTAATACTTAATTGAGATTGATGCAGATCTCAAGCTGTATAGTGTCAGAAACACCCAGCCTATCCATCTTGATAAGTTTATAGTATAATACTTGCTTATCTCATAAAACTTGTATGCATGCATAACACTGTTTTGATAAATGGTCAATTTAAATACAATTATCTATTGTATATGACTGCAGCTAGATAACAAAATGATACAATGTTACCAGTAGAAAACAAAATGATACAATGTTACCAGTAGAATACAAAATGATACAATGTTACCAGTAGAAAACAAAATGATACAATGTTACCAGTAGAAATACAAAATGATACAATGTTACCAGTAGAAATACAAAATGATACAATGTTACCAGTAGGAATACAAGATGATACAATGTTACCAGTAGAAATACAAAATGATACAATGTTACCAGCAGAAATACAAAATGATACAATGTTACCAGTAGAAAACAAAATGATACAATGTTACCAGTAGGAATACAAGATGATACAATGTTACCAGTAGAAAACAAAATGATACAATGTTACCAGTAGAAATACAAAATGATACAATGTTACCAGTAGAAATACAAAATGATACAATGTTACCAGTAGAAATACAAAATGATACAATGTTACCAGTAGAAAACAAAATGATACAATGTTACCAGTAGATAACAAAATGATACAATGTTACCAGTAGAAATACAAAATGATACAATGTTACCAGTAGGAATACAAAATGATACAATGTTACCAGTAGAAATATAAAATGATACAATGTTACCAGTAGAAATATAAAATGATACAATGTTACCAGTAGAAATATAAAAAGATAAAATGTTACCAAAAAAAGAAAAAGAAAAACCGATTTTAAGAGTAGGAATACAAAATGATACAAATATGATACAAGTTGAAATAAGATATTACACACTGTTATAAACAGAAATACTAAATGAACCAACGTTACAAGCTGAAATACAAAAGGATACAATGTCATATGTAGAAATAACGATATATTGCTATGTTATAAAACAATCGTGTGGAGAAGAGAGATATATCTACATTCTACTTACCTTTAGTAACACCATCTCATACCCAACAACACAATCCACAACCAGGACTAATCACTACATAATGCACACACACAAAAACAGGATTTGCCAGACGAATGTTATTTATCACAATCAATGTCTACAGATTGAAAACATTAAGTCATATTTTCTCTGTAAAAGCAATCCACCATTTTTGTCCCGTTTGCAAATGACCCTATCCTGTGGAAGGAGAGCGAGAAGGTGGCACAAAACCACGGGATCCATCAGCTACATCAACAGCAGATCAATACAACACAATAGTCCTGTCCCTTAAACAGCTGGCAAATGGAAGAGAGCACCTCTAAATCTATAATAAACAGCATCACCTCTAATCTAATCAACACCTTTTACAAGTTTTGTTTGAAGCAGCAACAAAAATGTACTTATAAGATGCAGCTTTTATTCTACATCCACAGAAGTACCATATCATTTTTTATGGATTTTTTATCAAGAAAGCATCTGTTTGATCAGTCTTTTTTTTCATCAGTGATTTCTGTGATATGATGAAAGGCTTTTCCAAAAATTTAAATATCAGAATAAAAGCTTTTTGTAATTTGCTATTTACAAAAAAAAAATGTATATTTCCCAGTAAGTAATATTAGGGTAATTTACCAGGTGTGAACAATGCCTTCTCAAAGCATTACTGTTACATTATCATATCATAACTGTAGTTATCCTGTAATAAGTCTACAGTTCCAGCAATTGCAGGATGGACTTAATACAGATTAATAAAATAGTATTGGTTTATTGTTTAACCACAAATAGACATGAGGTTAGATAGATATCACAGAAGGTACAATATCTACAAGAAACACAATGTTGTTTATTGTTTAACCACAAATAGACATGAGGTTTGATAGATATCACAAAAGGTACAATATCTACAAGAAACACAATGTTGTTTATTGATGTTACCTCAGATAAAAACCTTGTTCAGATTAAAATTCCACTGTTTAAACTGCTCATTTAAAATCTATCAATTCAACTGTTATTATTCCAGGTATTTAGGCCAGTGGTACGATAAATTGGCTTCCCAATCATCCATTACCACAAATACATCACAATCTCCACTGTACATCATTCGGAGATGTCACAAACCTCTTATACAGAACCTATGAAGTAATGAATATTCATACAGAAATATTTGCATAATAGGTAATATGCCACGGATCTCATTTATATTAAGTAAATTATGCATATATTTTTTGACATCAGAATCACACCAGTACTAGAGGAGGAAAGGAAGTAGTTCAGATTAATCAACAATTCAAATCAAGATAACAGTTAAACCAGAATATTGGACAAACTCAGCTGTTTTCCTAAATTTTACATATTTGTAATGATGAGCTATTTCCCCTGACACAAAGATGATATCTTCCCATTCAAAGTCATGAAGTGTTGGTAACAATGAGTTCTCTCTCGATATTTTTAGTTTTGTGACAAGCTTTCTCTTTTGATACATGAAGGTTTGTGACAGTTAACACTCTGCCCTGAACCACTTAAGGTTTTTGTAAGGATTCTGACAACCAGTTATTGCCACTAACACATTAAAGTTTGCTACAACAAATCATCTCCCTTGAGTTCTCTCCCTTGATGCATAACAGTAGATGGCAATGAATTATCTCCCTTGATACATTACGATTCACAACAATGACTTATCTACCCAGATACATTAAGGTTTATGACAACGACAACAAGATCTCTCCTGATACATATTAAAGTTTATGACAGTGAATTCCTCACTGATACATTAATACTTAGGACAACAAGTCCTATGGTTGAGGACAATGACAATTACTTCTCTCTCCAGAGTTCTCTTAAGGTTTTAATCTGCTTTATGTTATAGTTTTGCTCTTTGACACAAACTAATTCATGACGATGGGCTCATTCTAAGATATTGGTTTTATTGTTATATACCAAAGCGGTTTATTTGTGGACGAAAGTCTTTGGCAGTAAAATAAAGACTGTCTTAACATCCAGACCATTATGTATTTCGGAACATCCATTTTGTCGAGGCGTATCACATGCAATATTGACCTGTGTAACCTCACACCCTGATAATTTTGGTTGCTGTAACATGTCATGCTTCCAGAAAGAATAGAAAATAAAGATTTAAACCAATGATCCAGTACACTAGCGACGTCGATACCAAGTTTCTTACCTGTCCATCACATGTTTCTGACTGAAACAGATCATCTAGAATCGTCATTTGTAACCGTATACAGAATGATTTAAAAATTTAATTAATCATACCTTTTAATATGAATCACAATAATATCATCTGAACTTTCATGATTGCTTTTGAAGCCATAGTGGAAGTAGCCATTGCATCCTGGGATTGATAAGTCATTGGGTCAAATTCTAGAAC